GTTTTAGTATGTACATGTATATACTGTTTTACACCCAGACAGGTGTTTTAGTATGTACAAGTATACACTGTTTTACACCCAGACAGGTGTTTTAGTATGTACATGTATATACTGTTTTACACCCAGACAGGTGTTTTAGTATGTACAAGTATACACTGTTTTACACCCAGACAGGTGTTTTAGTATGTACATGTATATACTGTTTTACACCCAGACAGGTGTTTTAGTATGTACAAGTATACACTGTTTTACACCCAGACAGGTGTTTTAGTATGTACATGTATATACTGTTTTACACCCAGACAGGTGTTTTAGTATGTACATGTATATACTGTTTTACACCCAGACAGGTGTTTTAGTATGTACAAGTATACACTGTTTTACACCCAGACAGGTGTTTTAGTATGTACATGTATATACTGTTTTACACCTCAGACAGGTGTTTAAGTATGTACAAGTATATACTGTTTTACACCTCAGACAGTTGTTTAAGTATGTACATGTATATACTGTTTTACACCTCAGACAGGTGTTTTAGTATGTACATGTATATACTGTTTTACACCCAGACAGGTGTTTTAGTATGTACAAGTATATACTGTTTTACACCCAGACAGGTGTTTTAGTATGTACATGTATATACTGTTTTACACCTCAGACAGGTGTTTTAATATGTACATGTATATACTGTTTTACACCCAGACAGGTGTTTTAGTATGTACATGTATATACTGTTTTACACCCAGACAGGTGTTTTAGTATGTACAAGTATATACTGTTTTACACCCAGACAGGTGTTTTAGTATGTACATGTATATACTGTTTTACACCTCAGACAGGTGTTTTAGTATGTACAAGTATATACTGTTTTACACCTCAGACAGGTGTTTTAGTATGTACATGTATATACTGTTTTACACCCAGACAGGTGTTTTAGTATGTACATGTATATACTGTTTTACACCTCAGACAGGTGTTCTGGTATGTACATGTATATACTGTTTTACACCTCAGACAGGTGTTTAAGTATGTACATGTATATACTGTTTTACACCCAGACAGGTGTTTTAGTATGTACATGTATATACTGTTTTACACCCAGACAGGTGTTTTAGTATGTACATGTATATACTGTTTTACACCTCAGACAGGTGTTCTGGTATGTACATATATATACTGTTTTACACCTCAGACAGGTTTTCTGGTATGTACATATATATACTGTTTTACACCCAGACAGGTGTTTTAGTATGTACATGTATATACTGTTTTACACCCAGACAGGTGTTTTAGTATGTACATGTATATACTGTTTTACACCTCAGACAGGTGTTCTGGTATGTACATATATATACTGTTTTACACCTCAGACAGGTTTTCTGGTATGTACATATATATACTGTTTTACACCCAGACAGGTGTTTTAGTATGTACATGTATATACTGTTTTACACCCAGACAGGTGTTTTAGTATTTACATATATATACTGTTTTACACCTCAGACAGGTTTTCTGGTATGTACATATATATACTGTTTTACACCTCAGACAGGTGTTTAAGTATGTACATGTATATACTGTTTTACACCTCAGACAGGTGTTTTAGTATGTACAAGTATATACTGTTTTACACCTCAGACAGATGTTTAAGTATGTACATGTATATACTGTTTTACACCTCAGACAGGTGTTTTAGTATGTACATGTATATACTGTTTTACACCCAGACAGGTGTTTTAGTATGTACAAGTATATACTGTTTTACACCCAGACAGGTGTTTTAGTATGTACATGTATATACTGTTTTACACCTCAGACAGGTGTTTTAGTATGTACATGTATATACTGTTTTACACCCAGACAGGTGTTTTAGTATGTACATGTATATACTGTTTTACACCCAGACAAGTGTTTTAGTATGTACAAGTATATACTGTTTTACACCCAGACAGGTGTTTTAGTATGTACATATATATACTGTTTTACACCTCAGACAGGTGTTCTGGTATGTACATATATATACTGTTTTACACCTCAGACAGGTGTTTTAGTATGTACATGTATCTACTGTTTTACACCTCAGACAGGTGTTTAAGTATGTACATGTATATACTGTTTTACACCTCAGACAGGTGTTTAAGTATGTACATGTATATACTGTTTTACACCTCAGACAGGTGTTTTAGTATGTACATGTATATACTGTTTTACACCTCAGACAGGTGTTTTAGTATGTACATCTTTTATGATTTTTTAGATTAGTCAAATTCGAAATTTTGTTTGAAACTCTGTTTACATGTTGTTCAATGTACATGTACCTGTTTCTTGGTTTACCTCCGTCCTATGGTGTTATCTTTGATGTACCTATTTCTTGGTTTACCTCCAGTGTCTGGTTTTATCTTTGATGTACCTGTTTCTTGGTTTACCTCCGTCCTATGGTTTTATATTTGATGTACCGGTTTCTTGGTTTACCTCCGTCCTATGGTTTTATCTTTGATGTACCTGTTTCTTGGTTTACCTCCGTCCTATGGTTTTATCTTTGATGTACCGGTTTCTTGGTTTACCTCCGTCCTATGGTTTTATCTTTGATGTACCTATTTCTTGGTTTACCTCCGTCCTATGGTTTTATCTTTGATGTACCTGTTTCTTGGTTTACCTCCGTCCTATGGTTTTATCTTTGATGTACCTATTTCTTGGTTTACCTCCATTGTCTGGTTTTATCTTTGATGTACCTATTTCTTGGTTTACCTCCGTCCTATGGTTTTATCTTTGATGTACCTGTTTCTTGGTTTACCTCCGTCCTATGGTTTTATCTTTGATGTACCTATTTCTTGGTTTACCTCCGTCCTATGGTTTTATCTTTGATGTACCTGTTTCTTGGTTTACCTCCGTCCTATGGTTTTATCTTTGATGTACCTATTTCTTGGTTTACCGCCATTGTCTGGTTTTATCTTTGATGTACCTATTTCTTGGTTTACCTCCGTCCTATAGTTTTATCTTTGATGTACCTATTTCTTGGTTTACCTCGATTGTCTGGTTTTATCTTTGATGTACCTATTTCTTGGTTTACCTCCATTCTCTGGTTTTATCTTTGATGTACCTGTTTCTTGGTTTACCTCCGTCCTATGGTTTTATCTTTGATGTACCTGTTTCTTGGTTTACCTCCATTGTCTGGTTTTATCTTTGATGTACCTGTTTCTTGGTTTCCCTCCATTCTCTGGTTTTATCTTTGATGTACCTGTTTCTTGGTTTACCTCCGTTCTATGGTTTTATCTTTGATGTACCTGTTTCTTGGTTTACCTCCGTCCTATGGTTTTATCTTTGATGTACCTGTTTCTTGGTTTACCTCCGTCCTATGGTTTTATCTTTGATGTACCTGTTTCTTGGTTTACCTCCATTGTCTGGTTTTATCTTTGATGTACCTGTTTCTTGGTTTACCTCCGTCCTATGGTTTTATCTTTGATGTACCTGTTTCTTGGTTTACCTCCGTCCTATGGTTTTATCTTTGATGTACCTGTTTCTTGGTTTACCTCGATTGTCTGGTTTTATCTTTGATGTACCTGTTTTATCTTTGATGTACCTGTTTCTTGGTTTACCTCCATTCTCTGGTTTTATCTTTGATGTACCTGTTTCTTGGTTTACCTCCGTCCTATGGTTTTATCTTTGATGTACCTATTTCTTGGTTTCTTGGTTTACCTCCGTTCTATGGTTTTATCTTTGATGTACCTATTTCTTGGTTTACCTCCGTCCTATGGTTTTATCTTTGATGTACCTATTTCTTGGTTTACCTCCATTGTCTGGTTTTATCTTTGATGTACCTGTTTCTTGGTTTACCTCCATTGTCTGGTTTTATCTTTGATGTACCTGTTTCTTGGTTTACCTCCGTCTGGTTTTATCTTTGATGTACCTGTTTCTTGGTTTACCTATCTTTTTATCTTTGATGTACCTGTTTCTTGGTTTACCTCCGTCCTATGGTTTTATCTTTGATGTACCTGTTTCTTGGTTTACCTTTGATGTACCTGTTTCTTGGTTTACCTCCGTCCTATGGTTTTATCTTTGATGTACCTATTTCTTTGTTTACCTCGATTGTCTGGTTTTATCTTTGATGTACCTGTTTCTTGGTTTGCCTCCATTCTCTGGTTTTATCTTTGATGTACCTGTTTCTTGGTTTACCTCCGTCCTATGGTTTTATCTTTGATGTACCTGTTTCTTGGTTTACCTCCGTCCTATGGTTTTATCTTTGATGTACCTGTTTCTTGGTTTACCTCCGTCCTATGGTTTTATCTTTGATGTACCTGTTTCTTGGTTTACCTCCGTTCTATGGTTTTATCTTTGATGTACCTATTTCTTGGTTTACCTCGATTGTCTGGTTTTATCTTTGATGTACCTGTTTCTTGGTTTACCTCCGTTCTATGGTTTTATCTTTGATGTACCTATTTCTTGGTTTACCTCCGTCCTATGGTTTTATCTTTGATGTACCTATTTCTTGGTTTACCTCCATTGTCTGGTTTTATCTTTGATGTACCTGTTTCTTGGTTTACCTCCATTGTCTGGTTTTATCTTTGATGTATCTATTTCTTGGTTTACCTCCATTGTCTGGTTTTATCTTTGATGTACCTATTTCTTGGTTTCCCTCCGTCCTATAGTTTTATCTTTGATGTACCTGTTTCTTGGTTTCCCTCCATTCTCTGGTTTTATCTTTGATGTACCTGGTGTATGGCATGATTAACTGATAGTGACAATAGAACACAATAATATTGTTTGTTTAATAACATGTACGCTTATAAGAAACATTCATAGTAAGTGAATTAATCATAACACATGATATCAGATAATGTTTTATTGTAATATATTTTGATTGATGCCTTTAGAGATTTACATTTTCATATAAAACGGTACTGAACACGAAAAAATAAATATTACAAAATTTATCTATATACGTTCTTATCTATTTCAGTAGATTTTTTATTGATTGATATTTACACTTCTGTGATTTACAGGAGGACTAGAATTCGACAGGAGAGAGTGGAGAACCAACAGGATCTGGAATGGTACAATTAGATACTGAAAATAAGTGAGTCTAGGAACTGTCCAGAAGCCAGAAACGAGGCGCCTCGTCGCGAAGCATTGATATGTCATTGTCATGACAACAGAAGATTGACCGTTGATGATACAAATGTATAACCAAGTTTATATTCATATTTTGATCATAAAACGATGTCCTGTTATACCCTAGTTTTGGTTCATCACAAAATGTCACTCAAAATCCATCATGTATCTACTTCAACCTACGGTTTTGTGCTGCAGCAAATGTTAGTATCTCACTTGTTAACAAGTGACGTCATTTGCACAACAGCTTACTGCTGAAGACTTGGACAGGGCAAAGCAGGAATGTACCAGGCCATTTTGACAACTATAAATTGTGATTTCATAACGGACATAGAGAGCGTGAAAATTTTGTCTATTTTTATCTATTTTTGTATATGATCTACTGGTGATATTGCTATAAATACAATTTGTGTATCTCGGTATTTCGAATAAATGTTATTGTTGAATATGATGCTGGCTTTGGTCTTTATGAAGCATTCATTTTAATCCATTCATTTATTTCATATCAATTTTATTAGAATTAATTTCATTTTGATATACAAGAAAAGAAGCACTTTGCCAGGTAACATAATAAAAATATTGATTCTGGTTCTGGTTTCTATAAGGTCATTTTAATGGACAACATGTTAGACAAGCGAATAAAGTGCTCGTCTAATGCCGTAATGCTGAATACTCGAAGTAGGTCGCAGCTACATGACGCTTGGATACAGAAGCGGGATATCTTTCAAACATAAAGGCTACGTTTTTATTTGTTATGTAGAATGAACATTTGTTAACATTTTGTTAGTAATCTAGTCTCGATATCTGGTTCACCTATGATTTGTGAACATTGAACATTACTCTAAATTTGGTGGAAATAATTATCAAATGCACATCTCTTATATTTGATGCTTTGCTTTCGACGACAAAAAATATCTACAAGTTAACAAAACAAGCTCCAGTAATTACAAAAATACAGAGACAGACTGACCGAAACCCCTACAACACTTGTTTGTACCCTACGATTTGCCATTGATATAGCGACCAATCGTTCACTTCTGATGATATTATTTGCCGTTTTATCTCGGCCTTTTCTGTAACTAGGATATGATCTATAAAAATTACAAAACGTATTGAATTATGGGACTAGTGCACCACCTTCATTTAGATTTTGACTTCTCTTACATTTCGTTTAGGGTTTTCCTCAATCGCCTCAAAATTTAGACTACATTAATTACGAGTCGTAGAAGGACGAAACAGCTGTATTGATGCAGTTTGATTCATTGGCTATACTGTATCAAACCCTAACTTCCTGGTAATTACTACAGCTATTTCTCGCCTTATATTGAAAGCTATCGTCCAGATATTTTGTGAAGGAACGAGGAAATTTAAATATGGTTTGTTATACTTTCTTCTTCACATTGAATTTAATAGAAAATTATAAAGGACAATAATGTTGCCTTATTCTATATGATATTCTTGCTTGAATTGGATCTTTAGAGAACACGGATGAAATAATGTACAACTTATGCTTTAGTTCCTTTCATTTAAACTAAATATTAATTGGACGAAAGACAAGAGTAAGTACAAAACACATTTTGACGTTAAAATCATTGTAATTTTAAACGTATGGAATATATACGGCTCTGCACGTATGCATTTAAATACGCATGTGTGTCCAGGCATGTTCCAAGACTGATTTACCTATTGGTGGGCAGTGCTCCAGTTCGTGATGTGTAAACAATCTACAATGACAATGCCAATAGCCCTTTAAATAATACAGGTAAAGTGTACATGTTATTCCCGTCGTCACGGGTCTGGCGTACATGCTATTTATGAATCTACAGACTAAAATGGCGAACTTCGTACTAGGCTCAGTCTTCGTCTTCCTTCATGTACTAGGTATGTGTTCAGCTTATGTATAATTTCAATTGGGTATAATATGATAAATCGTTTGTACTGCCATCGCCCTTTCAGTACAGGAATACGTGTATGTACGAGTGTGTGTTTTTGGAAGGTATATATAACATTCAGATAACCTACAACTTGCAAGTGCAGAACTTGATTATAACAAGGAACCTTGTCACGGTTTGTAGGAACCTGATTATACCCAGGAATATTGTCACGGTTTGTAGGAACCTGGTTATAACCAGGGACCTTGTCACGGTTTGTAGGAACCTGATTATAACCAGGGACCTTGTCACGGTTTGTAGAAACTTGATTATCACAAGGAACCTTGTCACGGTTTGTAGGAACCTGGTTATAACCAGGAACCTTGTCACGGTTTGTAGGAACCTGATTATAACCAGGGACCTTGTCACGGTTTGTAGGAACCTGATTATAACCAGGGACCTTGTCACGGTTTGTAGGAACCTGGTTATAACCAGGAACCTTGTCACGGTTTGTAGGAACCTGGTTATAACCAGGGACCTTGTCACGGTTTGTAGGAACCTGGTTATAACCAGGGACCTTGTCACGGTTTGTAGGAACCTGGTTAAAACCAGGGACGTTGTCACGGTTTGTAGGAACCTGGTTATAACCAGGGACCTTGTCACGGTTTGTAGGAACCAGATTATAACCAGGGACTTTGTTACACTTTATCAGGGACTTTTGTCACCGGTTTATTTAGGTATATGCAATAAAACGTGTCTAATGTGTCTGAACGGTATTACTACACCTAAGTTTGTTATCACTTTGTTTTAATGTTACATGGCATATTCACCTGCTAAACCATGCATACGAAATTTCATATGTTTGGTGCTAGTTTATTTAACATGGACATTACTAGAATGACTTCATGTAACTTATAAATTTTGAACTCCTACAAACCTTACGTTTATCCAATATCTTGTAATAAAACTGTGATTTTTAATGATATGTTAACCTTTCGTGTATCACTACAACAGGGACATTATTACATTAATAAGCTTACCGGTAATATCTTACTAAACCAGGGAAGTTATTATATAAATAAGCTTACCGGAGACAACATACTAAACCAGGGAAGTTGTTATATAAATAAGCTTACCGGATATATCATACTAAACCAGGGAAGTTATTACATTAATAAGCTTACCGGATATATCATACTAAACCAGGGAAGTTGTTATATAAATAAGCTTACCGGAGACATCATACTAAACCAGGGAAGTTATTATATAAATAAGCTTACCGGATATATCATACTAAACCAGGTAAGTTATTATATAAATAAGCTTACCGGAGACAACATACTAAACCAGGGAAGTTGTTATATAAATAAGCTTACCGGATATATCATGCTAAACTAGGGAAGTTTTTATATAAATAAGCTTACCGGAGATATCATACTAAACCAGGGAAGTTATTATATAAATAAGCTTACCGGAGATATCATGCTAAAACAGGAAGTTATTATATAAATAAGCTTACCGGATATATCATGCTAAAACAGGAAGTTATAACGTCTGATATTTCACACAAAACTGAAACCCTTCATATTCAAATCAGGTTCATTTACATCTTTATTCATATATATATATATAGATATAAATCTAATGTTTTCACTTGGAATGAAAGGTCACAAGGACTACAACATGTCTTAAGTTCATGATTAAAAGAAACGATACAAATATTTAAATGAGATCGTGTACGATCCAATATACCAGTCATTAGTAGTAATCACGAAACTAGCCTGTCCCAGAAAAAATCATATTTTTAACATGTAAACCAGTAAATGTGTCCGATTTGTATACATACAGGTACCAGCTTTGGCGGCGACTCGTGTTACGAGTACAGCTTCTCACTAGGACGCAGGACATACTACGCCTTTTGTGAGAATGGTTGTTGTGGATACCAGTACGACCGTGAGTGCTGTGACGATGATGGTTGGGTGTAAGTACAGTGTATATTGATTCTACCCGTCCTGTAACCGGGGTCTTTTTTTCAAATATCCTTCCAGTCGTATAGCGGTCAAACCCTAGTATGGTGTGCCGTGTATCTACAAAATGTGATATCACTTAAATAAGTTTAATTGAGTAGGTAATTGATAAATGTTTATCACAGTGGATACTTCTGCTTCAATTTAAGTGTTAAGAATTTGTTTCAACAAAAGGGAAGTGCGTTTAGCACTGAAGAACTGGTAATCGGCCTTACTTGTTCTTTATGAGGTAGCAGGAAACAGTTAATTTGCATTTTCCTGAAATTATTGGTTATGGTTGAGATATACAGGTATAGCAGTTTGATTGCGAAAAAAAATGTTATTAAATGTATACATATTCATAAACCACATAAATATTACATTAATAGTAGAGAGATAAAATTCTGAAAAAATAAACCCCCACATTGTCCACTTCAACATGACAAGACCAAATTTAGCAAGGATTTATTTTTATAGATTTTAATTAGAACCTTTACAATGGGGTAATCTAAGGAACAAACATATCACCCATAGCCACACCGAGAAGCTGTGTACTACTACCTTTACAATGGGGTAATCTAAGGAACAAACATATCACCCATGGCCACACCGAGAAGCTGTGTACTACTACCTTTACAATGGGGTAATCTAAGGAACAAACATATCACCCATGGCCACACCTAGAAGCTGTGTACTACTACCTTTACAATGGGGTAATCTAAGGAACAAACATATCACCCATGGCCACACCGAGAAGCTGTGTACTACTACCTTTACAATGGGGTAATCTAAGGAACAAACATATCACCCATGGCCACACCTAGAAGCTGTGTACTACTACCTTTACAATGGGGTAATCTAAGGAACAAACATATCACCCATGGCCACACCTAGAAGCTGTGTACTACTACCTTTACAATGGGGTAATTTAAGGAACAAACATATCACTCATGGCCACACCGAGAAGCTGTGTACTACTACCTGAGGTTCAGACATTACCTAGGCAACATAAACATCATATCGTAAGGGATATTTTGTTAATAGTTCAAACTCTGATATACTTGTTCATTATCACTTAATCTACATTGTAGAACCACAATAGTATCATTCGTGTGTATATTGTATTAAGTAACACTAAACAAGCTCCTGATATTAATATATGCCTTGTATGTTTTTTCCAGTGTTGGCATCATCATCGGCTGTGTCGTGGGCGGAATCATCTTTCTCAGTTTAGTCGCGTCTTGCATAATTTGCCTTGTGTGTATGACGAATAAAAAAGGCAACAGAGGCCGCGTCATAGCTCCACTTTCACAACAACAGGAAACTACCAGCTTGTCCTTCGGTGAGTATCGTCGTCATGTATCCTCTTCCTCAACAAGGAAGTACCCACTACCACGAAGAACGCCTTCGTTCTCTTGTTATGACACCTATCTTCCCAAGAAAGGTGAAAGGCGGTATACATATACAGTTGTGTACTATACTGAAGCGTATTTATAATAAATAATAATAATAATAATAAATGACTTTATTTAAGAGTCGATAACACTTTGAGTACAAGACCCTTCTAACAATTGGTCGACAGTAAAATGTACAATATATACAACATTAAGATTACAGCATCACATATGATATAAAGATCACAAATATCACAGTAAACTAGCATAATCATGAAGGACTAAGATGTACATCAATAAAACAAATGTAATGATAAAGGCATATAGTGAAGAGGTATATAAAAAGGTTATAGAGTGACTAATAATATAATAAAAGGATTAAATTAGCGAGGTTTTGTAAGGGATACAGGACTGATAATTAAAACAATTAATTGGCAACATTCATAAAGGTACCATATTTTCTTAGGGCTAAAATAAGACTGGCATAAAAATGTGGATCCAGGTTGGTAAGTTAGAGATAAATGTTTTACAATGAAATACATATATAATGATATAACATATAATGAAATATTTCGTACAATTTACATCCAGATCAAAGAGGAAATATATAGAGGACGTAATCATAAAAATGATAGAGTTTCTAGTTGACAACATCTTCGTTGGGTTTGGTGGTAAGATCTTCCAACAGACTATTGACATACCTGTGGGAACCAACTGTGCCCCTCTTTTGGCTGACTTGATTTTGTTTTCATACGAGGCTGAATTTATTGAAGTGCTTATTAAAACAGGTCACAAAGACCTTACAAAGTCGTTTAAGTTCAGATTCAGATATATTGATGACGTCTTGTCTTTAAATAACAAGAAATGATTTGAACATGTCCATCATATATATCCACCAGAACTGGAAATCAAACATTCGACAAACTCTTCTGCATCAGCTGCTTATCTCAATCTTTTCCTACGACAAACCAACACGGACAGCTTTCCATCACGTTATATGATCAACGTGATGATTTCAATTTCCCTTTTGTGCATTTTCCATTTCTAGACAACAATATTACTGCATCTCCAACCTATGGTATTTACACGTCACAGCTGATTCATTATTCAAGGGCTTGTTCCCATTATCACGATTTTCGTACACGAAGTCGTCAACTGACTGACAAACTCGTAAAGCAAAGGTTCAAAAGTTGCAGGTTGATGAAAATTATGGGGAAATTTCATGGTCGCCATAGTGATTTCATCGAGAAATATTCAATTTCTTTGTGTGATATGAAGCTGGACGTATTTGTTGCTCGTTAGTTAGCTTGTTTGTTCCGTTGCTGTATACATTGGTCTCATTTGAGAGCGAGACATGATATGATCATGTTGCCATGTTGATATTTTCTTAATGTTTTTGGATAAGTCAACGGTGAGGCTTTTTCTTCCTTTTAATGAGTTGCTCTGATTTTACTGTTTCAGTAAGTAACAATACGTCATGGGCTCACACCAGTGCCTACCCACAGCCTCAGCCTATAGGAAATCCCACGGCATACTCCCAATATGGACAACCTATGGGGCAATTTCCACAGCCGCCATCTTACGAACAGCTGTCCGTCCCCTCAACAGCGCCTCCGAAATATCCTTCGACGTCAGAAATATACGAATCTTCCAATCACCTACCACCAATAGGAGGCATTGATACTTACAGACAACAGTCTTCATCAGCACTTCCGCCAATCGGACACAGAAGTATAGACACCTCTACTATGTGAAATCGCTAAGACATAGTTGAACCTCCTAAGTACGGAATATATGATCTATTTGTCTCAAACAAGCCTTTTAAGATTGTCTTCCCATAAAAACAATTATTTTCATTATTATCTGAAACACTTTTACGATTGACAATGCATATGACACTCGGAGTTATGGCACCACAATGGAAACTATAGGAACAATCAGCCAATCAAAGCTCCTCGAGGTCATATCACACATTAATCGCAACAAAAAGTATGTAACGAGTGCCATTACACTGGTGGTAGGGTAGTTATGTGATAATCCAGTTTTTATTTTAAATTATATTTCACAAGCTTTATAATACCAGTTGTTGCTTGTCATTATACCCAAGTTGCCCTGTAAAAGTTATCAAACGAAAAGTGTAATAACTCCTGTTCCAGACAGTAATCAGATAGTTGTAAATACCAAATGCATGAAAGGTACCATTTACCGGCGTGAGTGTCCTCAGTACAATTTTGATATTTTATATAAAAATACTCCAATACAGATTATTTCTGATACCAGCCGCGATATCCATTCCTGTTATCTACAAACGAGACATAACTCATATCGGTGTTTAAATATAATACTACGATGGCAAAAGTTACAGTTAACTCAATGCATTACTGTCCACGTCACAGCTGTGATATTGATGTCAGTGTTTTACTGCCCACGTCACAGCTGTGATGTTGATGTCAATGTATTACTGCCCACGTCACAGCTGTGATATTGATGTCAGTGTTTTACTGCCCACGTCACAGCTGTGATATTGATGTCAGTGTATTACTGCCCACGTCACAGCTGTGATATTGATGTCAATGTATTATCGTCCACGTCACAGCTGTGATATTGATGTCAGTGTCTTACTGTCCACGTCACAGCTGTGATATTGATGTCAATGTATTATCGTCCACGTCACAGCTGTGATATTGATGTCAATGTATTATCGTCCACGTCACAGCTGTGATATTGATGTCAATGTATTATCGTCCACGTCACAGCTGTGATATTGATGTCAATGTATTACTGCCCACGTCACAGCTGTGATATTGATGTCAGTGTCTTACTGCCCACGTCACAGCTGTGATATTGATGTCAATGTATTATCGTCCACGTCACAGCTGTGATATTGATGTCAGTGTCTTACTGTCCACGTCACAGCTGTGATATTGATTTCAGTGTCTTACTGTCCACGTCACAGCTGTGATATTGATGTCAATGTATTATCGTCCACGTCACAGCTGTGATATTGATGTCAATGTATTATCGTCCACGTCACAGCTGTGATATTGATGTCAGTGTCTTATTGTCCACGTCACAGCTGTGATATTGATTTCAGTGTCTTACTGTCCACGTCACAGCTGTGATATTGATGTCAATGTATTATCGTCCACGTCACAGCTGTGATATTGATGTCAATGTATTATCGTCCACGTCACAGCTGTGATATTGATGTCAGTGTCTTACTGTCCACGTCACAGCTGTGATATTGATGTCAGTGTCTTACTGTCCACGTCACAGCTGTGATATTGATGTCAATGCATTATCGTCCAGGTCACGGCTGTGATATTGATGTCAGTGTCTTACTGTCCACGTCACAGCTGTGATATTGATGTCAATGTATTATCGTCCACGTCACAGCTGTGATATTGATGTCAGTGTCTTACTGTCCACGTCACAGCTGTGATATTGATGTCAGTGTCTTACTGTCCACGTCACAGCTGTGATATTGATGTCAATGTATTATCGTCCACGTCACAGCTGTGATATTGATGTCAATGTATTATCGTCCACGTCACAGCTGTGATATTGATGTCAATGTATTATCGTCCACGTCACAGCTGTGATATTGATGTCAGTGTCTTACAATGTGTCCACGTCACAGCTGTGATATTGATGTCAGTGTCTTACTGTCCACGTCACAGCTGTGATATTGATGTCAATGCATTATCGTCCAGGTCACGGCTGTGATATTGATGTCAGTGTCTTACTGTCCACGTCACAGCTGTGATATTGATGTCAATGTATTATCGTCCACGTCACAGCTGTGATATTGATGTCAGTGTCTTACTGTCCACGTCACAGCTGTGATATTGATGTCAGTGTCTTACTGTCCACGTCACAGCTGTGATATTGATGTCAATGTATTATCGTCCACGTCACAGCTGTGATATTGATGTCAATGTATTATCGTCCACGTCACAGCTGTGATATTGATGTCAATGTATTATCGTCCACGTCACAGCTGTGATATTGATTTCAGTGTATTACTGCCCACGTCACAGCTGTGATATTGATGTCAATGTATCACAGCTGTGATATTGATGTCTGTCTTACTGTCCACGTCACAGCTGTGATATTGATGTCAATGTGTCTTGTGATATGCCCACGTCACAGCTGTGATATTGATGTCAATGTATTATCGTCCACGTCACAGCTGTGATATTGATGTCAGTGTCTTACTGTCCACGTCACAGCTGTGATATATTGATGTCAGTGTCTTACTGTCCACGTCACAGCTGTGATATTGATGTCAATGTATTATCGTCCACGTCACAGCTGTGATATTGATGTCAATGTATTATCGTCCACGTCACAGCTGTGATATTGATGTCAATGTATTATCGTCCACGTCACAGCTGTGATATTGATTTCAGTGTATTACTGCCCACGTCACAGCTGTGATATTGATGTCAATGTATTATCGTCCACGTCACAGCTGTGATATTGATGTCAATGTATTATCGTCCACGTCACAGCTGGGATATTGATGTCAGTGTCTTACTGTCCACGTCACAGCTGTGATATTGATGTCAGTGTATTATCGTCCACGTCACAGCTGTGATATTGATTTCAGTGTATTACTGTCCACGTCACAGCTGTGATATTGATGTCAATGTATTATCGTCCACGTCACAGCTGTGATATTGATTTCAATGTATTACTGTCCACGTCACAGCTGGGATATTAATGTCAGTGTCTTACTGTCCACGTCACAGCTGTGATATTGATGTCAGTGTATTACTGTCCACGTCACAGCTGTGATATTGATGTCAGTGTCTTACTGTCCACGTCACAGCTGTGATATTGATTTCAATGTATTACTGTCCACGTCACAGCTTTGATATTGATTTCAATGTATTACTGTCCACGTCACAGCTTTGATATTGATTTCAATGTATTACTGTCCACGTCACAGCTGTGATATTGATGCCAATTATATCAAATTAATATTTATCCATATTTTTTTTCAGATGTATTACAATATGATTGTTCATATTTTGTTTTGTTTTTGATTTTTTCGTGTTACTTGGCTTCACTTTCTTTGATTGAAATGATGATTTCTTTATTAATGAATTGATTATCTTAGTCACTCTGTCCATTCATCCATATCTACATGTCGGATTAACACGACTTGTTACGTTCTTATTCTCGATATTAGATTTGATTGGCAACAGAATACTATCTCAACTGTAAAGAGTTCACGGTGACTAACCGCTTTAAACAACGAGGCTGTGTTTTTGTAACAAGGCTGGTGTTTTTGTAATGGGCTGTATCTTTGGAACGAGGCTTATGTTTTTGTAAGGAGGCTGCTGTTTTTGTAATGGGCTGTATTTTTGTAACGAGGCTGGTGTTTTTGTAATGGGCTTTTTTTTTGACGAGGCTGCTGTTTTTGTAACGAGGATGCTTTTTTTTAACAGAGGCTGCTGTTTTTGTAACGGGCTGTATTTTTGTAACAAGGCTGCTGTTTTTGTAACGAGGCTGCTGTTTTAGTAATCGGCTGTATTTTTGTAATAAGGCTGCTGTTTTTGGAACGAGGCTGCTGTTTTATTAACGATGCCTCTGTTTTTGTAATTAATCCGTATTTTTTGTAAGGTGTATCTCTGTTGTGGGGTTAAACACCAAACATAAAAAAGTATTAAGTATATTCTACATGATATTACATAGTACAATACATAAAGATATATACGTTAGTATCTACCCCGATTAGAAAAGGGATAAAAATGTTGTCGTCAGATTTAATGTCACCTTAGAGACATGTTTATAACCCCAGTTCTGTTATGTAAAAATAACACTTACATTTGAATTTCCTTTATTTTGTGAATTAACACCTTTTGATTTTCTGTTGTATTTGTCTTCAATATATGACATATTATGAATTTGATGTACGCTTACTGGAAGTTTTCAAATCTTAATATGCTGGTCTCTTAGTTTGTACACGTACAATTCATCCATGAACTGTTTTCGTATAAATTGATATATTAATATGTTATTTTCGTTGTTGAAATTCATTACAAATTAAAATATTTTAACGAACACAGTTTCTGTTTTGTCCCTTGTTAGCTGTCACGTTAAAACATTAGTTGATTGAGCAAAACAGGAACAGTGTTTCTTAAGTTGTTAACTAGAGTGTAACGGTTACGGAAACCCTTAACCCACCAACAAGATCTGGACCTGTACAGTTAAAAACGGGAAATAACAGAATCCATGACTGACCTGAGAACTGGAAACTGATATCTAAGTGGAGCTTCTGACCAGAAAATCACAAAAGCGCCATTGTATCATTGTAAGGAGTACAGTTAATTGATCGATGGTGATTAATCAATTGAAAAAAAGAGATAACAAAATATATATATACATATATATTGTGATGATTTACATAGGCGTAACAACGTTTATAGGGGTCTATGCTGTCAAGAGAGGGTCCAGGTGCGAAGCCTCGGTGGGGAGTCTGAGGCAAACCTGTCGTGTATTAACTTATTAGAAATAGCTTTTCTATTTACACCAATACATTTTATTCAACAAAAATGACAAAATGCAGTTACAATTTTTGTTAACAATAATCGCTGTTTCGAGAGTATCCTTAAGCATACAAGCATACATTATCGCTAAGCCACTGACCGACTTATACCAACGTTCTGTTGTACCCAGGGTTTTGCTGATGACACTGTCAAAATTCACGGCGTGGATGATCAATTTGAGGAATTGTAATGAAGCTGATATCTATCCTCTGATATATCACATTGTTTTGACATGAACAAGCATAATGCTGATGATTCAAAAAGGTTATAGCAGGAACATACAGGTCTGTTTTAACAACTGTGATTTAAAGGACATCGAGCTTTAAAATTGTATTTGTTTTTTGTGTATTTGGAAGATTTGACATCTGTAGAGCAATTTATAATCATCCCCATTGCACAGTGTCAAATTCTTTGTGACGATTAGGCGTCTTTATCATATAAAAATTTGAACATTCCTCTAAGAAATCGTGATATTAATATTTAACTGCCAAAGCCAAGGATTCAGGGACACATGCATATGAAATCTGAGAAAGATTAATTCAGTACATCTTTTCATGCTGATCCCAAAATGAAAGTGGTATAGAAAACTTGAGAAAACTGTTTCCTGTCTCCTTCCACCAATAAACAGTGATATCAAATTATCATTGGGAAAGTTCAAGATGATCTCCTTTCATCTGTTTTGTATTTCTGCACAGTCCCATTATTTAACGAGCACAACTAAGGACTAAGTGAAACCTTTATATGAAATCTGCGAATGATCAGTGCAGTGCTTTTCAAGAAATAACTAGAGTTGTTTACGTAGGTACGTCCGGACGAGTTTATCGAAGTTAATATTACACAAGGAAATAGACTAGTGCCCATTGATTTTGATGACAAGCTCAAAACGTCCAATGTGTGTTATTTCGTAGTACCTAGATACCATGGACTGTCCTATGCTATCGAGATTGTCTCATTGGGTGAAAAAAGTTTCACTCTAATTGCTTTGTATGACATGCGATGGGCTGGTTTTATTTAAGGAGACACCACTTCTAATAAGTCTCGTCTGTTCCCAGGACGTTAATCTCGGTAAATGCCCAATGAACCCATGATACTCTTCAAACGGGTGTACATTTAAGTTTCAATATGTGTTTTTTTTTATTTCAACGCTTGAAATCATTATGCTATCAATATTTTGAAATGAAAACAAACTTTCATGTTTAAATATTTTCAAATGTTTCATCTTTAAATGAATATCTTTTTAGCTTGTCATATGCATCCTTTATTTGGTAATATTATTACTGTAATATTAAATCTTCATTATGTTTTATTTTATTTTCATTTTAAATAAATTTAAACAGGTTATGAACTGTTATGAGGCATAGAACTTATTTAAAATGGCTTACATGATCGGGACACATGGTACATACCTAGCGAGGGAGGTGGTGAAAGTATATTTCTACTTAGTAAGAGCCAGCGTCCCTACATAGACTTAGCCTTAGTAAAATATGATGTCATAAATGGGTTTATCTATTTTAAACATCATGACGTCATACATTTTTCTCATTTTGCAAAAGCAATCCTTATTTGGTCATTTATATTTTAAATTGACAAAATATATATATATATATCCACGTTGGCATGCTTCTTGTCCCTCCTCTCTCCCAACTTTACATTATACCCCGTTTTTGTACTTGGTCTGTGTGTACGATATTTTAGATCACATAGTGAGAGGACTGTGTTAACAGGAACTTGCACAGGGATCACCTAGAACAACAAGTTATCGTATACAAGTTTTAATCCTAATTTCACCTAAAACGTCTTGAAGTAAAAGGAACAGATGGGCGGTAGAAAAGTCTACCCAGTACAACTGGATGTTAGAACTATTGTGTGTTTTAATGGGATTTGCCCCGATTCAAATGGTATAATATAGGTCTGTACGGGAAAAGCTCTCTGGGCTTCTCGTTTTGTCGTTATGAAGAAGCCTCAGTTTTCTGCTTATAAATCCGTAAACAATTTAAGATTTCATGTCATAAACAACTACCTACTGGATTACAATGCAGTTCTATAAAGAATGACCCAGTGATTTCATGAAGAGTGTAACCTTACGCCGTCGTAGGAAATGGGAAAATGTATCTTCTTCCTGGTGTATATCTAAACTACGGAGCCCCGGAATGGACATCACAGTTTTTTTTCTTAAATCCGAGGTCTCGGTTTAGCGATCCGTGGCCTCGGTTTAGCGATCCGTGGCCTCGGTTTAGTAATTCGTGGTCTCGGTTTACTAATCCGTGGCCTTTGTTTATTAATCCGAGGTCTTGGTTTAGTAATTCGTGATCTTTGAGCAACGTCTCTGAAGGTAAGTAAAGTGTTCTTAGGTGGTAGGAATTCAAAACTGTACAAATGTAGAGTGTGATGTCGAGTGAGTCCAAAGAAATACAAACTAAACGCCTTCAATGAGTTCCTTTATTACATATACAAAGTTCCCAGTTCCTATAGCCATAGTTCACAATCATCACAAACACAGTGTAGGGGTTCTTGGTTGCACCTAGCTTGCGCCCCAACCTGCGGTAAAAAACTGAAAAATACAGAAATTAACCTGTCCTTAGTACATATTTCAACAAAATTAATCAAACTTCAAACGTTTAAACCGTATTAAAGTTACCCCATGGGTCACCTAAGCCTTGCTAAATCCGTAAGTCTGTTTCCTTTGGACTTTCACGTAAACATATCCCATGATGCATTTTTCCACGATGTACAAAGAATGAACTCTGAACCCTGACCTGACTACCAGAGCAGACGGACAATATAAAACTAGCGTTTCACTACATTCCTCGCCTGATTGCTAAATCACTACTACATTTAAACCCTGTAAACATTCATATTATTTATAACCCGATGAAAATATATAATATCAAAACTTATCTGAATAACAATAAACTAAAGTTTCTAAGCAATAAAATTCACTTGTCGCTGTCAATGTTCAACACAATAATTCACTATGCCATCAATAGTACTAACTGAGTAATAGGACGGATATACGAAACCGATCGTCCATTACGAATTGTCTTAACTCTGACTTTACGAACAAGACCATCGTGACTAGGAAAAACACATTCAACAATTCCCATTGGCCAGTCATTACGACGAGAGTCATGATCCTTCAGCAAAACAATGTCACCTTGTTTCAAGTTTGAACGTTCGTGATTCCACTTTTGTCGCGTTTGTAGCGATTGTAGATAGTCTCTTCTCCACGCGTTCCAAAATTTCTGGGCCAATACCTGAACACATCGCCATTGGGATCGAAACATGTCTTTCACTGAGAAGTCTACCAAGGTTAGATCTACATTTGGAACGTCAGTCTTTTGAGTAATGAGAGTACTTGGCGACAATACCACTGGGTTTTCAGGGTCGTCAGATACGGGTACCAGTGGTCGCTGGTTCACTATAGCACACGCTTCGGCTAGAAAAGTCGTAAGCACTTCATGCGTGAGGTGTTTAGTGTCAGTATTACGCAACATGTTGTCCAGAATCCTTCTAACGGTACCAATAAGCCGTTCCCAAGATCCGCCCATATGGGAGGCATATGGAGGATTAAAAGTCCATGTGATGCTTTCCTCTGAAAGAAAGTCTTTTACGGCTTTGTCCTCGACGTCAATAACATTCAAGTTAAGTTCCTTAACGGCTCCTACGAAGTTAGATCCTTTGTCCGACCTAATGTGCTTTACCGGTCCTCTGAGCGCGATGAATCTCCGCAGTGCGTTAATGAAGGAAGATGTGCTCATCTCCTCTACGGCCTCAATATGTATCCCTCTCGATACCATGCAACAGAATATTATAGCCCAACGTTTTGCGTTAGCTTGTCCTCCCCTAGTTTTTCTCGCGCGCACATTCCATGGTCCAAACGCATCCAATCCAATGTAAGTGAAAGGCGGACATGGTGTCAAACGATCCTGCGGTAAAGTACACATTTTTTGTTCCACAAACTTTCCTCGTTTCCTGCACACGACACAGTGATGTAAAATAGAGGAAATTAATCGCTTTCCTCCCACTAGCCAATAACCAGAAGAACGTATTTTACCCTCCGTAATATGTCGGCCTTGGTGTTCCGATTTCTCGTGATAATGTCTCACGATTAGAGTAGCCACGTGATGTTTTGCTGGGATAATGATCCCTTTCCAGGTAAGTCAATGTCACTATTCTGAATCCTACCACCAATCCTCAGGAGCCCCTCGTCGTCTAGAAACGGCGACAATTTCAACAAAGAATTGTTCCTGTTTAACGGCAGTCCTTTCTGCAAACAGTCGATTTCCATCGAATAAAACTCTTGTTGAACAACCTTCAGTATGAGGTTCTTTGAATCGTTAGCAAAACGCAACACGTCTGGATTGTCTGTTCCGTTGTGATGACAATGCGCGACTTGTTTCAGTAAGGTTATTGCACTAACCAACCTAGTCGCGAAACGGTCAGAATCGAGAGCGAAGTCCTTCCGAACGTGAGTTTTCATGACATTTGTTTCGTTGACGAACGTTATTTCACCGTCGTCGTTACCGATCAACGGAAATACTTGGTCTCTATACGAACTTTGCAAATCACTCATGACGTCAACGGGTCCGTTCAACCACACTGACTTTCCAACGTCTTTCGCACGCATTGGCCTAGTCGCACTATCGGCAGGGTTACATTCACTAGAAACGAAACTCCACTGCTGTTTGGAAGATAACTTCAGAATCTTGTCAATCCGATTAGCAACATAAACGAAGAAACGGCGCGTGTCGTTAAATATATACCCTAGTACTACCTGACTGTCGGTATAGTAGTAGGTGGCGTCAAACACAACATCGACGTGTTCGGATATAAATAAACCGAGTTCAGTAGCCAGAACAGCCGCGCATAGTTCTAGTCTTGGAATGGTATGTCCGTGGGAAGGCGCTACTTTCGATTTGCCAAGAACGTATCCAACAGAAGCATTTTCCTGTACGTCATAAATTTTCATGTATGCTACTGCGCCTATGGCATCCTTTGACGCGTCTGAGAATACGTGTAGTTCACGACGAATTGCCTTTTCCAATGACGAATTGGAGTAACATCTCGAAATTTCTAACTGTTCCAGATCTTTAAGCGAAGACCTCCATTTTTTTCCAATCAGAGTTCAAGTCCGGAGGTAAAGGGTCATCCCAGTCAAGATCCTTTGACGATAACACATTTCGCATTAATAGTCTGCCTCCGAGAATAACTGGTGCCACAAAGCCGAGGGGGTCGAATACACTATGTATTGTAGAAAGTACGCCTCGTTTGGTGAACGGTTTCACCTCATCAGAAACACTAAACGTGAACGTATCACAACCGACTTTCCAACGTAGTCCGAGACTCCTATGAACGATATCATCGAAGTCCATATCGCAAATTTCGCTGGTATCCTCTTTTGGAAACTGCTTTAAAACATCAACACTGTTCGACGAGAACTTGTGCAAGTGAATGTTTCCGTTTTGCCGTAATCGAGCTTGAGTGTCTCTCAACAACTGCACTGCGTGACCTTCGTCAGACACAGAGGTCAACCCATCGTCAACGTAGAAGCTCTCTTTGACGAAACAACACACCTCGTCGCACGCGGAAGAATCGATATGGTCGCAAGCAGATTTCCTTAATCCAAGTGTGGCAATACACGGAGAAGACGAGTTGCCAAACACATGCACGCACATACGAAATTCCCTTAGCGGTTGTGTGGGATCATTATCTTGAAACCATAAGAAACGTAGAAAGTTTCTGTCACGCTTGTGCACATAGAAGTTGAAGAACATCTGTTCAACATCGGCCATAATCGCAATTCGTTCCTTCCTGAATTTCATTAACACACCAACCAAATTGTTTATGAGATCCGGACCTGTCATGAGAATGTCGTTCAGCGAATGTCCATTAAACTTTGCCGCCGAATCGAACACGACTCGGATTTTGTTGGGTTTTTGGGGATGATAAACCCCGAATATCGGTAGATACCATGCTTCCTCGCCGTCTTGTAACTCGGGAGCTACCTCTGCATGCTCCTTGTCAAAAATGTTTTGCATAAACGCACAAAACTGTTCGCGCTTAGTAGGATTTTTCAGTAACGACTTTCGTAGATTTTCTGCGCGATGCCTTGCCTGATCCATATTGTTTGACAAAGTAGGTCGTTCCTTTTTTAGCGGTAACGGTGCACTCCAATTACCGTACTCGTCCTTAATAAACTCCCCTTCCATGACACGCATGAATTCCTTATCCTGTTGCGAGTAACCAGGAATATCATCGAATTTTGTTCTTTGAAATATGTCCATTCCAATTGGCAACTTATCGGATTTTTCAAACTGAGCCTTGAAGTAATTCGGACACGGATCCATGAGAGTAGGTCTGCCGTCCGGTAAAACGACCGTTTTGCTCACAGTTATGACCGTAGGTTTGTGAACGAGACCTAGGCACGATTCTCCTACAACTACCCAACCGAATTTTAATTTCTGTGCATATGGTTCACGTTCATGTCCAGTTCGCTGTTCCAACACATGATGCTCCGAAATGAGATCTCTGCCAACGAGAAGCAATATGGGCGTATCGTTTTCATACTCTGGGATAAGATGAGCAATGTCCTGCATGTGACTATAGTGTCGTGCAACTTCCGGTGTAGGTATTTCCTGTTTCACATTCGGAATATGATTGCATTCTGTAATCAACGGTAATTTTAATGAGTATTCCTTGTCCAATGATTCCATTACGTATCCGCTGCCTTGCCTCCCGGTTACCTGAATTTCACCGGCACATGATGAAAGTACGTATCCGGTTTCCGTAGAATGATCTCCAAAATAATCGAAGAACTCACTTTTGGCCAATGTCCGATTGCTCTGCTCATCTATAATGGCATAAGCACGCAACACATTATTAAGTTGTCCGTCCTTGTAGATATTTACTAACACCGTTTTTGCACACGATTTCCCCACGAAGGGACCGGTTTCACCGCACAACTGTGTACACTTGGAATTTATCTTACGATTGTCTCCCCTGATACTTGTCCTTTCCTCGCCGTGAGACTGACGGGGCTGATATTTGTCATCATGAAACATAGTGCAATGCGATGAACCTTTACACACAGTACAGATTACTTTTTCTGTACAGTCCTTGGCCAAATGTTTGTCCTTACAACACTTAAAGCACACGCCGTGTTTTAAGAGAATTTCCCTCTTTTCGTCCTTGGATTTCGATAGAAACAGGTGGCAATCTGATAACAAATGCTTCACTTCTCTCGCACTGTCATGAAATGGGCACAAAAATGCTGTAGGCACATTATTAACTTCCGTTTTCTTTGAAAAGACGTATGCATTCCTACTTCCGGTAGACGCAGTACGACGTTGTTCTTTGCTGACGCTAGGTACCACAGTACCATCGGTGTAATTGAAACTCGGGTTGTTCATTCGCGAGCTCATTTCCTGTATGAACCTCTCGAAAACACTGAATTTCGGATATGTAACATTGTGCTCGGTTTGATATCTGCACGCATAGTCAGTCCATTTGTTTTGTATGAACACGGGTAACTTGCAAACAATTGGTCGAAAGATCAAACAATTTCTGACCATCTCGGTTCGTTAATTTCGGGAATTTGTTTAGCCTTTCCCTCAAAGATAACTCAATTTGCTCGGGCGCGCCGTACTTCTCACTGAGCCTAGTCCAGATTTTACACAAGGCTTGGGGTGGGTCGTGTATGTTTGCAGCACGTAGACTTACAGCCTGTTTTCGAGATTCTGGCCCCAACCATTTCGATAATAAGTCTAATTGTTCTTGAGGGCTTACATCAAGTTCCTTTGCAACATTTAGGAATGACATTTTCCAGACACGATACTCCTCGGGTTTATCAGTAAACTGAGTGAGTCTACCCATAAGCAAGTCTTTCTTTAGCATAAATTTGGTCAAATCATTCAGTCCAGTTACACACTGACCTGGGGTGAATTCTCGAGCCTCAACGTTTAACGGTACTTTATGTGAATAGGGGTCGAATGTTTCATAACCGGTGTTCAAATTTTAGGCTTGACTTTGCACAAATTCAACTGTCCTAGACTTCCTGTGTAACTCCTCATCATCCGACGGTGCTTGTGAACAATGTCTGATAGGGCTACCAGTGTCAATAACGTCATCCATAGCCTTAAGCTCGGCTGCTGCCTCGTCCAGTTCTCTTTGTGATTTTAACAGCTGAAGGGATTTTTGCAATTCGGCCTCTTTCTCAACAAATTTTAGCCTCACTTTGGCCGCTTCCAATTTCGCTCGTTGTTTCATATATACTGAACTGACCCTGGAGATGTTAGTTATGCTAGAACGCACTGAGGTTTTACTTGTTTTCGACTTTATTGACATAATATCCGAAACGCCGTTTTTATATTCACTTACACTATGCCGAGGATTTTCCTCGACTACAGACCCCTGTGAAATGTTATCGACCACAGATACAGTTTGAACTGGTTTTATTTTGTCAATAAATGATTGAATTTGGTCCAAAACCGTGTCACACTGGGATTTTAATGTTTCCACAGCTGTCATATGAGATAATAATTCTTCCTGACCTTGTTCCGTTCTACTTTCTTCCAAATATTTACTGAATTTGGTTGAAACTTGTTCATAGGATTCATATGATTGGGTAATGTCTGATGCCAAGGATTTTAATTCATCCAAGTTCATATTTTCATACTCAATATCAGTTATGAGACAATCTAAATTTCTGTATAAATTTAACAGTCTATGTTTATACTTGCCGACTGTGTCCTCAAATGCCTGATGTGCCTTTTCCGTCATTTTGATGGTTCTTTTTCCCGGGTTTTCAGCCATGAGTTTTTTACTGTGATGTCGAGTGAGTCCAAAGAAATACAAACTAAACGCCTTTAATGAGTTCCTTTATTACATATACAAAGTTCCCAGTTCCTATAGCCATAGTTCACAATCATCACAAACACAGTGTAGGGGTTCTTGGTTGCACCTAGCTTGCGCCCCAACCTGCGGTAAAAAAACTGAAAAATACAGAAATTAACCTGTCCTTAGTACATATTTCAACAAAATTAATCAAACTTCAAACGTTTAAACCGTATTAAAGTTACCTCATGGGTCACCTAAGCCTTGCTAAATCCGCAAGTCTGTTTCCTTTGGACTTTCACGTAAACATATCCCATGATGCATTTTTCCACGATGTACAAAGAATGAACTCTGAACCCTGACCTGACTACCAGAGCAGACGGACAATATAAAACTAGCGTTTCACTACATAGAGGCTATGCTCTCAAGAGGCTGCAGGTTTGCAGCCGAGAGTGGATAATTTGGTGAATTTATGCAGCTTAAAATATCGAACCTATAGGTTCACTTCCCACCCTCTCCAATTACGGTCACATCTAACACAACAACAACAACAACAATATCGAACCTATAGGTTCACTTCCCACCCTCTCCCTTTACGGTCACATCTAACACAACAACAACAACAATATCGAATCTATAGGTTCACTTCTCACCCTCTCCCTTTACGGTCACATCTAACACAACAACAACAATATCGAACCTATAGGTTCACTTCCCACCCTCTCCCTTTACGGTCACATCTAACACAACAACAACAACCACAATATCGAACCTATAGGTTCACTTCTCACCCTCTCCCTTTACGGGCACATCTAACACAACAACAACAACAATATCGAACCTATAGGTTCAACAAATACAACAACAACAACAACAACAATAACAACAACAACAAAAGATTGATTAGTTCAAATATTAGTCTAAAGGAAAAAAACTCTTTCACCTTACCTCGGTTTCTTCCCGGCCGTGCCACAATCCTTCGTGGTCCCCGACTACGTGTTTATTAATGGTATAATTGTTTAATAAAGGCTGTATTTAAACCGAGGCCACGGATTAATTTAACCGAGGTCACGGATTATTTAAACTGAGGCCACGGATTATTTAAACTGAGGCCACGGACTAATTAAACCGAGGCCACGGATTATTTAAACCGAGACCTCGGATTAATAAACTGGGGCCACGGATTAATTAAACCGAGACCTCGGATTAATTAACTGAGGCCACGGATTGATTATACCGAGACCTCGGATTACTAAACCGAGGCCACGGATTAACATTTTTTTCCTGATGTCCCTTCCCGGGCTCCATACTAAAAACTAAAGTCACATGAAATGTTTAGTTAGCAGGTGTTACGGGAAAATGGCGTCTAGCTGTAAGTAACATCAACTTCATGGGGCTTTTTATCGGGGTATTTTATATATTATACAGTGTCAAGGAACAGTCTGGGATACATTGTACTTCTGATATATGTTTACTGTTCTAATAACTCTTCCAAAGTCAGCTGTTTTTACAAACGATTGCTTGATTGTTATAACCAGGTGTGTTATGTATTAAACATGTGACAACTTTTGAACAAACAGTTTGTTTGATTTAATGATAGCGCTTTATGCCTGGAATATTCAAGCCACATTTGTATTCTGTTCGCTACCATCAAAGACACTGTAGTGTCCATCCTTGCCCATTCACTCATTCTTTTCTTGGAATACTAGGACATGTGCACGTGTCAAAATTATTAGCACGCTTGTTTAGTTACCGGATATATATTTAATAGAGCATCACTTAGAATGCTTGAAACAGACACATCAACAGTATGTGTGTATGAGTGAAAGTAGGATGAAAGTTAAATACTATGAATTACCTCCCTTTACTGTTGTTAGTGTTACCTCCCTTGCATTTGTTATTTGTATAAATTCCTGTTGGGTAGTTTCACATTGCAGTTTTATTTAACAAGGTCTATCCCAGATGTATATCTCAAGAAGATTGTTATTGTAATATTCTGAGGGAGAATCGGTTATATCGGTTTTGTAATCAAACCCAGGAAGAATACGAGTCACATTTTGTTCAAATTCTGTCCACTATATGTAGATATTCGTCAAAAGTTCAATAAGAAGTATTATTGGAACCGTCGACTTCGTATAAACTTGTCCAGCTGTTACATGTATACGTAACAGAAAGGAATTCTGTAACATAGGAAAGTATCTGCAATAGAGATTATCAGTATGATCTAGATTCCAGCTTTAACTTATTGTCTTTTCACTGTGATTAGCATAGCATGAGTATTCATGTGTCTACAACATTATATATATGTATTGTTGTCGTTAATCTCCTGACTATGACACTTTGTACCTATGTATCCCTGTTCGAGCCTTTATTTGATAATGTTGATAAGTAAATGCTGTCACTGCACTTTATCGTTCTATTCTAGCTTATGAAATATAATGTTATGTCAATGTACACTTATATAAAGTTACTACACAAGAGCTGCCCATCTTCCATGTCTATCTTGTACATAATAATGACAGAGTATATATACTAACTAAATACAAAGTACGAGATCATGCTTCATACATGATGATATAATATCTTTGTATTTCATATTACTTAGGTATCAGTGATATGTTGTTACGAATGCTTATGAGCTGTAAGGCCTCAGTTTAAATAAAACAATTAATAACAATAAACATTTTTTAATCCCCTACAGCACAGCCTGTTTTTGGTAATGGTTATAGTCTTTTAGCATATCACTGTATTGTCATTGTTTCCTAAAACAAAACCATCCTATTGTTTAAAAACAACGGCACTCGGAGAACATCCCTTCAGGACTACATTTGCATGTTAACATAAGTGAATCATAATGCCTGCTTTGCCTACTTGAGAAATTTACATGTACAAAAGTGTTAGAACTAGATAAATGTATTGCACGTCTTTAATACTAAATGGTTATCTATTGTAACATTGTATAGACTCTGAAAGTGAAAGTGAATGTATATAATTTCCGAAAATTTGATTTTTGTTTTTTACAAAACATGACTCATTAAAATCTACTTGTATATAAATCTATGCAAGGCTGGCATATCACATATCCGGTTTGGTCTCTACAAGGTTCAGTCCAGGATACCGGCGGTAAGTAATAAAATGATACAAAGATGTGGGCCTGTAGGGTAGATCATTCCTATGTAACTCGTTATTGTCATTGACTCTATTCAATATTTATGTACTAGAACCTTGAAATTTGTACATTATTCTTATCCATATGGCAGTCATGTGCAGAGGGGCTTGCTTTAAGTTTAATCTAATATGTAGACAATACTGTTTAACACTAAATGGCTAGCTACTGTACTACTAAAAAATGCGGTGTTAGTGTCTGTCATACATACAGTACTTTTATAGAAGCCAACACGTACTGATATGGTGGATAAAAGATATACATTCCCTAACACAGCTATACAGATACGTATAAATGGACTCTGAAAGTGAAAGTGAAAGCATGTAATTTCCGAGAGCTTGATTGATTTTTTTTTTTTTACAAAACATGACTCATTAAAATCTACTTGTATATAAGTCTATGTAAGGCTGGCATATCACATATCCGGTTTGGTCTCTACAAGGTTCAGTCCAGGATACCGGCGGTAAGTAATAAAATGATACAAAGATGTGGGCCTGTAGGGTAGATCATTCCTATGTAACTCGTTATTGTCATTGACTCTGTTCAATATTTATGTACTAGAACCTTGAAATTTGTACATTATTCTTATTCATATGGCAATCATGTGCAGAGGGGCTTGCTTTAAGTATAATTTATGATATAGACAATAAACACAGCACTAACGTGAAGGTCACGACATATCACATATCAAATAAGTGTTTTCAATACTTATGAATCTGGAAAACTCTTGATTTGCCGATGATACACATTATACTCGCTAACTTCTAGTCTAAATGTCATCAAGTGTATTTAGTAAAGTTATAAATAGAAATACTGCCTTTTCTGCTCCTCACTGCAAAATCTTACAGCATGTTTATACAAAGTTAATCTCGGAGACGAAAGTTACAAATAATTTAACTTATCTAAAATTTCTTGTAAATACACACAGAAAGTCCGCTTCTTTTTTCACTGGTTATTTTAGTACCCTTTGTCAGCAGCTCTTTAAAACAGGGTGTTGCCTAGCTACCCCAGCTTACCAGCAGCACAAATATATGAATAATGCCTAAATATCAGCTGATTAATTAACTGATGGCAAGTCAAAACTTAACTTACTCACTGAAGAGGAATACCAACGGGAAATAGGGTTCCCCACGGGATATTTACGACCAATGAGCAACCGGTCATTTCCATAGTTTCCCCCGCTCCCAAAACTGATTGCTACATATGTGTGTTTGTCTCGGGGACCACACAAGGCTAGATTTAGATGATTCTTTTCAATCAATTTTGATTTTCTTCAATCGACTCAAAATTTAGACCCTAAGTACCACTGGCAATTCCTGGAAGGACAAAACAGTTCTGTGAAGCAGTTTACTCTGTACTTATATCTCACTTGTTTGTCATTTGTTCAGTGTTTACTGGGGCTTAGAAGAGTGAAAGCTACAAAGTGAGTCATAAACATCGGAATCATCTAAACACAGATAGGCTTTACGTTTGAATATTAAAAAGTCAAGGACGTGTATATTCTGAACTGGTGACAACAACAAATCTCAGAGAGTCTGTCAACAGACCATAACAACCAGTAATCTCAAAAGCTCGTAATGATATACACCTTTCAATAGTTACGGTGATTTAATTAAGATTGTATATGCTGTGAATTGTTGTTGTGTATTTAAAGAGTGAAAAATTTAGTAATTATCCTGTGCACTAGAATGTACCTTGTAATTTAAACTAAAATGCACCTGTATATATGTGCTGTTAATTTATATACATAACCCTTAAGTATCGGTGACATAATGCCGATTGGTACCTGCTTGATAACAAAGGATATCATTAAGTGGAAGTCAGTGAACAATATCAGTTAATTAAATAGCCCTAGCTATTCACAACTATCTACTTGAATGGTGCTAGTTTTTTTCCGTAACGTAACACATGTGTAAAAAACTTCGAAAAAAAATCCTTTTCAAATGAGTAACAATGAACTTTTTGTGTGGCAAAAAATTATATGGAGTCACTGGATGCGAAGCATGAAATATTTCTTAACCTTCAAACGTGACAGCAAAATTTCTGCCATTTCTGTTTCCAGCAGGTCCGTAGGATATAAACAGGTTATGTTTTCCGTTTCCAACAGCCCCGTAAGACATAAACAGGTTACGATTTCTGTTTCCAACAGGTCTGTAGGACATATACAGGCTATGATATCCATTTCCAACAGGTCTGTAGGACATATACAGGCTATGATATCCATTTCGAACAGGTCTGTAGGACATATACAGGCTATGATATCCATTTCCAACAGGTCTGTAGGACATATACAGGCTATGATATCCATTTCCAACAGGTCTGTAGGACATATACAGGCTATGATATCCATTTCCAACAGGTCCGTAGGACATATACAGGTAAAGATAACAATAATTAAATTAAAAATTTTAACCGAATTTCGAGACAAAACACGTATTTGGTAGTGTATAAAATACTAAAATTTGGTATGAACTTGGTGTGGGATAATGCTTTCAATTTTGTTGGAAATGTGTATCGGAACTTTGATCTTTGTTCCCGCTTTCCTGAAGTGAGACACACAATGTATAAAGAGGTCACAAAATCATCAATATGATGACAATCAAATTGCGAGAAATGGGCTTTAACGAGACTAACTAACTTTAACGCGATAAACTAACTAGCTTTAACGAGATCAGTTGACTAGTTTAACGGCATTAACTAACTAGCTTTAACGAGATTAACTAACAATCTTTGTCGATATAGATTACGCGTTTGAACGAGACGGTAATACACTTTAATGAGACAGTAAGCAAGTTTTAACTGAAACGCCCTGTTTAATGCTCTCTGTACTTTTTCATCAATTTCAGTGTACATGTAATTATTTTCTTTTATTCATTGTTTACTCTAGTTTTCTTTTTGAGTTTGGATCATGACATCTGTTGACATAATGGTATTTTCTTTGTATTTTAATACGCAATTAATGAGATATTTCATTTTAACAAGACATTTATCGCATTTTAACGAGTTAATTACAGCGTATTAACGAGATATTTGATTCGTTTGAAATAGAGAGTTAAGGTGTCTTCTGTCTATGTAACGTATAACTCACTTTAACAAAATAGTTATCGCGTTTTAAAAGTAAGCCAAGCTATAACTAGATGATTATCGCGTTAGAACGTGATTACAATTGATACTTTTTCAATTGATCCTAAGGCCTTTGTAGAAGGTTTATTGCTACTTATTGTATGACAATGAATGGTTTCAAGGTAGAAGAGTGTTCAAACAAATAAATTACCTAACAGCATGGCCGACATGTCGTGCCCCGGAAGTCATGAAATATAATAGCTTGGATATATTTAATATTAGTAGTTAGCAAATATCTTCCATCCTGAAAGTCATTTCAGGCCGGAGTTACTTTTTTGTAACCTGGCAATCATTTTATTTGTAGAATATGTCGAAGTCATGGTATAAACACAGAATAAAGAACAGGCAGTGAAGAGAACCTTTTCATGTCTGGAAAGATATACGTATCATCAAGATGCCCCATGGAAAACCTGATCGTTTATTTTCTCTTGTGCGCATGGAATCGCTACTGGACAAAAGCCACAGCAGCAAGGATGTACTTGATATCCTAGTATCTAGTGGGCGTTCCCGGGCGCTGATGACCTTAAACACGCCCGACCTACCGCCTGTTAATATTGCCTCTTGGCTAGCGGTCATCGCCAAGGCCGTCCGATGTGGGACGGAAAGGGCGATGGTGATAGACCTTCTCACTATGGTTCTCGGCACCAGATTCTTTACAAGCGAGATTCCTGCCGCCTTGTCAATTTTTAGAAGCAGCAAATGTGAGGAGGACACTATAAAATTTATTCAGAATTTAGTAGACCTAATCCACCAACTTCTTCTGTGTCTTCCACATTCAATCATTGACGCTTTTGGACATATTGTGATCGTAAAGAAAATAACTGATGACATGCTGCTTACCACATCAAGCAGTAATAGACAGCACGTACAATCATTGTCCGATTCTGTCTTAAATTTGAAGGACACCGCTCAGGAAAGGATGACTGCATACGGCAAAGGTCGCAGTAAGACCAGAACTGAACGACAGCCTCCACCAGACGATTTCCGAAGGATTCCGATATTACCAGGGACATCAGATATCTTCCTGAATTCTCGCAGAGTATATCTGCGGGAAAACAAAGCTGTTGGAGGATATGAAAACCTCGATCATTATCTTGACGTTCAGTTTCGTTTGTATCGAGAAGACTGCATCAGTCCGTTACGAGATGGTATCATTGAATATGTAAGAGCAGTGAACGCAGGACAAAATATCGGTAGACTTCAAGATGGAAAGCTGTATAAGAAAATAGTTGCCATATCTAAGGAATCAACTATAGAAGGCGAACAATATGTCATAAAAATGGACAAAGAACATTCCAGTAAAATAAACTGGATGTCAAGTCAAAGACTTATCTACGGTTCATTGGTGTGTCTCTCTGCCGACAACTTTCACAATATGCATTTTGCTGTAGTGTCCCAATCAGATCGTAGGGATCTTCAAAAAAAGAGGGAATTTTCAGTTGTATGTCCTGGAAATGATATCCTACCATTCGAGAGGAACATGACAATGGTGGAATCTTCGGCTTACTTCGAAGCCTATAGGCACGTGCTTGCAGGACTACAGAACATAGGGAAGGGAGAACTTCCCTTCGAAAAACATATAGTTGAGTGCAGAAAAGACGTAGACCCTCCATTTTATCTGGCAAAGAGAGAAACTGCTTATGATCTTCAGCCGATTCTTTCGAATCAATTAATATTTAAAGGAAAAAGCAATGTCAACAACAATTCTAGAAAACGCTGTATGGTGGGTACCCTATTACCGAAATCAGTGTGGCCACACGCGGAGAAGCTTCACTTAGATCAATCTCAATTCGAGGCATTCCACGCTTCTCTGACACAGGAGTTTGTCCTGATACAGGGGCCGCCGGGAACAGGTAAAACTCATGTTGGCCTTGCGATTGCCAAAACCCTTCTTCATAACAAAACTGCCTGGGCGACAGACGAGACGGAAATAAAAGATAAGAAGAAAATTGAAAGAAAGTGCCCAATGCTCGTGGTGTGTTTTACTAATCATGCGTTGGACCAGTTCATGGAAGGGATCGTTAAGTTCCTTGATCCAAGTGCAAAATCGTCATGGAAAAATGACATTGTTCGTGTAGGAGGGCGAAGTGAAAATACCACAATAGAAGAGTTTTCACTGAAAAAACGTAGATATCTCTTCCGTGGGAGAGGAGTAGACGAAAAAGGAATATTTGACTCCGTGCAAAATTTACAGCTAGGTATTGCAAACATTAAATATCGACTTGGAAAATGCAAGTCAGTCATTCTTGACGCTTCTCATTTGAAACCAGTGATGTCCGAGCATACTTACAAAGCTTTTAAAGAGAAACGGTTTGGATCCCAGCAACTTTTCAAATGGCTAGGAGCTGACGAAATCAGTTGGATGCAAAAGGCTCAAACGGCATATTTCCAGCGGCTGGAGACGTTTCAAAGACGGCAAATGTATCCAGAAATACAGAAAGAAGAGGAACTACTGGACGTCAAGACAGACGCCGAGATATTTGAAGATGACAGACGTATTGAAGACGATACTGTTGCTAGCCTAAAGGTTGAAAAAGATATAGGCCTGGATATGAAATATTCAATTTCATCTATATTGCAAAATGGTGAAAATGTCTCAGAAACACCACATATGGATGATCTCTTCAAAGCATTGATTACAAAAGAAATAACGAAAACTTTTGACGAACTTAAATCAGAAGACATCATGACTGACAGGGAAGCAGGTTTTTCTTCATCATGGAACCTTGAGAAGTTGAGTTCATATGACATAGATAATAGATGGCGATTATACAGGTACTGGGTACGAAAGTTCATGGCGGTAGAGGAGGAAAAACTTTCAACTTTAGAAAGGGAACTTTCTGAAACTCTTAAAGATTACCAGAAAGAGAAAAAAAGGAGAGACGCTATGATTCTGAAGTCAGCTACAGTTATAGCAATGACAACAAGTGGCGCAGCGCGTTACCATGACGTGTTGAAGGACATTGGGCCCAGGATCGTTATTGTAGAGGAAGCTGCCGAGGTGTTGGAGACACACATCGTGACCGCTCTCAGTCCGAAATGTGAGCATCTTATTCTGATCGGGGATCACAAGCAATTGGAACCAAAACCCTCTGTTTATCGATTGGAACAGGAGTACAATTTGGGAGTATCTTTGTTTGAGAGAATGCTGAATAATGGCATAGAAAATCACTGTCTACAAAGACAGCACAGAATGAGACCAGAAATTTCAACACTTGTCCGTGATATATATCCCGTGTTAGAAGACAATGAGAATGTTTTCAAATATGATCATGTGATGGGTATTGAAAAAGATGTCTTTTTTATCAGTCACAATAGTCAAGAGGACTTCGGAGGAGATACAAGAAGCTTCTCTAACGCTCACGAAGCCTGCTATGTCGTTGCCCTGTGCAGACACTTGATGAAGCAAGGATATGCGCCAAACCAGATAACAATCCTGGCTGCCTATTCAGGACAGATGTTCTGCATTAGGAACAAGATGCCAAGAAATGAATTTGAAGGAGTACGAGCTGTTGCTATAGACAACTTTCAGGGCGAAGAAACGGATATAATCCTCCTTTCGCTAGTTCGAAGTAACAAAACAGGCAACATTGGATTCTTGAAGAGAGAAAATAGAGTTTGTGTTGCACTTTCAAGAGCTAAGATAGGACTGTATGTCATCGGAAATTTTTCAATGTTTAAAGCGGCAAGTCCTCTGTGGGAGAAAATCATAAAGAAAACGAAATCAGCTCACCAGTTTGGAAACGCTCTACCAGTCGTATGTCAAAATCACCCACACACCCATAATCTAATGACATCTGCCACAGACTTTGACAAATTACCCGATGGTGGATGTGACCGAAAGTGTGACTTTCGCCTTCCTTGTGGCCATGTGTGCAGATTATTCTGCCACCCAACAGATAAGGAACATACTGAATATAAATGTAAAGAGATATGCACGAAGACCTGCTCAAAAGGTCATCCATGTAAGAGAAGATGCCATTATAATGAGGACTGTAAATGCCCAGTGCGAATGGAAAAAGTTCTTCCGTGTGGGCACAGGGCGACTATGAAATGCCATATATCAGCAAAAGATTACAAATGTGAAGTTATAGTGGAACGATCTCTTGCTTGTGGACATGAAACAAAAATGGAATGCCATGTAGATCCTGTAAAGTATCAGTGCAAACAAATCGTTACACGAAAGCTGCCAGGTTGTCAACACACAGCAGAACTAGAGTGTCATATAGACCCCATAACCTATCAGTGCAGAAAAATCGTTACACGAGAGCTATATGCATGTAAACACACGGCAGAATTAGAATGCTGGGTAGATCCAACGAAATACAAATGCACGGTCGAGGTAATAAAAATTAGAGAAGATTGCGGACACAATTATGATGTCGTTTGTAGCAGGTATTCGCCGTCTTATGAAAGGAACAACCAATGCACTGTTGTTATTTCAAAGAACTTCTCTGAATGTCAGCATCAAGTGGAGGTTGCCTGCTATGTAGATATCAGCGAAATGAAATGCAGAACCATCGTTAGAAAGCAATGGAAGTGTTCACATACCGCTGACTTACAGTGTTGGAGCTATAAAGAAGCAAAATGCGAACAAAAATGTTTACGAAAGTGTTCAATAGGACATAAGTGTTATAAGACATGTCATTATCCTGAGAATTGCATTTGCAAACATCTTGTCGATAAGGCAATGCCATATTGTTGTCATATTCAACAAATTATGTGTCACATAGATCCCAGTAGTATAGACTGTCCTGAAATTGTCAGTAAAGAACTTCCCCGCTGTGGACACGTGATGGAAATGCCATGTCATGAAGATCCAAATCAAATGAAATGCATGAAAATCGTCTCAAAACGTATAAAGCTGTGTGGACACTCAAAAGAAATGGAATGCTTTTTGGATCCCAGCGAATTCAAGTGCACCTCTCTGGTTGAAAAAGTTCTTCCCAAATGTGGACATATCAAAACCTTAAAATGCTCTGCTGATCCAAACAATCACAAATGTGATCAAAACGTACGCAAAAAACTTCCATGTGGCCACGAGACCAACATGAAATGTTGCCAATATCCGGACAAGTCCACTCCTTGTCATGTGAAGGTGAAAGTGTCCAGACAAATATGTAGCCATACAGTAGAAGTTGAATGTTCTAAGAAGACCAGCATTGACCCAAATAAGTTGAAATGTTACAAAATGACAAAAAAGGAACTGATGTGTGGACACGAGCGTTCCGTGGAATGTTGGAAGTCAGACTTAAAACAGCAGTGTCACCAGAAATGTTCAGTTACGCTATTGTGTGGACACCTTTGTGGAGGTGAATGTAGAAAATGTTCGAAAAGTCTCTTCCACGAGAATTGTCAAAATTTATGTTACAAAGCCCTTATCTGTGGCCACACATGCCACAAGAAAAAGTGTGGCTCATGTCAACCATGTGAGAAGCAGTGTGAGAATTACTGTTCGCACCGTCACTGTGCACATGCTTGTGGAAGTGAGTGTGGTCCTTGTAAGGATAAGTGCTCGCTTGAGTGTCCACATCACAAATGTTCTCGGCTATGTTACGAGCAGTGCGATCGACCACGATGTAACCGTCGTTGTCCTCAGATACTGAACTGTCAACATAGATGTGTTGGATTTTGTGGTGACCCGTGCCCTACAAACTGTGTCAAGTGCGGAATCACAGACATACAGGAAGTCGACGTCCTGAAGTCGACTTCAGACAACGTGCGCATAGTACGATTAGTGGACTGTGGACATGAGTTCGAATCCAGTTATTTAGACCATGTCGCTGATGGAGTGACTAATCCATTGGACATTTTTAGGTGTCCAAAATGCCAAGAAATTGTTCGATGGCATCCGAGATATGCCAATGTGTTGAAAATGCAACGAGAAGCAATAGACTCGGTCAAAGGCATGATAAAACTACAAGATGCACAAGGATGTATACTGAAAAAATCATTTCCAAAAGAGCAGGGAGATATTCAAGATGTCAATGTATATATCAAAAGATTCCATACCTTCTTATATATTTGGGAGAAGCTTCATGACAGGACGACTGAGGTTGAATTAATACTTCAATGGGCTGTTTCGTTTACGAAAATGTTTGGACAGTTGCTAAACAGTTCACCTCACAACATATTAATGACACTGGAACAAGTACATTCCATAAATAGGAACATGTGTAAGTTGTCTGCAGTTTGGCTTCTGTTTATTAGCAGTCAGTGGAGAAACAAATCCTCCGACATTCAGGTCGAATCCACGACAACTGTGCAGCCAACATGTGACAAAACGATAATTAATGTTCTAGAGGAACAAAACAACATCAGTGAGGCAGAGGTCTTCATTCGAAAAACTGACACATTTTCTCAATCAAGTCTACAGAAAGTGCGTCAACTGCTCCATCCATTTTTGACAAATACCTCGGAATCAACCATTGCTCTTAATTTCCCAATATTGGCAGCTTTTGGTATTCACAAAGACGACTGGATAATTTGTGATAAAGGTAAGTCTTATAAGCGAAACAGAATTATACTCAAATTTGTATAAGTGAAAAAAGCAACATGTTATTAATTATTTTATCATATTTTGTAATAACATGCGTAATATAGCTCTAAACATTCTTTTGAAGGCCATCCCAGACCATCAAACATCTGGAGCAAGACATGCTCGAAGTGTTCCCGTAAAAATGATTTTAAACAGGTAAATATAGTTGAATTTCATCCGACACTATAATTTATTTGAATTATTTAAACTGATTTTCTATACTTATCTCATTTCCAATTGTAACACAAAATCGCTTTTTATCATGATAGCGTGAACTGAAAATAGACGATTTAAGAGGAGAGGATGGGTGTGGGAGAAGTCACAACCATACACGTGGTATAGGAAGTGACCCAAAAATGCCTACAGGACGCGGACGAGCACGAAGGCGAAGCCGAGGCCGAGGAAACCATGATGGATCAGTGAAATTTGTGCAAAGTAGAGGGGAAGGAGAATTCAAGGCAAAAAGTGATGGTAGAAATGAAAGACATTTGCGTGATGAGGGTGATGAGAAAGATAAACAGGTGCGTGGTATTGGACATGGCAGAGGAAGGAATGGGAAAATGGGTAATGTGGGCGAAAAAAAGGGAAACATGGGTGTAGACGACAGAAAAGCCATAAGTAAAGGGGATGGACACAACTGGGGTAGGGAAAATAAGGAAAGAAATGTCGTCGGTAGCAAAGGAAAGGGTGATGAAGGCAGAGATAAAAAATGGGGTCATGGGTGTGATACAGGAGTGCAGAGACACGATTGTGAAGAAAGTGATGACGGGGGACACAATGGGAAACCTAGAATAGGGCATGGTAGAAGGCAAGGCAGAAAACAAAGTAGTGGCGGAACCATTCCTATTAGAGATAGTAATGATAGAGTAGCAAGCGGAGAAAGTATATCAGAGCGAGGAAAAAACAGAGAGGACGGTACACAGCGTCGGCGAGGACGAGTACGTTGTCGAGGGAGCACAAGATCACTGCGTGAAGTAGGTTGTAATGACAGTGGTGACGACAAAGGGGGACTTAGTAATGATACAGGAGACAAAGACCACCAAAAAAGGGGGAAATGTGGAAGGCGTAGTGGAGTGAGTAAAGAGGAAAGTGGTGCAATGAATACGCAAAGGAAAGAAGTAGGGAATAATGGAGAAAGTAACAGAGGACGAGGAAATGGTGAGCGCGGCAGGGGAATTAGAGGTGGGCGTGGTAGAGGAAGTCGAGGTGGACGTGGCAGAGGAAGAAGGGGCCAAGGTGGAAGAAGTAATTAGGGGAGTTCTAATGTGCATACAGTTGACGATTGTCGAAGGAAAGTAGTAGGAGGCAGCTTGGCAAAATAATTTATGAAGAACGTCGAGAAAGGTTTAGGGAATGTTGTATAGAGTGACATCGGGATGACAAAGGAAGATAAACGAAGTGGAGAGATATTCCTTGAAAGTTACACACGTCCATGTATCTACCAGTGTGAGACTTAATAATCTTCTCTTTCCAGTTGAGATCACCTATCTGTGATAGAGAAACAGAGAACCTGAACGATATGAGAATGAGGAACGGGTGGTTAGGGAAAGGGTGTAGAGGAGTATTGTGGACGATGACTGCGTGCATCAGACTGTGCAGGTAGCTTCAAATATCATAGACGGAGTGCAAGAGAAATAAGAAAATGAAGACGAGACTGAGAGTGGGTGTGTACAGGAAGCATACAGGTTGTTATCAAAGTGAGTAGAAGATAGCATAGGAGAGAAATGGATGTGTTTGTCACATTAGCTATTGTAACTGAAGTGAACAACAAAATTAGATATGCCAAATCTCCATTTAGAATACATGTATATATATAGTAATTTAGCTTGTTTCTATGTAAGTCTTTGTTTGGAATGCATTGAGTGTGAATTGAGATACTAATACTATATTTTCATAAATTTAATTCTATGACATTTTATGATTTGTTACTGATGTGATATGTATGTATTACTTTGTACATATAAAACTGGCTACAATAGGTAATTCAAATGTACAGTTTATGTACACGTGTAGGTGTTTATTTAACCAATCTCATGTTCTCTTGTATATATATATATAATATACCGGTTTATGCAAATATATTTTTCAAAGCATAGATAAAAACTAGGTGATATCATTCCATCATCGTTAAGGAGTATCAGGACACGTCTGTATCGTTTTCACTTTCGCTTTCATGGACGGGGACTCCTTCCTGATAACGGACGTGCATTATCCGGCCCAAATCGCCTATCTATCTCAGAGTACACTATTGCGGTTGACACCCTATGTACATGCCGGTTGATACTCCATTAATCAGACTGATCATATTTAACTTTTACTTTTCACTTGATATATTTTGTGGTCCGTCTACACGATTTGTAAAACTGTTTGTTGAAGAGGTCACGTTAGTGCACTCAGTAGGGTGTTATTCTATACGCAAGCACGGCAGAAGATCGGAGGCGTGTGGTTCGACAATCCCAGTCCTTGGTGGTTGTGGCCACTAGGAGACAAAAATGCTCTAATATTTTCTTACGAAACATTTGTGCTTCTGAGGAAACGGATCGCCGGACTGTACTGTCGTAGTTTTGTCCTTTCAATAGTGATGCCTTGATTTATGTTGACCTCATTGACCTTGTTACTTGCTCCGTAAAGTCCGGATCATTGAAGTATGATTCAGGTTGACCTACTTTTATTATTGCTTATGGTATATATATGAAATTTTGGTCTATTTTTCAATTTTATTGATAAGCATGCTGAATGTACTTTTTATTTTTTTCTTAGAATACTTAGAATGGCTCACCTCTAAATATGTTTCAATTGTAAAGATGAGTACGAATTACCATACACCGGTCTGTAATACTGTTAGGATAATTAGACACCTAGGTATATGTAAGGTTGACCTAGTTAATATTGGCTGTTTTAATATTAATCATTAGATATAACTAGGATTTACCTAATTAATGATGTTTAGACTCTAGGAAATGTGTTGGTCTAGTATGTAAACATTATTGTATAGATTACTAGTCGCCATCTGTAAAGTATGGGTAACAAGCTTGATATAGAATAATATCCATCTGTAAAGTATGGGTAACAAGTTTGATATAAAATAATATCCATCTGTAAAGTATGGGTAACAAGCCTGATATAGAATAATATCCATCTGTAAAGTATGGGTAACAAGTTTGATATAGAATAATATCCATCTGTAAAGTATGGGTAACAAGTTTGATATAAAATAATATCCATCTGTAAAGTATGGGTAACAAGCCTGATATAGAATAATATCCATCTGTAAAGTATGGGTAACAAGCTTGATATAGAATAATATCCATCTGTATAGTATGGGTAACAAGTTTGATATAGAATAATATTCATCTGTAAAGTATGGGTAACAAGCCTGATATAGAATAATATCCATCTGTAAAGTATGGTTAATAAGTTTGATATAGAATAATATCCATCTGTATAGTATGGGTAACAAGTTTGATATAGAATAATATTCATCTGTAAAGTATGGGTAACAAGCCTGATATAGAATAATATCCATCTGTAAAGTATGGGTAATAAGTTTGATATAGAATAATATCCATCTGTATAGTATGGGTAACAAGTTTGATATAGAATAATATTCATCTGTAAAGTATGGGTAACAAGCCTGATATAGAATAATATCCATCTGTAAAGTATGGGTAACAAGCTTGATATCCATCTGTAAAGTATGGGTAACAAGCCTGATATAGAATAATATCCATCTGTAAAGTATGGGTAACAAGTTTGATATAGAATAATATCCATCTGTATAGTATGGGTAACAAGACTGATATAGAATAATATTCATCTGTAAAGTATGGGTAACAAGCCTGATATAGAATAATATCCATCTGTATAGTATGGGTAACAAGCTTGATATCTATCTGTAAAGTATGGGTAACAAGTTTGATATAGAATAATATCCATCTGTAAAGTATGGGTAACAAGTTTGATATAGAATAATATCCATCTGTATAGTATGGGTAACAAGTTTGATATAGAATAATATTCATCTGTAAAGTATGGGTAACAAGCCTGATATAGAATAATATCCATCTGTAAAGTATGGGTGACAAGTTTGATATAGAATAATATCCATCTGTAAAGTATGGGTAACAAGCCTGATATCTATCTGTAAAGTATGGGTAACAAGACTGATATAGAATAATATTCATCTGTAAAGTATGGGTAACAAGTTTGATATAGAATAATATCCATCTGTAAAGTATGGGTAACAAGCCTGATATAGAATAATGTCCATCTGTAAAGTATGGGTAACAAGTTTGATATCCATCTGTAAAGTATGGGTAACAAGCTTGATATCCATCTGTAAAGTATGGGTAACAAGCTTGATATCCATCTGTAAAGTATGGGTAACAAGTTTGATATCCATCTGTAAAGTATGGGTAACAAGTTTGATATAGAATAATATCCATCTGTAAAGTATGGGTAACAAGCTTGATATAGAATAATATTCATCTGTAAAGTATGGGTAACAAGTTTGATATCCATCTGTAAAGTATGGGTAACAAGCCTGATATAGAATAATATCCATCTGTAAAGTATGGGTAACAAGTTTGATATCCATCTGTAAAGTATGGGTAACAAGCCTGATATAGAATAATATCCATCTGTACAGTATGGGTAACAAGCTTGATATCCATCTGTAAAGTATGGGTAACAAGCCTGATATAGAATAATATTCGTCTGTAAAGTATGGGTAACAAGCTTGATATAGAATAATATCCATCTGTAAAGTAGGGGTAACAAGACTGATATAGAATAATATTCATCTGTAAAGTATGGGTAACTAGACTGATATAGAATAATATTCATCTGTAAAGTATGGGTGACAAGTTTGATATAGAATAATATCCATCTGTAAAGTATGGGTGACAAGTTTGATATCCATCTGTAAAGTATGAGTAACAAGCCTGATATAGAATAATATCCATCAGTAAAGTATGGGTAACAAGACTGATATAGAATAATATCCATCTGTAAAGTATGAGTAACAAGCCTGATATAGAATAATATCCATCTGTAAAGTATGGGTAACAAGTTTAATATAGAATAATATCCATCTCTAAAGTATGGGTAACAAGAATGATATAGAATAATATACATCTGTAAAGTATGGGTAACAAGTTTGATATCCATCTGTAAAGTATGGGTAACAACACTAATATAGAATAATATCCATCTGTAAAGTATGGGTAACAAGTTTAATATAGAATAATATCCATCTGTAAAGTATGAGTAACAAGCCTGATATAGAATAATATCCATCTGTAAAGTATGGGTAACAAGTTTAATATAGAATAATATCCATCTGTAAAGTATGGGAAACAAGACTAATATAGAATAATATCCATCTGTAAAGTATGGGTAACAAGTTTGATATCCATCTGTAAAGTATGGGTAACAAGCCTGATATAGAATAATATTCATCTGTAAAGTATGGGTAACAAGCTTGATATAGAATAATATCCATCTGTAAAGTATGGGTAACAAGCTTGATATAGAATAATATCCATCTGTAAAGTATGGGTAACAAGACTGATATAGAATAATATTAATCTGTAAAGTATGGGTAACTAGACTGATATAGAATAATATTCATTTGTAAAGTATGGGTGACAAGTTTGATATCCATCTGTAAAGTATGAGTAACAAGCCTGATATAGAATAATATCCATCTGTAAAGTATGGGTAACAAGACTGATATAGAATAATATCCATCTGTAAAGTATGGGTAACAAGTTTAATATAGAATAATATCCATCTGTAAAGTATGGGTAACAAGACTAATATAGAATAATATCCATCTGTAAAGTATGGGTAACAAGTTTGATATCCATCTGTAAAGTATGGGTAACAAGCTTGATATAAAATAATATCCATCTGTAAAGTATGGGTAACAAGACTGATATAGAATAATATCCATCTGTAAAGTATGGGTAACAAACCTGATATAGAATAATATCCATCTGTAAAGTATGGGTAACAAGTTTGATATCCATCTGTAAAGTATGGGTAACAAGCCTGATATAGAATAATATTCATCTGTAAAGTATGGGTAACAAGTTTGATATCCATCTGTAAAGTATGGGTAACAACACTAATATAGAATAATATCCATCTGTAAAGTATGGGTAACAAGTTTGATATAGAATAATATCCATCTGTAAAGTATGGGTAACAAGACTGATATAGAATAATATCCATCTGTAAAGTATGGGTAACAAGTTTGATATAGAATAATATCCATCTGTAAAGTATGGGTAACATGTTTGATATCCATCTGTAAAGTATGGGTAACAAGTTTGATATAGAATAATATCCATCTGTAAAGTATGGGTAACAAGTTTGATATAGAATAGTATCCATCTGTAAAGTATGGGTAACATGTTTGATATCCATCTGTAAAGTATGGGTAACAAGTTTGATATAGAATAATATCCATCTGTAAAGTATGTGTAACAAGCTTGATATCCATCTGTAAAGTATGGGTAACAACACTAATATAGAATAATATCCATCTGTAAAGTATGGGTAACAAGTTTGATATAGAATAATATCCATCTGTAAAGTATGGGTAACAAGACTGATATAGAATAATATCCATCTGTAAAGTATGGGTAACAAGCCTGATATAGAATAATATCCATCTGTAAAGTATGGGTAACAAGTTTGATATAGAATAATATCCATCTGTAAAGTATGGGTAACAAGACTGATATAGAATAATATCCATCTGTAAAGTATGGGTAACAAGTTTGATACAGAATAATATCCATCTGTAAAGTATGGGTAACAAGTTTGATATAAAATAATATCCATCAGTAAAGTATGGGTAACAAGCTTGATATAGAATAATATCCATCTGTAAAGTATGGGTAACATGTTTGATATCCATCTGTAAAGTATGTGTTACAAGCTTGATATAGAATAATATCCATCAGTAAAGTATGGGTAACACGTTTAATATATATGAAAATTATCTTCTTGGCAGTGGGCCTTGTACTCCTCTCTGATTTTGATGACAGTCAGTTAATCATTTACTTTATAGGAGAAATATTTCAATAATGTGAAGCCTGGTTTCATGCCAGCAATGGTTTAAAATTATGATATTTAATGATTGTTTTGATGTAGTCACAGTTTAGAGATCTGTATGGTTTGGACTGGTTACTGTGTTTGGTTAACAGTGTGTTCAGAGATCTTAGGTTTCAAAATTTTATAGTGCATCTGATCTATTTACCTTAAACATTTTTTCAGATTTTTCTGGCAAGGTGCAATTTCTACCCCTCTTACTTTTTCAAAATATGCAAAAATATTTGTCCAACACTATTTTAGACCTAATCAAAAATGGTTCATTTTCACTCAATGTTTTCAACCAAAAAAGTACAAAACATAAATGTCAGTTTTAATATTAAACTTAAGCATACCTTTTATGATGGATTTATGTTAAAAAACAAAAAAGTGCTGTATATGGAACAAAAGGCATGTTTTTTATATCTATATTTGAGAATCTAAGTGTACTATTTTGTGTAGTATTTGAATGTGAAATTGTTGCATGAAACTGTCAAAACCTTAAAAGAGGAACATTGTTAATCACAAAAGTGTCACTATAATTGTAAATACATGCAATTTTACTATAATCATCTATTTTAAGAAATTGATCGCATTCAATTGAGAAATCCCAGCGACAGCTCCATGCATAGCTTTATATTTTCACATTTAAATAAAAAATTATAAAACGATGAATCAGTTTTATTCATTTATTATCATCCCATATTTTTGCACTTTAAGAAAACAAGCACTTGGTCAATCACACACACACATATCACCTACAGCCCTGGGGACACAATAGGCACACTTAAAAGGATGTTACATTTGTTGGAATGAAAGACCTCTTAAAAAAATATTTTAATCATATACCTTGTTCCCATAGATCTTCCTGAAGATATATCTAAAACTTTCTATAAACAGGAACTACAATCAGAAGCATACGAGATAGGAAACACAAAATGAATGCCAAATTCATCAGGAGAAAATAAGATATGGTGTGCCAAAGAAATACTTCTGGCAATTCCGATAATGAGTAACTTTAAACTTTTGACAGATATTTTTCTCTGTGAGGATCCTCTGCAGCAGGAATGCAATGTCCTTCATTTAACCATCTTTGCATGGGAATTCTTCATTTCATGTAAAATTGAAATAAGTGAAACCAAATATAAGCCAAAGTTTTTACTCCTCTTTCCCCTATAGGGACCTTCTATCTGACCACTGATGCTCTAACCAAAAGTAGACAAATTCCATCCGATTAAAAAAAAAATTCATAAACTTCCACAAAATCTCCCATCATAGCCATTCCATTGTATACACAGGATATCAAACACATTACAGTAACAACCTAATTACCTGTATGTTCATGTTTTAGGAATAGATGTCTAAAGTAAAGACAAAAAGCCTGTTGTTCTGATTTACATAGATTTTTTTTTTAACATGTGAAAATAATGTCTTATGTCACAAACATGAAGTGAAAAATAAACCAAAAACTAAGAAATTAATTACCTTTCTAGAGATGATATTGGTGACCACTACCTTTGAGCCATGAAGTACAAAATAAACTGATCAAGGTATTTTCATCTGCGAGCTATGGAGTCATTTGGTGACTATTTAGTGGAAACCCAAGACTGACAATGGGAATCTCTGTATTCCTATATCAAAAAGATGAAAATAAAGGTGGCCAATTTCAGTTTTAATTTGTGAAGTAATTCAAAATATTCGGTTGACAAGATTTTCTTAAAACACTGAATGATAGACCACACTAAGAATTATACAACAGAAATATCCTAAGATATTGTCATTTATAGAAATATCATATAGAAAATTTACCATACTAACATTAACACATTGAAAGCACTGGGACTTTATATAATACTGAACAAGTTCATGGGTTTGTGAAAAACAAACAGGATTTCCCTTCATACAGGTAAGCTGAGTTGGAAAAGTCATATATTACAAGTGAAAAACGATTATAAGAGGAATGTAAAATAATTGGAGACTGTCATTGTCAATGAAGGCTGTCACTGTTCACATCTGAAAAATCTGCATTGATTGAAATGTTACCAACCCAAGTTAAAAATAGTCTTTGTGTAATGGCAGAGACAGCTAAGAGTTATCAAAATACAATGAAATACAGACTTTGTACATAAATCACTTTCTGTGATGACTGTACCTTGTCTACATAATGTACGAACATCTCAACAGAACACCATAAACTTATTCAGGCCATAGTTAGATATACATGTATACCACAAAAAGTTTGAAAAATCCCACAATGACGTTAAGTCAGTTATAGATATCTAATACAATTTTTGCATAATTTTATAATATAAAAAGATAAAGTTCAAACCCTTTGACTATATATACACATACATTCAAATGTGATATGAATCTTCATTATCATAATATAATGTATTTCAACAACTAACTTAAATACGTAAATTACGTAAATATCAAAAATCATTACACATCTATATGAAAATGATATAAGTATAGCAACATAAAAAACACTTAAAGGAACATCACCAAGTAACAATGTTAATCCATTGTGTTTTAATGTAAATACAGTGTATCTGTAGGATATATACACATATACAGTGTATCTGTAGGATATATACACATATACAGTGTATCTGTAGGATATATACACACATACAGTGTATCTGTAGGATATATAGACACATACAGTGTATCTGTAGGATATATACAGTGTATCTGTAGGACATATACACACATACAGTGTATCTGTAGGACATATACAGTGTATCTGTAGGACATATACACATATACAGTGTATCTGTAGGATATATACACATATACAGTGTATCTGTAGGATATATGCACATATACAGTGTATCTGTAGGATATATGCACATATACAGTGTATCTGTAAGATATATACACATATACAGTGTATCTGTAGGATATATACACATATACAGTGTATCTGTAGGATATATACACACATACAGTGTATCTGTAGGATATATGCACATATACAGTATCTGTAGGATATATACACACATAGAGTGTAACTGTAGGATATATAGACACATACAGTGTATCTGTAGGATATATAGACACATACAGTGTATCTGTAGGATATATACACACATACAGTGTATCTGTAGGATATATAGACACATACAGTGTATTTGTAGGATATATACACATATACAGTGTATCTGTAGGATATATACACACATACAGTGTATCTGTAGGATATATACACACATACAGTGTATCTGTAGGACATATACAGTGTATCTGTAGGACATATACACATATACAGTGTATCTGTAGGATATGCTGATATATAAAGATACAGTGACATTATTTGCCTTTTATATGTAGGATATACTGGCATTATATGCCTATGTTATTAAAATACATCACAAACACATGATGTAAACCACTTAATCTATATAGTTTCTATTGAAGAAGTCACTAAAGATGTTATCTTTTTCCATTGGAGAACTTTGGTTGAGTTAAGGAAACATTTGAGACTTATAAAAAATTTCTTTGACTCTTGCGCTGTTTTTCAAAAGAAATGAAATATACAAAAATATATGAATTACAAGAAAACACTATGAAAACTTTGAAGCCATTTTCTCACTACTGTTGAAATAAAGAACTTAAAAAGCAAACGATTTTCTCAGAGATTCAAACTGTTGCTAGCAGAAGAAATGCCAATGAAAGGCTATCCACATGGTTGGTTATTGTGAATTCTGCCACCCCACCCATGTCACAATGCATATAATATCATTATGTTGTGACCTCACCATAGACACCTAGAGAACCTTCGGTCAATCAGCGCTAGATCCTATTACAACTGTTTTTAAATAAAAAATGTCTGATATAGGTGTTATTACTCTGAAAAGGGGCTAGAGTAGTTGTGAGATAACATAATCTATGGAAAAACTCAATGTAATTCTTTATGACAACTTTTGTTTTCCTCGGATAACAAAATCAATTAACTTTAAAAAATAGATTGATAAATGATAAACCAGTATTTTGAAATATCAAACATGTCAGTAGCACCTGTCAAATAATTCTATATAATCAATATACTGGTACCCAGTTGTTTTCATAATTTCACTAAAGTGATCATTCATAATGATATCTCCTTCCCCATAAATACAATCTTACTACACAGTTCAGGATACTCATTACAGATGTCAGTTCAAATGGAGTGTTGTCAATGTTTAATTCATCTTGCTTTCACTTTACATTTTACTTACACAGATAATTTAATTCTGTCTCATCAAAACTCTAATTGCTAACTGTAGGACGACAAAAGTACAAAGTTTTTTATCATCTCTCTACAAATAAAAAAAATATACACCCTGATACAGTCATCATCCTCATCACAGATCGTTTACATCAGGTTTCAAAAATACATGATTTCTTAAATGAATACAGATAATTGTTCCGAGATGGATTTTTCATGTGTTTACAAAATTTAGTGTTTTTTAGACAGGTTATCCTGTATGGTGATCAGAAATTGAAAATGGTTTAGCGGGTTCATGACTATGTAATGCTGGTCTAGGTATTCCCCAGTTAATTGTACAATTAATAGTTTCTCATATTTAGTTGATAACAAAAACATTGTTAGTTTTTCTGTGATAGTGTTATGCTTACATATATCATATGATTACAATTACAAGATTAAATGTTATGACAACATTTGAGCTATTATTCTGTGGTAGGCCAAAATGTACCTGAAATGTATTACAGTGTTCATGGAAGTTTTGTGTCATATTTTCTCAGTTAACTATGTCCTATGTTATTGTAAGATTGAGGTTTTTAAACACCATTATCGGAGTTTCTGATAGTCAACAATACTGGTAACCAGATTTACACTGTTATCAAGAGTTTCTGATAGTCAAGCATACTGGTAACCAGTTTTTCAATATCATCGGAGTTCCTGACAGTCAAGCATACTGATAACCAGAATGATCCTCATCATTGTTGAAGAAGGGAAGTGATGGCACTTTCTTCAGATCTTTTCTTGTAGGAAACAGTCGAAACTGAAGGCGGTGCATGTATAACAGGATTGCCATCACCACAACCACAATACATAAAATTATCACATAGCTGTTGTAAAGCGACCAGGAATTCTTTACACTGGACAACTGTGCATGCTGAGTTTCAAATTTTTCTATATCCCTGAAAAGATATAATTTTTGTAGCACATGATTAATGCTTATTTTGATTAACATTGATTAAAATTGTCAAATATGTGTTATTTCTAAATAGAAATATGAGTATTTCTGCACTGTACCTGAAGCCTACCTAGGTACAGGACAATACTGAAAATGTGTACTTTTCTATGGTTGTTTTTCTGCGAAAAAAAACCCAATGTCCCACTTACTGCAAACAAAACAGTCAGGTGATGAAAATAACTAGCTTTATCCCATAGTGAGAAGGAAACCCACTGAAAACTGTAAAGTCTAGTAACACTCTCTGTTTCTTGATTCTAAATACAGCAAATTTCCTTGACCGTAAAGAAGCAGATGGTCTCACCTGAGTGGTAGGTACCGAGTACGATGAATGAGGGCTCCTAGCGTCCACTGGATATCCCTATTGTTTATAAGGTTAACAGAACGGAGTTGGTGGTAGGTCACTGGAAACTTGAGGCCATGGTGGAGAACAGTAGTCATCCATGCAGACTTGAAACACTCTGTCCTGCATAAATAAATAAATTAATAAATAAATGAAATAAATAAATAGAAAAAACATTTACATAGGAAAATAATAGTTACTGTCTCTAAACAGAAATTTGCCATACACTTGCACATGACACTGAAAATTGAAAAATTATCATTTGATCCTATGCAAGTGGAATTTAAATACCTTTCTAAACAGAAAATAGGTTACCTTATCTACCATATCTACTTAGTCACAACACAAATACTTACAGAATGTTTAAAGATAACAATTAGGATACAGATGTACAAGTACACTGATATTTCTTTCCCTCATCATAGGCCATGACAATCAGTGTCACATAAGATAACTGAAGCATATTCACATATTTTAAACACCTGAGGATAATTACTGTATCGATAGAAAGTTTCTGTTGTGATCTAAATGCTCTTACTTCATTCGTTGATCATCTGCATTAGGATACAATTTCTGTTCTACACGAGACTGGAGGGTCGTCCACTTTGTACTGCAAAATTTCTACAAGAAAACAGAGTATATAAATGAAAATGCTAAAATAGTGCAAAAGAAAATCTGTATCTATGTGTGTGATTTATATAGCATTTGATTGATGACAATTTTTCATTAATTTTTTTTTTCATTTCTTATGATAAAGATACAGGTTGTTTCATTCCTAATTACCGTTTACACCAGGAAACAAGCAATGGGGTTTTCCTGACCTGGAGACAAACTTGGAAACTGCGTATCATATGACAAATGTATTCTCTATTGGTCTATTTACCTGAGCCTCTTTTTGAAATTCTTCCTTGTCATACAGGCCTCCCTTACTGAATACATCCTGCATGGTGTACCAGAACTCTGAGAAGCCGTAAAACTCTGTCTTCTGGAAGGAAATCTCAGGCTGGTGAACCCCGTTCATAGAACAAACCTCCTGTTCACACGGGGCTGAGAGATTGAGGAGAGAATAGACAGCCTTCTGACATGCTAGGTAATCCCCTGTCCCATGGAAAAAATGGGTGTGTTCTTCGTCATCATCTTTTTCAAAGAGTAAGCCTGGGGGAAGGCAAGGGTCTGGTAGAACACGTTTACCATGGTGATGATTGAGGTGGCTGTAATTACAACGAACATTGTACCCATGATATTATCTAAAATTACATACATTTTATAGGAAATCTTGAATATTTTTGTAAAACCATAATTAAAGTTTACAGAAAAGAAGAAGTTTCCGAGAAATTAAACTTGAAGAAAAAATAGAACTAAAAGCAAATTTCCTGCAAATCTGTGAGAGATCCATGACATCCATTTAATGTACTTCTTACTTCTTTCATTGAGGACACAAATTATGATATGGCTGGATCTCTAGCCAATATACTTTAGGGTAATCGACTCAAACACGCACAAAGTTTGAAAAGACAAATGTATGAATATCAGCATGAACTATTGTAAGGGTAGGAAAACAAAACATTTATAATGCTCACTCTACAATGTGAGATGGGCATAAATGACATTACCAGAGGTTTTTCTGTATTCAAGTAGTATATATATCATACAAAATTCTGTCTTTCAAGTATATTTGTATATGGACTGTGATAGTATCTGCTCCTTCTTCTGACCAATCCTAGAGTCAGATGATGATCAATTTATCAGATTATATTAAATGTGTATTGAGTTGTTTGTGTTATAAATATCATGTACACAGTTTTTGTATCTGAGTTTCTATGTGACAGGTTCAAAGTTTACCTGTTTACAGTGGAGTTTTCAGCACTCTCTCCCCGCCTCTCTGTAACATTTGAGTGATCAGCGTTTGCTGTCAGCATCTGTTCATAGCGATCCCGTGCTTCATTAGCACCAAATCCCAAAAAGGTAGATACATACACTCTGTATGTGTGATCAAAATCATTTTGCTGACAGCCGAGGTTGAATTCGACAAGTCTGTGTGCAGGAATTGTAGCAGACTGAAGTGAAAACAATAAATAACATCAATGACTTGTTTATTTTTTCATTTCTTTGTCTAAGATGAATAATACACAATTTTTTCTTTCTCTTCCAATCAGTAATCTAAAGAAGATTTCAGAAGACGTTCCTGAAAGTCTTTGAAATGTGACTTTTTTCATTTTCATGGCAAGAGGAAAGTATCCAGATCCCGTAGGTATTCATTACTTTCAATGAGTGTACATGATGTCAAAGAATATTAAGAGCTTAACATGAAGGTTTTGTTGATGTGTTTGAGGTTGTTACATGGCATGATTTCAAGGAATTTCATGATTTTTCAGTGGAGTTAATTTTCAAATCTCCCATGGGGGATAAGGTAAGCAAAATTAACATAAAGTATCATAGAGATTTTTTATCAGTTGATTTTTTCCATTATCAGATTTTGAAATGAAACATATCTTTTGTTCTTGGATATTGATTATTTTGGAACTTCCTTTGTTGCTCTTTTGATCATTGAAAACAGTACATTTTAAAATGCTAGCAGTAATCACAAACCTTAGATGTGATTTCAAAGGCGATTTGCATAGAGCCTCCCCCCATATCTATCATTCCAACTGTCCGCCTGCGGATATGTGTCTTTTTGGCTGACTCTCCAGGAACCTCTACTGCCACCAGAGGGTGCTCTGAAATAAAAGAAATCTTATTAACATTACGAAGCATCTGAAGCAATATGCCATATAGCAGAATCACTTCACTACTCAAAAATTTTGCTATTTGGTATCAAAACCAAATTATCCAATGAAGGGTAGATCATCAAAAGATGTTACTAATTTCTTTCTAAACAATAATTTATTAGCTCAATATGTGTCATACAATATAATGGTGAAAACCGTGAAAGTCTGACATTGATGAAAAACAATGCAACTTGGTTGTATTGAGACTTTTGACAAGTTTTATACTGTTATCAACGTTCCTGACAGTCAAGAAGACAGGCAAACAGTTTTACACCGATATCAAGGGTCCCTGACATTTTAGAAAACACAGAATCAATATTTTATGTGTTTCTACAAGAAAAGTATTTTTGACAAGTATATTGTCATAAATATCACATTACACATATGCCAAAAAACATCTAGTGATAGTCTCTGTTGTGAAAAGTGTTATACAATTGTATTTAATTGTACCAGGTTGTCATCATAGATGAATATGATTTTAAAAATTGATAATACCTTTCAAAAAATATCAGGACTTAAAAAATTATCAAACAAATTTGATATTATATCAATGACATCGATGTTATACCTTCTCTGTACAAATTGTTACCTGAGAATAAGAAACGCTGTACTTGATCAGTAACAAAAATTGTAGATGGACACCAAGTGTTAGTGTTGATTACCTTCCTCGCCGTGGTCAAATTTTCTAAGTGCATAATTAACAGCAATCCAGGCATATACACCTTCCAGTTTTCCGCTTATAACCTCTAAATTGCTGTCTGATATTACAAATGGAAATTCTTCGGCAATGTCTGTCTTCAGATCATTAAATATGGCTTTCTGTGCTCTGTAAAAACAAACATCACCATTGATGTAACTCCTTGTTTGACCCTTTATAAAGCCTGAATTTCTAATGTGAGTGTGGTTAGCAATAACCTAGACAAACAAGCTGACTTAATTATCAAATATATATGTATAAGTTAATAAAATGTCTTTCTGTATCTGACATTAATTTTTCAAATTATGAAGACTCTTTTTCACTTGTGTGGTATTCACACGTTGTGTGGACAGAATGTTAAAAGTTTTTCTTTGATCTAAAAATTTACTTACTTTGGAGAGATCATGCGCATGCCAGCAGTGGCAAGAATAAAAAGTAATGTCTCTTTTTGTTGTTCTTTTGGGATATAGGAGGCTGCAAACTTCAACAATGGGCGGATATATTCATTTGCTTCTTCAGGCTTGTCTTCAAATTTATCCAATCCTGAATGATTAAATCAAGATAATGTCTTTAAACATGAACGCTCTCTATTTCAAAATTTTTTTTTAAGTTTAAAGTATGAGTGTTTAACAATTTTATTAACAGTGATGACCTTGACCTTGAAGCACTAAGGTTGTTGACTCTACTTAGTAATTCATAATGAAAGTATGTCCCTGAGGTAAAGCAATATATATTGGTTCATAATTGGATAGGAGAGAAAGAAAACAGAACACTCAATATGCTTCCTATAAAATTGCCTCCTGTGTTAAGACTAAGCAATTTGACATGTACATTTGTCACTTTTTAAATAAATAAAATTACATGTATCTAATCAAAATTTGAACTGAATATTTTCATTTACCTTCCATCTATTGATGTAATTAAACTTAGGAACTATTTCCAAATTACTAATATATTAGTTATAGATCTTTTTTAAAATACAATGATATCTATAAAAGATGGTAATGTCTCGGTCAATAGAAGTAAGATTGGTTCATACCAGGTGTGATTTTCTTGACCACAGGTTTCCCATCTTGCCCCATTAATTGTTGAATGTTTAGCAGATCTCTAGCATTTCCAGAGTGAGGAGGCCAAAAGTAAACATAGACACGACTTCCACTGCTGCCGCAGTCTATCACAATAGCATATCTCACATCTGGCCCCAAGACTGGACGTATGTCACCACCATATGTGGTGGCAGACCGTTGATGAAACCCATGTGTGTCCGTACTACTCTGATGTCCTGTAGAACCAACCATGTACACTTGGATAAAAGCAAACAGGAACACTCCCAAAAGAACAAAGGAAAGAATGGCTGCAGTGATCTGCCGTGCTGAGAAGCTGTGTTGAATCCTCCCCCATTGTGACGTTATAAAATTAGGCAGGTTGAGTGTAATTCTGAAAAACAATTGACCATACAACTGGTTTATATATAATTTATATATAATAATCTGACCTGACTGTCTGTTTAGATCTGTTTTTGTTAATTCTTTTCAGTTTTTGTTGAAAGTATTTTTCCATCATTCTCTCAGAATTAGAGAGGTGAATTGACCAACATACAACACATGACTGATATAAAAAAAATAATAACCCAGAGTATGTATCTACCATATTTATCCTCAAATGGCCACCTCCCCGACAGTTAAAGCTTCGTATTTACTTTTAGCTAATTATTACTCTATCATTAATGATTCTGCAAAAATGAAGAAAGGGTTTAATTGTGGATAAATAAGGTACAGTTTCAATATATGGACAAAGACTGGTAATTATGTTTTCTTCATTACCATAATATCAAGTCAAATGTAAGATTGTACTTAACTACTAAAACACATAATTTTAAGAGTACTTTGTAAATATTTTGGAATGAATTAAATGTACTACAGTGATTTGGTACACGGATATTCTTAAGATGATTCCATGTTGTATTTAGTAGCTATATCTCTGGAATATCCCATCACTACACCAGAGTCCAAGGGCTAAGTCAATCACATGAAGCTATAAATATATCAATAAGCCATATATTGTATTAATAAATTATGCACCAGTTGCAGTCTAAGAAAACAATGAGCTGCAGAAACATCTATCACAACTAAAAGCTATAGAACTGTCTATGTCAAGTATAAGCTGCAAAACCATCAATGACAATTATAAGCTGCAGAACCATCAATGACAAATATAAGCTGCAAAACCATCAATGACAATTATAAGCTGCAAAACCATCAATGACAAATATAAGCTGCAGAACCATCAATGACAAATATAAGCTGTAGAACCATCAATGACAAATATAAGCTGCAGAACCATCAATGACAAATATAAGCTGCAAAACCATCAATGACAAATATAAGCTGCAAAACCATCAATGACAAATAAAAGCTGTAGAACCATCAATGACAAATATAAGCTGCAGAACCATCAATGAAATCTATAAGCTGTAGAACCATCAATGACAAATATAAGCTGTAGAATCATCAATGACAAATATAAGCTGCAGAACCATCAATGACAAATATAAGCTGCAGAACCATCAATGACAAATATAAGCTGCAAAACCATCAATGACAAATATAAGCTGCAGAACCATCAATGACAAATATAAGCTGTAGAACCATCAATGATATCTATAAGCTGTAGAACCATCAATGACAAATAAAAGCTGTAGAACCATCAATGACAAATATAAGCTGCAGAACCATCAATGAAATCTATAAGCTGTAGAACCATCAATGACAAATATAAGCTGTAGAATCATCAATGACAAATATAAGCTGCAGAACCATCAATGACAAATATAAGCTGCAGAACCATCAATGACAAATATAAGCTGCAAAACCATCAATGACAAATATAAGCTGCAGAACCATCAATGACAAATATAAGCTGCAGAACCATCAATGACAAATATAAGCTGTAGAACCATCAATGAAATCTATAAGCTGCAGAACCATCAATGACAAATATAAGCTGCAGAACCATCAATGACAAATAAAAGCTGTAGAACCATCAATGACAAATAAAAGCTGTAGAACCATCAATGAAATCTATAAGCTGTAGAACCATCAATGACAAATATAAGCTGCAGAACCATCAATGACAAATATAAGCTGCAGAACCATCAATGAAATCTATAAGCTGTAGAACCATCAATGACAAATATAAGCTGCAGAACCATCAATGACAAATATAAGCTGTAGAACCATCAATGACAAATATAAGCTGTAGAACCATCAATGACAAATATAAGCTGCAGAACCATCAATGAAATATATAAGCTGTAGAACCATCAATGACAAATATAAGCTGCAGAACCATCAATGACAAATATAAGCTGCAGAACCATCAATGACAAATATAAGCTGCAGAACCATCAATGACAAATATAAGCTGTAGAACCATCAATGAAATCTATAAGCTGCAGAACCATCAATGACAAATATAAGCTGCAGAACCATCAATGACAAATAAAAGCTGTAGAACCATCAATGACAAATAAAAGTTGTAGAACCATCAATGAAATCTATAAGCTGTAGAACCATCAATGACAAATATAAGCTGCAGAACCATCAATGACAAATATAAGCTGTAGAACCATCAATGACAAATATAAGCTGTAGAACCATCAATGACAAATATAAGCTGTAGAACCATCAATGACAAATATAAGCTGTAGAACCATCAATGACAAATATAAGCTGCAGAACCATCAATGAAATATATAAGCTGTAGAACCATCAATGACAAATATAAGCTGCAGAACCATCAATGACAAATATAAGCTGCAGAACCATCAATAACATCTATAAGCTATAGAACTGTCTATGACAAGTATAAGCTGCAGAACCATCAATAACATCTATAAGCTATAGAACTGTCTATGACAAGTATAAGCTGCAGAACCATCAATAACATCTATAAGCTATAGAACTGTCTATGACAAGTATAAGCTGCAGAACCGTCAATGACAATTATAAGCTGCTGAGCCATATATGACAAGAATAAGATAAAGAATAGTCTTTGACAACTATGAACTGTAGAACCATATATGAAAACTATAAGTTGCAGAACTATCTATGACAACTAACTATCTATGATAACAATAAACTGTAGTATGCTGTATGACAACTGTAAGCTATAGAACTATCTATGACAACTGTAAGCTATAGAACTATCTATGACAACTGTAAGCTATAGAACCATCTATGACAACTGTAAGCTATAGAACTATCTATGACAACTGTAAGCTATAGAACCATCTATGACAACTGTAAGCTATAGAACCATCTATGACAACTGTAAGCTATAGAACCATCTATGACAACTGTAAGCTATAGAACCATCTATGACAACTGTAAGCTATAGAACTATCTATGACAACTGTAAGCTATAGAACTATCTATGACAACTGTAAGCTATAGAAGCTATAGAACCATCTATGACAACTGTAAGCTATAGAACCATCTATGACAACTGTAAGCTATAGAACCATCTATGACAACTGTAAGCTATAGAACCATCTATGACAACTGTAAGCTATAGAACCATCTATGACAACTGTAAGCTATAGAACCATCTATGACAACTGTAAGCTATAGAACCATCTATGACAACTGTAAGCTATAGAACCATCTATGACAACTGTAAGCTATAGAACCATCTATGACAACTGTAAGCTATAGAACCATCTATGACAACTGTAAGCTATAGAACCATCTATGACAACTGTAAGCTATAGAACTATCTATGACAACTGTAAGCTATAGAACTATCTATGACAACTGTAAGCTATAGAACCGTCTCTCCCAACTATGAACTGTAGAACCATCTATGCCACTTTGAACTGTAGAACCATATATGCCACTTTGAACTGTAGAACCATCTATGCCACTTTTAACTGTAGAACCATCTATTCCACTTTGAACTGTAGAACCATCTCTGCCACTTTGAACTGTAGAACCATCTATGCCACTTTGAACTGTAGAACCATCTATGCCACTTTGAACTGTAGAACCATCTATTCCACTTTGAACTGTAGAACCATCTATTCCACTTTGAACTTTAGAACCATCTATTCCACTTTGAACTTTAGAACCATCTCTGCCACTTTGAACTGTAGAACCATCTATTCCACTTTGAACTTTAGAACCATCTCTGCCACTTTGAACTGTAGAACCATCTATTCCACTTTGAACTGTAGAACCATCTCTGCCACTTTGAACTGTAGAACCATCTATTCCACTTTGAACTGTAGAACCATCTATTCCACTTTGAACTGTAGAACCATCTATGCCACTTTTAACTGTAGAACCATCTCTGCCACTTTGAACTGTAGAACCATCTATTCCACTTTGAACTGTAGAACCATCTATGCCACTCTGAACTGTAGAACCATCTATGCCACTTTGAACTTTAGAACCATTTATGCCACTTTGAACTGTAGAACCATCTATGCCACTTTGAACTGTAGAACCATCTATGCCACTTTTAACTGTAGAACCATCTATGTCACTTTTAACTGTAGAATTGTCTATGACATCTGCATGCTTCATCGTATTAAAGAGCATGAGATGTAAAATTAGTAGGTACATTACATTTTGTGAAATTGTTTGGAATATTAAGCATACATTGTTGCATAATCCATGGATCTGTTTGCTCCAAGGCAGTTTCATATTTTGAAAATAATTGACTTGAACAATATACCTAGAAACAATGGATGTGTAAAAATATCTTGCAGATGAAAATGAAGAACGCTTCTTCCATTGTTCCTTAAACCATGCAAGCTAGGAAATCTTATCACATACACAATAACTACTACTCCATCACATGCTTATAAACATAACCATTGTACTAAGACCTGAAGACCCAAAATTCTTATGTTTCTTGTTTATTTATAAAGCATTCATTAAAACTGAGAAGAGTGGAATTGCTGAAAGCACAATCCATGGATAACATTATAATTATGTACAATTTAATGTTTCTAATTTGACTTTTGCCTTCAATTTACTCTGTGATTATAACAGGGTGATAAACTATTAAATTGAATAAATAAGAAATAATTGAGAAACACAATTTTCTGTTGTACATATATATAATATTTACAGGTAAAAATTTAAAAGATCAAATCAGGTACTCATTGAAATTTTTTAAAATCGAATCCATTCTCCCTCAAAAAAAAAAAACAAAAAAGCAAAAAAAAAAAAAAAAAAAAAAAAAAAAACGGTAACAAAAGTTCTTGTAAAATTTAGCCTATAGTTATAGCCTTATTAGTTCTAGCATTGGGTGTGATAAATGATTATCATCAATACAATTTTGATACATGTATCAACATGCAGCTTTTAATTATGTAACTTTTGTAAGTAGTAGCAACCTCCCAGTAGCTGTACAATTAATACTTACATGCTTCTGAATTCATCTACTATATATAAGCTGGAAAAACAATGTAGTTACTTAGAATATAGATCTAGTACAATATACAAAAATCATGAGATTATAGAAGCATCAGACTGACATTTCAGAGACTGTTGGCCATGTTATTATTTTTTTTCATATCATTTGTCATGAAATTTACCAGTATACTAATTTGGGACACTGATATTAAAGGGTCAGATATTATTTAAATAATTGCAATTTTTCTTCTTAAATATTATAAATTATTCCAAAAATTATTCCTATCATGAGGTATTTAAGTAAAGAAAGGAGGAAGAAAATCTTGTTCTTGTACAGAGTTCATGAATTTCATAAATCCAAGGGAGATAATTATGCCTCAGATTAACTATTCATGATTAGGAGAATTATTTCAGCTACCCCATATCAACCAAATCACTATGATTCCTGTATCATTACCTATAATACAAAAATTGTAGTTAGGTACAAACAGTGTATACCATGACCAAGAAAGATAATGATAGTGCAATATTCTAAAACAAATCTACAATGTATTATTGCATACAATATTCTAAAACAAATGTACAATGTATTATTGCATACAATATTCTAAAACAAATGTACAATGTATTATTGTGCTTCCCATTTCAAGGACAAAGGTGGCAATACATTATATTTTTCCATGTGTCCAGGATTTATATATATTTATACAGCTCTAAATATCATGGTTAAAATATGCAAATTTTTGCTAAAATTCCATGGACAGCTGATTTAACTTAGCATTATTTTTACTATTTTTTCATATATCAATTTTTGTCCTCAAATAATTAAATTCATATATAATTCAGACATAAGTCAGATTGGAAAAAAATTCAGCACATACACCGTTTGCCAATTTGTGTTTGGATTCATTGCTGTTATTGGACTAAATCATTGAAATTATTAATTATCATGCACAATCTACATTGACTTTACATGTACCTAAAAATATACTGTTCATGAACTTTGAGAAGTAAACAAATTATTTTAACTTATAACATGCATGTTACATTGTATTTTAACAATAAACTTGAGAAGTGATAAGTAGAAAACAGCATGCATTTAATATCTGAACAAAAATTTATAAAGACAAAGGTAATAAGTAGGTATACAATGTATATTTATGTACTTATATTGCTTATCATATTACTTAGATTGCCTTTTGACAAATAAAACATTTCCATATTTTATATCAACAGATCTGGCACAATCCAGCACCACTGGCAATTTGTGTATAAAGCATAGGTAAGTAGGTATTTATCATATTGACCATCACATGTTTTTTGTGACATGGTCACGTGACATAAGTCATTGGATTTAGAGGGGTTGTGTTCAACTAGATAGTTACATGTGCATAATAATTCTCTAAAAACTTTTGAATTTATTATATCAGGACACAAGTTAAGAACTGTATTCTGGGCTGACTGAGTTTTAATGTCTACTGCAAAGTGATAACAGAAAGAAGTAAAAGACGTACAAACAAAATATGTATATGTAATGACAGTTGATGCAAAAAGATTTGTCTTTGGGATGAAATGTTGTAGTGTGAAACATCGATTAGGATACTAATTCAACACTCGAGGGCAAATAGTTGCATCCCATGCTACTACAAATGTCCCAAGATTAATTCATATCACCCCACTTCAAATTTCCATAATGCCCCATCATATATTTCCTTAAATCTATAATGCCCTTTTTTTCCTACAGACCTCTATGTGTAAATTCAAATTCTTTCATAAGTACTTTTTCATGTTCTATACCTTCTGTTGTATCCATAAAATAATCAAAATGCTGTTACATGTTATAAACATTCCGTTGTACATAGAAATTTATCAAAATGTTACATGTATATTATATACTGTTTAATCCCTGTTGTACTTAAAATGTATGGACACATTTGAAGATTTCTGTCTTAAGGTATCAAGGACAAGTAACTGTTGTAAGTTTTACATTATTTTTTGTTGATATCTATTGTTTTTATCTTTTTTAATCAAATAATTCTAACACCCATAATTTATTGATAGATATCCATCATAAAATACATGCAGTAAAAACAAAACAGATATAGATATCTGCATCCTGTACTGTTGAATGTAGCAAATTGTTGTGTATGTAATATTCAATGGTCAAATGATAGAAATATTACAGACAAAATGTATAACCTCTGTATAATATGTACACAACTTACAAGCTTGATTAACATGTTGTTATCTGAATGCAGGACAGCAAACAATGTTTATATGACAGAAATAGATTTTCTTGTCATTGACAACATAATAAAAATTACTAGTTAATAACTAGTTTCAAAAGCCATGACCTTAATGCAGATAACACATTCAAGAAGTAATATAGACGTGTATATATAAGCATCCTATGGAGGTAAAAAAACAGGTACTGGAGTATCTGCAAATCTGGCTATACCTATATTGGGAAAATGTAAAACACTGACATATTCTTGGTCATGATCATGGTGTGCACATCAAAAAAATGGACAACAAATCTAGTGAGTTGGTAAAACAAAAGATTTTTGAGTTGGTTGAATTTCGTTATTGCAATTTTTGGTACTTGCATCCCTTTATCCAAATGTTCTGATGGTTAGACATGAATATCCTTAGATCATCAAAAAAATACCTTGTATCTCACTTGCTTTCACCATGAAACTCACATCTATTTTGTGTTATAATTTTTTGCACAGAAACATGCTGAAAGTGCACGTGGCATGAATCTTCATCAAAGGGATGCTTTTCTGCAGATCACACAAGGCGTGAATGACACCAAATAGGATGGACTTGCCTTTGAATGAAGCAAATATGTTGAAAACGTTAACTTCACTGACTTCCATGTAATGTCAGTAATAATTATATAATTGTATACAGATACACAACTAGTATAATGATATTACACTTGAAATTTATATCTGATGCTATATAGTTTGGGTACAAAATATAAAATGTAGGGTGATACGGTGGTGAATTTGGGATGTAATGACCTGTAGATTGGGACAATATGAATCGAAGTCATCAGGTAATGACATGGGGGAAAACTTTTGGGGCGGAACTTCTGTGATTCCACTAGAGTACTTGTAATTAAGGAAGATACTAATTAATTTTACAGGATACAAATGTTTAAGACAAACAGTATGAATTTTATAACCATTGTCCAAAACATATATTTTAATTCAAAATAAGCGTGTTGGTGCATGCAACATTAAATCACCGTGTTCATGATCTTCGTCTTGTCATGTCTCCTTACCTGGCCATGGAAACTCGAGGTTCAGGTATCCACCAAGAACCTGTATGGAAAGGTTCTCCTGGACCACTCACAATGAATCATAGTTACATTTCAAGAGGTTTTGTGAAGCTGCAAACGTATTAAAGATATAAAGATCATCCATCTGTCATGGAAACGATAAAAAGCCGCCCGCTTCTACAGGAAGTAGACGTGTCGAGTAACGGAAGTGGAAACTGAATTATCTCCCCAATTCTTTTTAAGGCTGCTAGATCGTTGGTCACCTACTGCTGAATTTTTTCGCCCACTGTATTGAAGCGAAACGTTTACCATCAGATTATCACATTATTTGACATTACAAAAAATAAGAACTGAAATATCTATGCCAATGACTGCAACATCAAGTCATTAAGAATAACATTTCATCACATGATCTGACTGTTAAATAAATTCGCAATGTCTCTAATGTAACATTTGGCGGAGATGTCATATAATTATGTTGTCCCGCGTTAGTGTGTTTATGTCGTTGGAGAGCGGTCGGAAGGGACCAAGAAGGCTCAGCAAGAAAACGTAATGGTAATTGATTACTGAATGAACTGTAAAAAAATCATGATTGTTTCAATAATGTAATCATTGCTTGTGTTTATCTTCATTGAGGGATATATTGAAGGTGTTGTCTTGTACCCCGGGTCTAACACATGCAGTTTTACCCAGGGACGTCTCTACTCTCGTTAAGTACAGTACCAATGTGTAGAAGCCACGTGACAATAAAGCAAGGTACACACACAAATTCAAAATGGCGTCATCCACTTCGGGACAGTTTTGTTATTTTAATCAGGTACTCTGCTTCCTTTTTAATTAAAAACTGGCGCAAAGAAGACTAAAATGGCAGTATATTTTATGGAGAAAACCATTTACGACGTAATTGTGCAGTTTTCTAGTTAAACCCGATCAACTGAGCTTCCGGGTTGACCGTCAGTATTTTAGCGTACACAATATTATAACGAAATTGATCATCTGGCTCTTTTCTTGTAAGATATAAACTAAAGTCACATCCCTAATTGTTAATATTGTGATATTTTGTAATTTCATAACCCGATTGTGTGAAAAGGGCGCTTAATTTAAAATATTTAAATATTATTGTAAAAATCGTATCGTATACAATGGTTTTCGTTCCAGTATCGTATCGTACACAATATTTGATCGGGAAACGATGTATTGTTCATAACTTGAAATCATGGCTGTTTTGATGTAATACATAGCACAGACTTCTACCTGAAACTTTTTACAGATGAACAGAGAGGTGTACAATTGTGAAGAGAATGCGATAAACTGTTTGCCAGTAGATCAAATCTTGTGGTACACGAAAAACGGCATCAATGACTAGGGAAATACACCTGTTGCGGAAAGAAATGTTTTAGCAAGACCACTTTGCAAAGACACATGTGCAGCTGTCATGATGCTACAAAATTACATACGTGCACCTATTGCTCTAAAGCATTTGCTACCAATGCGAATCTTCAAAGGCACAGGAGGAGGGAGGTGAAAGACTGAAAAAAGTGTAAAGCGTGAGGTCATTTAATCAAAAACCTATTTGTTTCGTGATTTTGAAAGCAGCCCGCCCTCGGTGTTTTTATATTCACAATGAAAGAAGAAAAAAAATAACAAAAATATAAGAAAAAGAAGATATGTGATTATATAATAAATCATTGTTTATTTCATGTTTCATTTTATGATATAATATTAAACCCTGTGGGTTATATTTCCCTGTTCCATGTTTATATTCGGATATTTCGATTTATACGTTTTATCGATACACGGAGACTTATGTTTAAAGGACTATTAGTAGTCTTATTGAGAGTAAGAGCTTGCTGTCGTTCCGTCGTGCGGATTCCCATCGAACACCAAGCGATCCTCTTTTAACGGTATTTCGTCTCGTAAAAAATGCAATTTGTGTCGCTGCATCTTCAGGGAAAGAAAAAGCCCTGGCTTACACATAAAAAATAATCCGTGAATGAAGTATGTCGGACAAAATTACAAAACTAAGGTTGAAAATAAATATCAGGGGTTGAAGTTTGTTGTTAAATAAATAAAAAAAAAATCTGTCTCAGAAAACGATTCTAAAAATCTTTGAAATCATCAAATTCAGACCCCTCGCCTGGGCTTACACATTTCTGCTGGGCTAGCTTGGCCCCTGATCTTCTATGGAATAACTGTATCACATACGCTGCTGTTTGCAGCTGAGAAAAACTATATATTTTCCACACTTGTGATATATACCTTTACAAACGTAAATAAACTAATTAACATCGAAATCAGTATGAAGGGCGGGGTCAATCTGGAACGTCTAAGTTTCTGTGGTTATAATTTCAACGATTATGTTTTGCCATGTGGTCACTCAATTTGGATCCATCCTCCTCTTAATGGTCGCACACTCAGTACATGTACTTTTTCTTAACGTCTTTCACCTCCCTCCTCCTGTGCTAAGTCCTTTTGACGGTCTTGGCTGAGTGTGGCAGGCCGTTTTAACATTTAATTCTATTTCTTCTTAAGGTAATATTTTATTGAAATTGAATTATAAATTTATAAAATTTTAACACATCTCCCTTTCGCCAGGAACCTGTCGGTCAGAGGGGATTACAGGTCGTAACAAGACACTTATTAGTTGATAGGATTGGGAATTCACCTGGATAAGGCGGCAAGACGGACAGTTTCACCTGTGAAAAACACACTAGCAGGATATATCTTCAGGGGAAGCGTTAAAATTACATGGCAACACATGTATACATAAACAGCACCATTAACTTCCACATGCAGGCCAATAAACGTGCAAATATACATATCATATAATGGTCTCGAGGTTAAGCAATCTCTTCATATCATGATCACACAATGTTCGGTGTCATTGTTAATTGTTATCCTAGAACAATGAGACGTAAATCAATAGAGCTCTACCATGTAGTCCAGCATTGACGGCTAAAACAACGCATTTGTTGTACATTATATTTTTTAAATGTACTTCAAAAAGTAAATACGTGTTTTAAGAAGACTAAATTTTTGAGATTAAATAAAGTAGATGTTATCCGTTTTGAAATTTAATCCTTTTGTCGTTCAATTTATTTGAGTAAAGCAGAATTCATTTTGCCTTCTTTACCCATTGTCTTCAATAGATTTGGACTAACCTGTTTATTATCAAAACATTTGGTGTTTACTATAATACTAATTAGAGCCCGAACACATTATAAAAGAAAAAAATCTTTTACGCTGAAGTGAAAAGACACATAATTGAAATAGAAACCTATTTCATTTAACTTGGAAAAACACATAATGGAAAAGTAGGACCGATGATAATATTGCTATATCGAATGAGACTTCCGCTGAATTAACACAAGTCACTCCCGTCTGAAGAAATGGCGCCACAGATTCTGGATGCCAAAAATTTCCTATACTGGAAAATCCGAAGCTCGCAAGGTAATCAAACCCACCTGTAGCCGAGAGGTAAAAAATGATTCAGTGTACTAGCCTACCCGTGTGATATTCATGTCAAAACATTGAGACCTGCAAAATAGTGTAACCTGTGATCTCTACATTTCCTAAAGACCAATGACAATGGCCATGCAATCTTTAAATATATTCACGTATGACGTCGTGATAGTTTGCGCGTGCTCAATTAATTTTATCAAACATTATTTTGTTGTTTCTTATTTTCAAGCATGAATTTATCGAAGGAGATGACTGAAGTTTATTCCAGATATGGAATTACCAATACAAAATAGATGGACACCGTACCATTTATAGAAACTTTTTAAAAATTATGCATGACACAGTATAAACATTTCTTTTTGGGACCAAATTTATTTGCTTTTGAAAGTAGAAAGCTTCATCTCATTGGGAGCCGTGAGATAGGTGGTTCATATAATCAAAACTCATTGTCAGAATTAAATCTTGCAATGATAAATCCATGCAGAATTCAGAATGAATGAAATTTCCGGATATGCACAGCTTCATTTCTTTTATTATTGTTCCGTTGTAAACTTCCGGTCAGCGAACAAAAGAAAAATGTGGATATTGAAAGGGGCAGGAACAACTAGCTTTTCGGTCAGTATGCTTTGCCAGTGAAACGGTGTTCCAATGTTATGCATATAATGAAGTTTACAGTATTTATATACCAACATTTCTATTTATATTAACAAAACGTTTTAACTTTACTAACATATCAGAAAATGGTAAACACATGGCAACACTTACTAGTTATACGGCTACAGGCAGGTTATAGACCGGGCACATGTTGATTTATCGCTATTTATTAAAGAGCTATTTATAATAATCGCCATGGTGACTATCTATATCTGACCATACTAACGGGTTTGTAAACAACAACTATACAAAATGCAACCGATTTGATAGGAATTGAATTTACAATAGAATACAATTTTAGAATAATTTCTAAATTGTTTTGAATCCAAATACACTGTATTATATTCGGATAATGTTTGTAAACATCCACAAACATATAGCCTTCATAATCGTCCTCATATCCGATGAATTCGCTCTTGTAATATTGGTTATGTCACTACTGTAATATACTGTGGAACGTTCTTCATGGCTGTGCCAGCAGCAGTCAGAAATTGGTTATGATGTCAATATGGACAATGCTTCAACATCACAATTTCAAAATGGCTGCCTTCATTTGATTTTGTCATCCACATGTTTTACTTCAAAATGTCAATAATGGCAATTGTCAAAATGTTACTTTTCACAGTTATGTGATAAAAAGAATTTATTTTCATTTGATATGAGATTTGATGGACCTTTTATTTTTCAATTTGTACATGCCAAGGCTTGCAAAACTGAAAAACTTCTAAGTATACATAAGCAACACTTTTTTCATTAAATGTGTTGGTAAATGAAAATTCATTTAAGATTATATATTAATCATATCCTGGCTTAAAAATGTACTTACAGGTACATAGTTCATTAGCAGTTGACATCTGGGCACGTAAAATGCAAAGATATGTTCTTGCAGGTGCACATTGTATATTTCTAATGGCAGCATAAATAGGCATAAGCATATCTTCCTAATGATAATTAAGATCCTTTAGGCTAGGAAAATCAGACTTATATATGATGCATTTTGTTATGATTTTTTCTTTTGTTTATCACATTCATCTGTACATTTTTGACAGTTTCACTCATGCAATATTGGTTTTCATCTATCATAGGCAATTTGCTGGTAATTCTAAATATTATTAATCATTTAGCTTTGATTGATAAATTCCCAATTTGTTTTTTAATTCTTGTTTATTTTTTTCATGCAATTATTTGATTCCTTTTTGTCTTTATCATAGAGTCAAACCAATGAAAATAAACACTTTATGTTATAATGTATTAATGCAAATTGCTTTCGTTGATAGATCTATGAACTTGACTGAATGTACAGTTTTTTTATGAGGTTGGTTTTATTTCTGACTGTAAAGTAACCTATTATTTATCTGTGTGTAAATATTGATTGATAGGTGTTTACGTCTTAGGACTTTTAATTAGCATGTCCAATTGAATAAACAATGTGATATTAGGGTGACCACTTGTCAGGAGTTACTCAGGTGTATACAGGTGTGAATCCCTCACCTGAGCACATCTGACACTAGGTTTATTGTCATCACAATCAACAAAGACATTCTCCAGTTTAATGACCAATATAATTTACAATTAAAACTACTCAGATGAGCACTTGAAAGACACTTAAAGCACATAAATGCATATATTAATGAAATCTTCATACACAATACAATATACAAGTTGTCAATATCCTACATGTACATATGATTATATTTAATACCTAACACATGAACACTACAACATGAACGTGAAGAGAAGAAGATAAGGCAATTTCATTACAAGTGAAGCTCAAGGTAGGAAATCGATGGGATATTCAGAATTTGTGTAAGATTTTTAGGATAATTAATATACTTTTACATGGTAAAAATGATTTGTTTACACTTAAAACAGCAATTATGTTGGAATGTGATATCTTATCCTATTATCACATAATAGAAATTAACTTTCATTGTGTATGATAGATTTTGGAAAGTGACTTACAACAAACTTATAGTTACAGATAGGGTAGGTGTTGATATCTTGATATTTGTAATATATACTGTATGTATACATATTCATTTTTTTATAGTTTACCTGGTAATGATAAATATTTCAATGATTCACTGTAAATATTGAATGTAGGTAAAACATAATTTGTGCTTTATGGTTTAATACTTTACTTATATGGTAAACAATAAAAGCTGTATTCCACCTCCAGCCAAGCATTCTCCTAGTCGCAAAGAAAACATTACAGTTAGTTAAATTTTAATGATTATGATGATGTGATCCTCAATGGTCAGAGAAAACTCACCAGGGAAATACAATAAATCTGTCCTTGATTTGATGTAATTTCTTAAATGATTCAATATGTATTCATTTCCAAAGAGACAGGATATTCCACAAAAATTTGAAAAATTAGAAAAACTAGTTCTGTAAGCTATACTTTTCTATTCTGACCAGGAAATGAATGATGTGATTTAAATAACTAGAGCATTCTTCCTTCTCCTCTTCCTGTCCCATATCATCATACATCATATAGGATGAGTCAAAAACATTATATGTCAGTGGCTAGAAACACACTTACCCTCCCTCCCCCCACCCAACCCTCCTCCAACCCTTGGCGGATTAAACAGGGAAATCATTCCTGCCATAGTGAAAATTAAAATGCCATTAACAGCAAGTGTATTTTCTGTCAGTACATTATATCACTTAACACCTTTGTTGTTTGACTGTGTAAGGTTTAATGTTGAAAGTTATGATAATTTTTATGATGTAATGCAACTGTATGACCTATATTTGATTAATTGATACTTGTAGGTTAAGCTTTGACTTCTGAAGACATTCTGTGAAGGTATATATATACTGCATTGGGACATGAGGAAGTCATATAAAGGTAAGTTTCAACCATCTGTACAGTTTACATATATTCATGTGGGTTTTTTTTATACATTATGTTACATAATTCTTTATAATTTATTCCTTGTCTCTTTACAATATTAAGATGACATAATGTTCAAACTGTGACAGTCATTGAAGAAGTACATTATATAATTAGTGCAAAATTGCTTATTCCAATTTTTCATGTTGAGGAAAATAAATACACATAATTGAAATGATGCATTGACATTTCAGGTCAAATAGATATGTATGCATTCAAATTTCAAATAAGACATTGACACTGTATTGCCAGTTCAAGTATACTACTCTGTTTCTCTGAAAGTTAGGGATGACTCTCAGTCAGATTATAATTCATTATCATAATGTCATTGTGATGGTCAAATTATGACATTGTAATATTTTCCCACAAAATCAATATTGGTATCATATTGAACTTTAAAGACATTTTAATTCTTGTGTTTCTGTCTAAACTTCATATTTTTTTATTTTAATCTCTTTCATTGAATTAGAACTATAAATCAGAAAGTATCATTTGGTTCCTCTAAACTTTTTTAACAGCCTGTAATATAACATTCCTCAAATTGATCTAATTATCATTGAACAGATATGCGAAAAGTTAAAATCTACTGTACTGATGAACTTCATAAATTGAAATATAAAAGAAAGAGAGTCATTGTTCACTGATAATCAAAGTTTTCATTCATATAACATAGTAATTTACTCTGTGCTGATCAACATCCCAAACAAACAATATACAGTAGAATGTTGAAACTATTTATATATTGAACCAGCCCACATCATTTTATACAGTGGTGAGTACGCGCGATTGAACAGTTTTCAAACATGATAATAAATGTTAATGCTATAGACATTCCACCTGACCTTAGGGTTAGTGGAGATGGCGATGTGGGCATAAACATGGATGCCAGATGCTCTATCATTGGTGGATAAATCCCACTACATAAAAAAAAAATTATAAAAAAAATTGTAAAAATGTATAATAAAAAATATATGATTGTGTGTATGATAAAGAAGAATATTAGAATTTCCTGTTTAATGTTTAAAAAGTATGTTTATAATTATTGTTAACTGATATGTTAATGATGAAATAGGGGTATATTCCAGGTGTTGTTTTGTGCCCCAGGTGTTAAACATACTCAGATCCATCTGACACTATCAGACATCTCTGCTTCTTTTAAATATAGTGCTTAGTCCTTTTGCTTTGCTGAGCGTGTATGAGATCTCAAAAGTTTCTGTAGTGTGTATATGAGGACAATCCTGTTAAGTATGTGATATCTATAATATAAGAAATTAAAGTTATTAAATGGCATAACTCTAATTTAAGAAAAAAGCAGAAAGAACAAGGAAAAAAAAATGATGTAAATTGGCCTTTCCTACTTCAAATTTGAAGTAAAAATTAAAAACTTCACTACCAGCTATAAATGATTACATGAAATTTATGAGAATTAAAAGGTTAAGAGAGATAATAAATGAATTAGTGGGGCAAGAATGAGGTGATAATTTAATTAATAGATAGATTAATTATTGAAAAAATCAGATAATCTGGGTTTTTTTATTTCTGAAAGTGAAATTTTCTAAAAATAGTTTGTGAAAAAATAGTTTTTGAAAAATGTTTTAATGAGAAGATTCAGACATTTTAAGGTAATCCCCCCCACACCAGAAAGTGACATGGGGTAACAGTGCCAGACATGAATGGCCATTTTTTGTGTCTTGGAATCCACTACTGTGTCAGTGAGGAGAAATATTAAATATAGTATCAGTGATTTTTGAGACTCACATATTCGAGTCCTTCACATATGTTTTCCCCAAAAGACTTGCTCAAATTTTGAGGACACACTCTATCAGGACTCATCAAAATGTTTAGGTCATCTGACCTGAATGGTCGAGATGACCTATAGCCATCATGCTTCGTCTGTTGTCGTCCGCCGTCCACCTTTCGTCGTCCATAAACTTTTCATTCAAAAAACTTCTTCTCAAATACTAGAAGGCCTAGGGGGCTAATACTTGGCCCATAGCATGCTGGCATAGAGCCCTACAAAGTTTGTTCAAATGAATGACCTTGACCCACTTTCAAGGTCACATGGGTCAAATATGTTAAAATATACAAACGACTTCTACTCAATAAGCAAAAGTCCATGAGTGCTGATATTGGGCCTGTAGGATGCTTAGAGGAAAGGCTACCAAGTTTGTTCAAATGAATGACCTCGACCCACTTTCAAGGTCACAGAGGTCAAATATGTTGAAATTTTTGAACAAATTCTTCTCAACAACCAAAAGGCTCAGAATGCTGATATTGGATCTGTAGGATGCTGGGATGAAGGGCTACCAAGTGTGTTCTAATGAATTACCTTGACCCACTTTCAAGGTCACAGGGGTCAAATATGTTAAAATATACAAACAACTTCTTCTCAATAAGCAAAAGTCCAAGAGTACTGATATTGGGCCTGTAGGATGTTTGGAGGAAGGGCTACCAAGTTTGTTCAAATGAATGACCTCGACCCACTTTCAAGGTCACAGGGGTTAAATATGTTAAAATATGCAAATGACTTTTCAATAACCAAAATGATTAGAGTGCTGATATTGGGCCTGTAGGATGTTGGGATGACATGCTACCAAATTTGTTCAAATGAATGACTTTGACCCACTTTCAAGGTCACAGGGGTTAAATATGTTAAAATATGCAAATTACTTCTCAATAACCAAAATGATTAGAGTGCTGATATTGGGCCTGTAGGATGCTTTGAGGAAGAGTTACCAAATGTATTCAAGTGAATGACCTTGACCCACTTTCAAGATCACGACTTCTTCTCAGTAACCAAACGGCTCAGAGTGCTGATATTAGGCCTGTAGGATGCTGGGAGGATGGGCTACCAAGTTTATCTAAATGAATAAAGCCTACTGTTTTAACGGCAGACTCACTGTTGTTAGTGTTTGGCTTGCTTTTTGTCAGATGACCGTTAAGGCCCATGGGCCTCTTGTTATAAACTAGTGTTATGGACTTGTCTAAAAGAAATCCTTTGAAAATTATATACCAAAAATTTTAAATTATAGAACTTAAAAATATGGTTTACAAAAATAAAAATATAACAAACTCATTTTAGATGGGTCAGTGGTTATTTTCAGGAATGAAGATGATTATCAATTATTTGCTTAAGGAAGATTATTGATGAATAAATATTTTTAATAGACTACTGCCCTGAAAAAGAAAGAGATTCTTTAATCCCTTTATATCACTCCAGTCAGGAATGCAGGACAAAAATCATTGTCTTGATATATTCTCAAGATTTCTGAGTTGGAGAGAGATTATGTAGAAATTATTGATGACCTCACAAGTAACTGTTGTAACATATTTTAGAAATGAAGTTTGAATGATTGGATCGAGTGTGTGCCTCTGCTTGTAAGCTTGATATACACAATCTCAGCTGTTTTACTTTAAAGTTCAGTGGTAATAGACTCATTAGATGTTACATGTAAATAAAAATGTGGTGGTATTTTTTTGTAACAACATTTAACATTTTGAAGTTTTGCCTTCAGATCTATTGCTAAGGAAGTATAGTAGTAAGCCCAACTTTAACCAAACTTGGTCTGTAATTAGATCAACATTGTAGGCAGAGGTGAACAAGGGTGCTTCCATTGTTAAGACTGTTGTTTGGCCTCAAAGGTAAAATGATGGACCCATGTTCCATCCATATTCGCATACCTCTCTAGACAGTTAGCAGGATCTGCCTCTAAATGGTTCAGATTAGCCTGCAACAAAGTCCACCTGGTGTGCTTCTGATCAACAGTCAGAAGTCTTTCTCATTACAAGATCTTCTGAAAGAATGGAATGTACTCTTTCCTGTGAAATCTCAACTGTACTAGCTATATATCTCTCTCGGTAACTCGCTTGTCAGCCATAGGAATGGAATTTATTGACCATTTCTGGGGTTGCAACAGTGACAACCTTCCAGTACAGGCGTCATCTCCAAGGCTCTGTCTGCCATGCTTAAATTCCGCCACCCACCTTTTCACTGTAGTATATGAAGGGACATCATTCCCTAGTGTTGGTACCATATCAGTATGGATATTATTACATGCTAGACCTTTCTTATGCAGATATTGAATCACTGCTCTGTCAGCAATTTTTTCCATTGTGCAAAAGTCACTTGCCTTGTTAACTTAGAGTGCTACCTCTTTGACATAAACTGACCAAATGACACCAGCCTTCAAGCTCACAGCCTTTAATAGTCCGGGAATAGTAGAGTAGAAAAAGGACATCCCTGCTTAACTTCTTCAATACAAGCCTCACAACTTATCAATCAGCCTTTGTAGTTACCTTGTAGAATAGACATCTGAACCTACCAACAAGAGTGCATAAATTATTTTTCTTTGTTGTGCATTTTTGGGACAAAAAAAATTGAAGGACTGCAAACTCTTCATGGCTTCATCTATTCACTTTATATCAGTTTCTCGTAAAATACTGAAAAATGCAATGTAAAATGTCAGACAAGTTTTCACTTCTGGGGAAGATTAATATATTATGGGTCACATACAATTGATTTGAGTGGATTTTGAGGAGTGAAGAATTTACCAAAATTTTCATTATATGGTTTATGTTCCACCAATATTTAAACATAACAACATTTCTCTATGGTGGTTATATTTTATGAAGTCTTTCAGGAGATTTGATATTTTTGGTGAGAAAAATAAGACATGTATTACACAGGTTGCTTCTGAATTATCATTGTTACAAAGCAAGACAGGTGAGACATAAAAATTCAAATAATTTTATTTTCTTTACTTTCAGGTTGTTTCCTCTAGGTCCATTGAGAGGAGGTTTGGATGTCTTTGTTAAAATGGCTGAAGCTCAAGTTTTGAAACGTCATCATGAAGAAACTGAACATCTTGGAACAGATGAGAAGCCTCTCTCATTAAGTAAACGATGTGAATTTAATATGACAAACCCTTCCACTTATGATTACATCTTCAGTTTAGACTCCTCGCCAACACAGGGAGATGTTTACAAACATATAGGGTCTGATGAATTAGATACAGAACAGCAAAGTGACATCCCGAAGACAAGAATCAACTATAGCAAAGATGATGTACATGATGCTATCTCTTCTGCAGAGAACATACACGATGATCAGGATGATAGTGGAGAGGAAATAATTAGTGAAGATGAAGAGGATTTGGATGTAGGCTTGTCATCACATGCTCTGCAAAATGAGTCAAACATACTTTGTAAGATGTCATTTCCTGCATGCGAAGAAGATGATGTTAATCAGAAAAATGGCCATCATCAGGAAACCAGTCGCAACCAGAAATCATCAACAGAAGTGAATCAAGTTTTGTATGATGGAGATTCAAGTCCTCATCAGCCTGAGACAACCCAACACACAAATCCAAAAAACCTACCATATGTATGCAATCAGTGTGGAAAAGGATTTCATGAAAAAGGACATTTGAAATATCACACAAGGACACATTCGGATCAAAAACAGTTTACTTGTGACATTTGCAATCGTGGCTTTCATTTCAGTTTCAATTTAACAAAGCACCGCAGGACACACACAGGAGAGAAGCCATACTTGTGCAACTTTTGCGGGAAAAAGTTCAGTCACAAAAACAGCTTGAATCGTCACGTTACGCTCCATACAGGATTTTCACATCAGAAATGCAAAATTTGTGATCAGGATTTTTATGACAAACAGAGCCTGAGGAATCACCTGATTACACACACTACAGATGGGGAAAACAAATGTCAAACATGTAACAGAGAGTTTAATGACAAAAGAGGTTTTCTCATACACATGCAGTCTCATGTTTCTGCATTTGAAGCCTCAGCTGTAAGCAAAGCACCAGCATTTGAATGTGACATTTGTCATAGAAGTTACACTTTGAAGGGTAGCCTTAATAGGCATATGAAGAAGCATGGTAATGTTTTTAAACAAGAGTTCAAAAGTGATGATGAGTCAGCAGATTCTACCCCAGGAGTAGACTCTGATCTAAACGATTCATGGAACATAACTCAACCACAGCCATTGGATGTCCAGGATCGATACAGCAATCGAATGACTCCATCTAATGACGTATCACATAGGAAAGACTTTCATCAGGCTGATGTCCCTTATTTCAATGCTGGACAGATTGAAACTATTCCGCCAGATCTGAAGCCTAATTTAGAATCTGATGTTGATCAAGGGATGGACTTGTCATTGAAGCCAACTTCCTTCAGCAACTATATACCAGTTTCTACATCTCCTGAAGGATTAAGACACGTGTCAGATGAAGAAAGAAATGGCTGCTTTATGGAGGAGACTGCATTGGACCTAAGTATGAAAACTTGTTCTGTGCCACTCAGTTTTCAAATTAAACAGGAGTCTGTTGAAGACGACTACAAAAGGACCACTTTGAATCACACAACAGATGTTTTGGAAGACTCAGACTGTGCTTTAGATCTGTCTACAAACAAGAATGTGCAGGCTCTAGACAAAACACCAGCAGATAGCTCTAAGCAAAAATATGAGCTGAAGGAAATGGAAAGCCAAGACAGTCCAATAGATATGAGTTGGAATCAGGAACCTCAAGATAGAACACACAAATGCAAAAAATGTCCAATGACATTTGATGATCGATTAGACCTGCTCTATCATTCAAAACAATATCATCAGTATCGTTTGTCCCCTTCATCAATAGACATGGTTCACCAGCATTTTGGAGAAAATTCTTCACATACTTCACACAGTCAGGATGAAATGGAAGATGTTATGGAATTTAACAAGTGTCCTTATTGTGAGAGCACATTTACATCAACATTGGCCCTTAACAAACATCTGCTTATTCACTTTAAAGACAAGACAGATTTTTGTGAGTTTTGTTACAGGATGTTCGCTGATAAAGACCAGTTTAAATCACACATTGAAACCCACATGGACAAAGTCTACAAATGCAGCATTTGTCCCAAATCATTTGAGTTAAAGACTGAACAGCAAGACCATATCAAAGAACACAAAGAAGGAAAACCATTCATTTGTGGACAATGTAACAAATCTTTTCCCATAAAATACTACCTGGAATCCCACATGCGGGTGCATTTTGGGGATAAACCATTCAAATGTCCAATATGTAGACGAGGATTTACTCACAGTTTTAACTTGACAAAACATGTGCGAATCCATACTGGTGAGCGACCATATGAATGTCCTCATTGCCAGCGAAAGTTTGCCCAGAAGAACAGTTTAAATAGGCACATGTACCTTCATGTCGGACAGTCACCTTTCCCGTGCAAACTTTGTGACAAGTTCTTTGCTCACAACTTTGCTTTACAGATACACATGTCTAAATCACATGGCATTTTTGATAGTGAATTTAGCCAAGAGGATTTGGAAGAAAATGTTACTTCACTGCAGGATGGCAAATTGATGGCACCACTATACAGTGTTTCACCACCCAAAAGTATCTCTAAACTCACAAAAGAATTACATGTGACAAAACAAAGAAGTACAGACAATTCAGGGACGCCTGTTTTATGTTCGGATTTCAGTGATCAGTCCCCAATTAAGCCTTGCAATGAAAATGCGTGTGAAAGTCAACAAATGCAGGAGGGGGGAGACAAAGATATTTTAAACGAAAGTGATGATTTCTATGACAATGCTGATAATTCTTTGAACAACACACAGGAGGATACGACCTCTCAGTCCTTTGAGGATGGTGAAGAACCAAAGCAAGCTGAAGCTGCTGGAAATATAGATACAACAAGTATGTTTATGCCTTGGCAATTACCAAGAGGACTAGGGTTCCCGGCATTTCCACTACGAAATATGCCTGCAATGGATCCAAGTATGATGATGTCTGCTTATCTCATGAACTCCTACCTTGAGGCACAACAACTTCAGCTATTGAAAAAAATGCAAGAAAATGAAAATGTTAAAGCATCAGTTCATGAGAATATCCTACACCCAACAAAAACTCAGGTATACAGAGAAGCTGTTGATGATCATACAAGGGATGTACGGAAAAGTGAGCAGGCACAAGAACCGGACATCCATGTTTGTCTGGAATGTGGAAAATCCTTCAAGAAAAAGTACTACCTCAAGTCTCACATGCGTGTGCATACTGGCGAGAAGCCATTCAAGTGTGAAATCTGTGAGAAATCATTTAGCTACAGTTTCAACATGAAGAAACACCTCAGGACGCACACAGGGGAGCAGCCCTACCAGTGTGACATTTGTAAAAGACGTTTTAGTCATATTAACAGTCTTAATAGACATGCATCCACCCACACTGATAGCAGCTGTAGCTGTCGGTATCCAAGGTGTGAAGCCACATTTCCCGATAAGAACTCTTTATATCATCATGTTCTTCAAAAACACGGACTTCATAGAGATTTTGCAAATTCAGCTGAAATTCAAGATGGTGACTCAAAGCTTAATGCAGATTCTTCTTCTACTGTAGAAAATTCTAACTTAAGTGAGGTTTGTGTCAGGGCAGGTGAGACTCCTCATGAATTTTCTGGGGATGGAAATGAAATAAATACATCGATGAAGGTAGATGCAAATAACGAAACACAGAAGGGAAATGACAATTATTTTGATTCAAATGATTTGACGTATGAATATGATGGTGATGAAAGCACAAGTGAAATTTGTGATCTCTCAATTGGGAGCTCAGTAGGACAAGAGAATGTGTTCAGTGTGAAAAACGGAATGTACCAGCAATTAAATGGAAACACTTCATACCCAATTAAACCACTGATAGACGATACATACAAGTTAAACACTGATGCTATCACTGGAAATCCAATTAAAGCAAAACGGCGGAAGTCCTCAAGCCCTGCTATGCCTCTGATCTGTTCTGTTTGTGAGAAAGTATTTTTGAAAAAACAGGATCTCAAATCTCACATGAAAGTCCATTCTGACGCCCGGCCTTTCAAGTGTGACCTTTGTCCTAAGGCCTTCAATCACAAGTCAACTCTGACCAATCACCGGCGTATCCACACGGGGGAAAAGCCGTATGGATGTGAAATTTGTAAGAAAAGTTTCACATTTCTCAGCAGTCTACAGCGTCATAAACTTCTTCATATCGCAGAGACGACCTTCAAGTGTTTCGTGTGTGGAGAATCTCTAGAAGACAAGCAGGCTCTTAATAAACACTTAAAAAGTCATGTCCAAGGTGCAGAACTCGAACAGGATATTCAGATCAATGCAGCTACATAGAAAGACATTTCAACTTAGTGTAAATATATATTTAGACATACTGTATGAGATATCATTCAAGATTGTGTTTTAACGAAGTCTAACTGTAGAAAGTGTACATAAACTAGTAATTGAATGAAGATATCAATTTGTGCTTGAAAACTACATGAACTTTATACATAGAGCTTCATTTCATTTAAGGCATCATTTCTACAAGATAATGAAATATTCTTTATTTTATATAAAATGACTCTATCCATCAAATTGAGGGACAAACAATTTTTATATCACATTTTAAAGCAGAGTTTGCTCTGTTTGGGTTTATTAATACCAAATGTCAGTGACTGATATAAATGTGGCAAACTTTGTGTATTTCATAGATAATTGTCCACATCTTCTTCACCTCCAATTTAGTGTTACCATTCTCGGTTTTTCATGAAAGAAAAAATGACGAAAGTTCTACAGTCTAATGTTACACTTTTATAATTAATGAATATCTTCAAACCCTTCAACTTTTCCAGTCGTCCGTGCATTGAATAATACAAACAGGCACCTAATACTTGCAACTTTATTGTCTGAAAGGCAGGTGACTGATTTTAACAAGTATCCAGTCTGCTTACGTCATCATTATTTTGATATTCATGACCACATCAATATTTTTGATATTCTTTTTACACTTTTTTATATCTAGTATTGAAAATTCTACAAATCATTTATTTAAGGGGAGCAAATTGATGACACATATTTTGGTGTAAATACTTGACCGATGAGAGTCGTTTGACGGACGGCATTATACATATGTTTATTTGGTAATCATTTATTTAGAATGTCTCAATATAAATGTATTGTTTTCAAGTTGTATATTTTTTGTGCCATAGGTGTTATATTAGCCAAACTGCGATGATGGATTTAAGAATGTGCTCAGTACCTGTCATTATGTTTAAAATAAACATTCATTTTATTGGCACATAATTTTGTTGAATGTGCTCATTGATTTTCACACCAAAAAGTGTTCCAAGTCTACTTTTTTTATGTTGATGGATGTTATTTACATTTCCTTATTGATATTTGTTCAATCCATTCTAAATTGAGCATATATGTATGACAACAGTCGATACATGGTAATCTTGGTTTCAATTGTCATCACTTGCACGAAATTCCATGAATACAGACTTCATTTTTTTAAGTTAGCCAAAATGTGTATGTTTCTACAATGTACCTTTAGTGTACACACACAGTTATTAATGACCAATTTTACAGAGCATTTAATTTCATATTCTGGGTTTAGAAACATGTTACAACATATGTACAATATGGATATGTAATGAACTTTTTTAAGCATGTACCTTATTTGCAGTTTGTGTTTTTTCATTATTTGTTTTTTTTGTACTTGCAGTGGAAGTTATTCTTGGCTTTTTGTGAAATTATACACTGTAAATTTACTTATATCGGAGCAATAATCATTATGTAAATATGTGTTTTTATAGTTTACGCTGTTTAGGAAAGTGAAGACCATACAGTTTAAGGAAAAGACGCCAAAACAGTATTGTTAATTGTTCATTCTGTTTATCAGAGCATTTAGATCTGATCTTTTACCATGACACAAAGTCAACATTTTTGCCATAAATGAAATATTTGGTGCCACCCTCGGAGATGTTTTGCCTATTGGCTCCAGTGTTGTACATTCTATTGTGTTCAGATAACAAATCAATCGATTTAAACTTTTGTATTATGTATATTGTTGTATAATCTATGCTGTAGATATACAAAATGTGTTCACAAATTTTATTTACACAGGGACGTCTAATAAGATGGGAATACATGCTACATTCATGATGTTAGCTCAGTGACGGGTACATGTTCATGTTTTACTTTTGTACAAAATAAATGTTTTAGCATCTATCATTTCAGTTTGATTATATACAACCACTGTGGCATATGAGCACTGTGCAGATGTCTTGTGTGTGTGAAGTATCACAGGTGCACAGTTCGACGCTTTACACATAACATGTTGTATTTACCAGGAAGTTGAGAAATAGACTTGTCTATGCTGACATGGTTGTGTACTTTAGAAAGACACTTTACTCTAATTCAGGGTGTGATGTGACGGGGCTCCCGTAGGTTCAGTGAGGTAGTCAACGTCTACTACAAGGAAACCTCGCCTCAAATAAACCTAGCTGTTCGTTAGGCGATAAATCCCACCATGAGAGTTCTATGACAAATGATCAGTTGTCTGCATGTATGTCAAGACAGATAAAACCTTGACCCACGTTCGAGATCCATTTGACCCACGAAAACAACTTGTATCAGACTACCGAGAAAGACGTTGGAGCGAGGTCTGGAATCTGTTCATAGATTAAAATACACAAGATGGCGGGTTTACGCTTACTTCGTCCACTAACTCTATGGACAGTTCTTTTGAGTGAGTAATTGTAGCCATGATTTATGATTATATTTATGTTGCTGTTCTTTACATCATAACAGTATTTTGGTGCTAGAGTTATCTCCCTTCGTCTATACTTATTTTGACAATAATGACGTTCTCTGCGGAGACCTGGAGAGCAAATAATTTGTAGGTTAACATCATCAAATATTTATATACACGTAACGGAACGCTGTATCTTGATAATTTCAACGAATGTTGGTGTTCTTCACACTGTATAACAACAGTGAGAGCCAAATACGGACAAAAGAATTATAAACGCTGTGACATTTGAAAAAAAGGTGTCTGGAGAAAATGCTGAAGACGAAGAGTTCTGGGAGGGTATTATAGACAGCATCCACTCTGGTAATTTTTGTCAAGCCCATCGTGCTGCTCCTTTACAGTGTATTTAATATCAGCAAAACATAATCCGTGGAAATAGTTCGATAACACTTATAAACAAAATAATATAACAAACGTAGAGACTCCTCAAAGTAATTAAGATGTGAATTCCTAGATACCTGTGGCTTCCATGGAAAAGCATGGTAGAGAGTGGATGAAACGGAAGCATTTGACTTTGATTTTCAAAGTGAAATAGTCAATTATTAAAGGATTCAGCAGTGTAGAGTTTAAAATTAATATTAGCAGCATCCTAACGGGTTTTACCAGGATGTCGAGACCACAGACCACACTGATCGTTTTTATACAAAATGCGATATTTTTTCAGATAAGGCATCTGATTAGTGATTCTTGCCTGTAAACACTTATTTCATTTTCTACGTAAGGAAGGGATTGGGCTTACTTCGATATCCAAGGACATCACACACTTTTAAAAGTCTACCTAATTATGCATCATCGTTATAATCATTCAGGTTACCAGACATTGTTAGTGATACAGACATCCCTCGCTAGTAATTGAATTATAGAGCGGTTCTGAAGAGTTCCACAACACTAAAGTACTGTGATGTCCATGATTCTGTCCTCTTTCTCCATTCAAACCTAAACCTCGTCCTATTGTTTGACTTTTATCCAAATGTGTTACTTCCGTTTATTGTGATACTTTATACTTCACAAAAAAGTAACAGAATGATGATTTTGAAGGATTGAAATGTTCTTATGACAAATCGTTAAGCGGTAATATTAAATAAACTATTGGCATACCTATGGGTACTAACCTCTGCCTTGACTGACTGTTCTCATACGATATAGAATTTCTCGAAAAACTTACCGATATAGATGAAAAAGATATGTTTAACTTGCAGATGCAAGTTGTCTTTGAATATCAGGAAATTTATTAACCATCGTAAATAGACATAAAAAATGGGCATCAATGACACAGTAGAGACAGTCTTACAATAAGCTGTATTATAAGCATAATGAATTTGATCTCCCTATCGTGGGTTACTTTATCTAGATTGTTAAAACCCTGCTTTTCAAATTTGCTGTGTTTACAAGTCATATTGTACTCCATTTTACGGGTTTGGTTCCAGTATTACGATTCCGTGAAAAATGCCTACAGCTTTTGAATAAACTTACAGCATGGGCGATGAAATTTCAAGGCAGCCATTATTATTTCATACATGTTAGATGAATGTTATTTCATAGCTTCTAATTTTGATAGCGTTGCTTTAATTTGAGAAATCTCGATTTACATGGCGCATAACATCGATTAAGTACAGTTGAAATCGTTGTCTTGAAATTGCTTGAGTTGAAATTCCGTTTGAGTTGAAATAATTTTCAAGTGTCGATTTTTTCTTTTATATCTTTGTAACTTTAGTTCGGATGACTCGAATTTCATTGAGGCGAAATTTTGGTTGAGTCGAAGTGATTTTACAGTCCCTTTAATTGTAAAGCAAGGGAAAAGTCATTCACTCGAAATTAACGTTTGTCAAAACATCGGCACGTCTTCTGACGAAGTCGGTCAATACATGTATACACATAACGTCATCTGTGCGTAACTTTTTGCTTAGTACAGCGTATCGGTCAATCGTACACACAGCACTTGTTCTCTAGCGATTAATAACCAGTTTAATTATCCAATTAAAGGTTGGCTTCTTAATTAGTGTCATCATTCTGTAGCACGTTAAACAAGGGGCGTGTTTATACAAGACAGGAAAACGTGTAGTTTGGTTGCGTGCATCTTTAGGAACGATCAAAACGATGCCGTCAAACCAGCACGAACTTTTTGACGGAATCTAATCCCCACAATTCCGGAAGAAACTATTTTTTTTTAGATTATTTTACTAGAGGACTGTGATCAGTCGCTTTGTTAGATTTATTGCTTTGACAATGAAGTGCCGAAAGTATTTGTCATTGACAGAGTCTATATCTGTGCGTAATTTGTTGAGTCTAGTGTTTGTACAATGTTTTCTATAACAGGTAAACACTTTTTAGTGCCGCGTTTATTTATTCATAATAATGACATATCAATATCATCTGTAGCTTAATACATCGTTTGTAGTAGCGTATCAAAAGCATATTTGATGTTCGTTTTATTGTCTTTCCGTAAAATAAATTACCAATATGTTCTTGGCCAGTAAGGGTAGTGTAAACGTAGGCGGGACGGAACGACGCAAGTTCAGCTGTATTTTGAATGGTGTTGTAATTACATGATTTGTTGTTTGGGTGAATAAACATGAAAAAGCGAAAGTAGAATTTTTTTTGTTTCTTTTTTACCGCCATTTCAAACTAGTAACATTAAATTACGAGTTTCGACTTTACTTGTTGCTTATACTTCTGGTGCAATAAAACATTGTGACGTAAATTTCGTTTTTAATGGCAGTCTGCTGTCTACTTGTACATTATACATTTACATAAATCTCGACGTATAAATGCAGGTCCTTGTCTGTCTGTGTGTCCGGACGGTTCCATTGTACATCAAACATCTTGCTACTTGTTTTTCAACATGAGGGCCACATGGAGCGAAGCGGAGGTTCGATTTCATTTATCAATGTATAACATTTTCCATCCTTTTCATAGTTGTGCCAATTTTACTTCATACTTGCTTTGATATATTGTACAGGATGTATTGAGAGTAAAGTCTCTGAATATTTTCTTATCGACTTATCAACTGTTGCTGTCATTTGATATAAGATTTCTTCTGGTTTTATGTTGCTGATATAAAGTTCTGTCACGTGATCAATAGCCTACATTTATTGCTTTGTTATTGAAACAGATGTTATTGTGTACTTTGTTTATTTATAATTCAAATTTATAACTTTGTTTTGACGCCGATATTTGTTTTTAATCAGTTTTATTGTCGTCTGCTGAAAACTGATCTGTTATCCATAGACACTGCGGAGGAACAAACGTTCATCGGGAACCACCTGGCAAGGGAGGGCAGTGGTAATGGAATTTGTGTACTATATATCTTGTTCTACAAGAGCGCAACACCTAGACTGTGACAAAATTTGTTTGTTACAAAATCATATATATTCAGTATCACAAAGTAATGTTTAAACCCTGTTTATTCATGTCAGGAAGTGTTGTCATTTTCATTTCATAACTGTAATTCTTTGTTACGATTACCAATGCCTACATTTCTAACTTGTATTATTTATATATATATATATTAAAGTAACATTCATGAATTATATTACTTTTATTATCTTTATTATATTGCAATAACACAATTATACATAAAATACAAACTGTACAAAGCACCAGATTGTAATACATATGGCTAATTAAATCATTCTTATGTCTAATCAAAATATAAGTAAGACAATATATAACAAATCTATTGAGTATATTCTGTTTGTGTCACACGCACAATGTTAACAGCTACGTTCAGTAAGGACGGAATGTTTTGGACGGGAGGGACTACCATAATGACAGGCGGGCGATGGATGTGGGAAGGAGAGTCCATTCCTGTGGGGTACGAGGCCTGGGCCTCAGGAGAACCGGACACTCAATCAGCCCAGAAGAGATGTCTAGCTATGGTTTTCAATAACAATTTCCAATGGCGCGCGTCTGTGTGTGATCGCAAACACCACTTCGTGTGCGAGGCATCGTAAGGACGGTTATTGTCTCTTTCAAATAACAGATAGACAAGAGAGTTAACAAAACCGGTAATCGAATTCACAAATCGAATCTACTCTCATAAAATACAAGTGTTACAGGAGAACTACTAGAACAAGTACGCGAAGAGAAGATAAAATATACAGCAAACATTCCCCCATTTCGCGATGTAGTTTTCCCATCAACAGCAGAAGCGCCCTTAAGTTATGGTTATTGTGTAACTGATTCATGATTTCTGGTGATATGTTTCCATACCAGCTGTTATCTATTATGATTAACATGACTTTTCTGTTATTTCAGCGCATTTGCTAACAGTAACAGTGGCAGCGGAGGTGTAATAATTGGATGATACGACCGTAGACACGACGTGCTTCTATTATCAGATATAGCTGTTTCATGTAAAATATATAATTTTCAATAAAAAGCGAATCAGAAGTCTTGTATTGGTATATTGAATTAAACTATTAAATGGGTCACAATGTAGTATTTAAAGTATACATCATGTATATGTCACGTGTTACATATTAGGAGGTCTTTATCTACATACTACTTTTTGTAGAATGTTGATTTTTATATCTTTCAATTATACAGATGATGGAAGTAATTCAATCTTACGTATGCTATATGTAAAATTAAAGCATGAACGTATCTTCATTTTGAAACCAACATCACTTTATCCTGTAATGCTTTCTGTTTAGAAATTCTTACAGAATATTTTTTTCTTCGTAGTGTAGAACTAATTTATGGTATATGAAGAGATAGAAGACGATTCTAACTTGTAGGTTTGAAAAGTAAAATATTTAGTAAAATAAGTCATTGCATGTAATGTACCTTAGTTTATGAGTACTTAGAATTAAACATTTAGGATAGTAAACAAAGTAATCGTCAGCTGTTAGTATCATACAGAACCTCGTAGCATTGGGTTAATTTAAAGTTTGTCAATATGTCCATATACTTCTTACAAGTTTTTTTTTTTCTCTCAAAAGACTATTTTTTACTCTTTATAGGATTAACTGTATATCTCTGTTACTGGACTGTTACATAATGCTTTTCTTTGAATAACAAGAAAGTTATTGACCCTCCAGACTAAGAAAGCAAGAAGACGGAATATTCTTCTACATACATTTTATCCCAATATCTACATGAAACCAAACCAACAATTTTCAACTTAGCTACATGGCAAGCATGATGCTTTCTATATCCAGTCACTTCTAAGAAGTAACATTTCTGCTTCGCTAACGTACGGTTTTTACATGTCGCATTTACTTCGATTTTTGACGGTTGGTTCAGATTATCACGCCATCAGTGCGAGACATGCAGGTTGATGAAACCTTTTTTTCACCTCTCTCTCTCTCTCTCTCTCTCTCTCTCTCTCTCTCTCTCTCTCTCTCTCATATTTTTCACTTCTACAGAGCATATTTGATATCGTCCTACTAATTCAATGTATCGGAAGCCAATTTGATACCTAGAGATCAATGGCCGTGTTAACTTCCAGTCTAAAATATCAATAAAAAGAAAGAACATGATTTTTATCCCTAAACAGATATCTTTGGTTAATTTCACGTAAATGCCTGTTATCCAAGGCTTATTACGGAACATGTATTACGTGCCATCTACACTGTCAAATATCTAACTTAAGGACCATTTTCTCAGCTGTATTCTGGTTGTGGAAGGGATGTTCGTGACTTGGCTCATTAAGGTTGGTTAAGGAAAATTTACTATTTCAGAAATATCAGTTTATTTTCCATAGACTATGCCTGTTTAACATCATTTTCCAGTATTATTTTAGTTCGATGTTTTGTTAATTGATGACATACCGTTTTTCTCGTCGTCGTGTTGCAGTTTTATCGGCGAGGGCAAAAAGAAAAGTCGTTGTTTGGAAAGATAACGTAAAAGGTCATTATTTAGCGCAAACAAATGCATCATAATTTCAACTAGTATGATTTTAACGTGAACGATACATACAACGAAATCAAGTAACAAAGTGCTAAATTACAATGAGCGACGAAGTCGCAACATATATAGAACTGAGTTGTCTTTCTGTGCTCTTATCTCTCTTAGATCTGCCATAGTATAAAACACAGCCAGATATAGGTCAGACGAATTTTATCTCGGGGATAGATAGCTATGTAAATCCAAGATGGCTGTCATTACGGTGCATGGCATATTCTGTGTGCTGCTAGTGTTAACGGTAATGACACAAGGTAATTATAAAACAGACACGAGCATGTTTTATAAATGATTTGCCTCCCTTGTATCGTATGTGTTTTATATAAAACCTTGCCTCTTTAATTATCAGCGAGGTTAGGTTTCACACCTTGTTTCAGTGTTTTATATTCGTAAGCGGTGTATATTACTGTACAGGAAAGTTTCGAAATTAATTGAATTATGGGACTAGAGCACCTTTCCATCCAGATTTTCAATCAATCTTTGTATTCCTTAGTCCCCTTCTAGGTTTCCAAATTAAGACCCTTAGCATTACTGACAAGTCATATAAGGACGAAACAGTTGTACGAAGCAGCTCATTAATCCATTTCTTGGCTTTACTGTGCTTGTAAATTTGTATCATTCACTTGTGTGTCTTTTGTAATTTGTACTCCTTGTTCATGTGTCTTGTGTTCACAAGCAATGTATGTTTAACTCCTTGTTTAAGTATCTAGAATGTCTTGATTCGTTTGTGTTGTATATTCCATTCTTGTTGTGAGTGTCTTGCGAGTGTCTTAAATTTGTTAGTGTTTTAGGTTTCACCCCTAGTTTACGTGGTTGGGAGTGTCTTTAATTCGTTAGTATCGTAGGTTCATTCCTTGTGTAATGCAAGTGTCTTAAATACGTTGGAGTTGTATGTCGCAATCCTTGTATGTTTCACTCGTTTAAGTGTTTTGGGAGTGTCTAAAATTTGTAAGTGTTGTAGATTTCACCTATTATTTGAATGTCTATGGCGTGTCTTTAATTCTTTAATATTTCATGTATATTTCAATCTCTCCTTGTTTAAGTAATTTGCGAGTTTCCTTACTTGGGGAAGTTTTACTCCTTATTTGAATGATTTTCGTTAGTTGTGGCATATAGTAAAGTTTGTTTATTTTCGTGGTTTCTATTTTTCACTATTTTCGCGAATATATGTATGTATTCAATAAAATAGAAGAAAATTGATATTTATGATTTTCGCGAAATAACCGCGGTGAGCTTCGGGTTCACTCCTTGTTTTGGGGAATACAAGGTTACATGTATTTTGATTTTCTGGCGGGTGCTGTATATTATCACTGACTGTTAGGTTTGCGTCATTAAAGCTCCTACCGCGTGCTTTGCACTTGTCAGGTTTTCATTCATCGTTTCAGTTTCTGGCGAGTGTCCAAGTGGCTTCCTGGTCCATGGGTCTTCCTGCTATATGGACTTCAATATACAGGCTACATGGGCCGAGGCCTCGGTAAGTATACAAGATGGGAAAGATATGTCTCTACAGAATAAACTATTACTTCTTTCACTTATGGTCACTTGTTACCTTCACCACATACCTATCTGTAATAGGAAACACTATAACTAAAACGTCTTTATGTGAACGGAACAGGAAATGAACCCACACCACAAACGGTTACATCTATGGAACAACAGACTATGCCTTGTCTCAACGAGTGTGGCTTACGACTATTGTATTGGAGAGAAAAGGAAATAAAAAATATGATAATGATAACATTCATCAATGAATATGACCTTCCAAATTATAAACGTGTACTAAATCTACGTAAGCTATGCAATGGTCAATATCAACAACTCTTTCTTCCGTCTCTAAACGCCACTTTCCGGTGATGGTCACGATGGCCGTCACAATCTTTTAAATGGTATCCTTTTTATTACCAGTACAATAGCTTAACTGTTATCACACTTATGCTGAGGGCTGAATCAAGTGCGTCGTAAACCTTCCCAACAACGCTAACACTTAATCTACTGATGTACACATTACATCATTGAAATATGTATTTACTGACTTAAGTAACTAACAAATTATGGGATAGCCGATATCAATTATTCTTCCTTCTCATGACACCAATTGTTTTGGTGATGGTCACGATGGTTTATTCTTTCAATTATCAAATATCTCGTTGCCATGCTTTATTCATCCGAAACATCATTGTTTTGGGAAATATCACGTCATTCCTTCTACTTGTATGGAAATGAGAACCTTAACACACATTGTAAAAGAAGAAAAACTGAAATGGTGTAAATATTGCAGGCATGTGTAAACAAGGTTGTTGATATGGTGAAGAATCTATTTTTGTAGACCAACATGTTGATTGTGAATACCACATCTTGTGTACGTTAAAACTCCAACGGAGAGACTGCTGAGTAAGAATTCTAGTAATGTCGAGGTGTTTACTTCTGGGATTCTTGCTATGTATTTTGTGTAACACATTTTAACAAAAATATTCCTTAACCAGAGCAGGTTAAAAATCACTGAATAATTTCTCGTCTTTATTTTTAAATGCTCGTCTTCAAAACATCTAAGAAACAACCTTTCTCTTCCAAATAGAAAAAGAAGAAACTTGTTGTGTTTATGAAATGCTATGCCTCCGGTCGCAACAAAATCTGAAGTGGGACTTTAAAACCATACTGTGTAAGGCAGTTGATTGCATGCACACTTTGTGAAACACTTATGTTTTCATTGGGGTAATGATTTTTATTACTTTCCAATGTAGGTCAAACGTCACGGTCAAGGTCACATTGTCAAAACATTTGGTACCACCGGAAAGGTCTTGTTATAAGGAGTAAACATGCCAAACATAAAACGATCCCTCTTATGATGCAATAGTTATTGCCAGTGTTAAAAGTGTTTGTCAAAGCATGGCCAAGGTAACATGGTGGAAAATGGACCACCGGAAATGTCACAAGGAACACACATGCCAAATATGAAAGCACTACCTATTACAGTGTAGTAGTTATGGGCAAGGTTAAAATTGACAGCAATCAAATAGCACAAAACAATATGCCCCCGATCTTTCGATCCAGGGATTTGAAAATACCAACAATGAGACCATAAATGCGCTAATATACTATCCTCAGTGCTAAACACGAATTTACACTGGCATATGGTGGTCTACATCCTTATCACTAAGTACGAATATCCTAGTCACAGATTTCTATTATATCAGTGTTCCCATCCATGAAAACAGGAGAGGGCCTAGTAAGTTGCGAGAACTTGTGCCCAATCCCTTTGTATGTTTCTACAATAAAATAGGTTTGATTGAATGAATGGAAACAGACCACTGGCATGCTTGTGTTATAATCATGACTTCCATTGGTAGCTCTGTATTACTAAATCTTCAATCCATTACCGTAATAACTTCATGTTATGGTAAATACAGTGTTTGAATTATTTGCAAAATCGCTTTAGAAAATAGTGTATATTATTTTCTCCTCATTGTAAATAGATAAATTATAGATCTCCTTCCAACACTGAACGATCAGAAACTTAATATCATTTATTTTCATATCACGGAAGATAGTGTTATACCCGTCCATTGTACTACAACATCGTTACCAAATGACCATAGGTAATTATGACTCATAACAAATGAAACGCAAACATAATTGCAGAGACAGAAAATATTCTAATTAAATAATGGATGACAATCATCGAATCAGGAACAATGCATGTCATTTGCTAATTTCAACTGCTGAATTATTAATGATGATTTTTTTACTATTAAAATAGAGGAATTAAAAGTAAATTTTTCAATTAAGAGAAGTCTCCGCATATTCTACCTCACTCATGGTGACAACTGTAGTCATATGACGGCCATCAATCATGCCATGACGAGCCGCACATACAGCGACTAGTCCATACAAATGTACAAAGGACAATTGTTACAGGACGTTACTTCGATGACTCAAACCAATCTAATGTAACTCTGGAAGGTGAAAAATAAATTTTGATACAAAATGTTGATGATCTTATGAACTTCAACATACAAAAAAAGTCTGTGTGAAGTAATAAACTAGGGCAAATGAATTAAAGAAATCCCAAATGTGTTTTACCTGGATTGTGTTTAAATCGCTAGAGTCCGTGAAGACTGTTTTGACCCCATTTGAAATCATTTCTATCCTTACCTGTATAATCCCCGCCATTGTTAATTCATCGTCTGGCATACACACACGTGTTATGAAAATTGCAATATATTCCACAATGTGTTTTTTTCTGTAATATAAATGTCACAATGGAATTTCATTCAGCAGTGTAACATTAAAACACTGTTAAAAAGTAATATGTAATCACATACGCCCGGCAGTGTTAAAACGCTGTGGATATATTAATATTTACGAAAGGTACAAACTAATACTGTGAAACATTATCACATCTTACAATATTTTATTGCAGTATTCACAATCATATACATAAGAAGTACAAATATAACATCTGAGTTAAATATATTCATTCTTATTTTTCTGTCAGTTTAACATATGTGGTATAAAACATGCTGAGTATAGACTGAATAGAGTGACCTGTCGCGATGAACGTGGACTATTTAAGTTGGGCGATTACGTGTACATTAACCTTATGTATGGACAGTAATGGTTTCATTCTAGAGGACTATATATATATACCTGTTGAATTAGCTGATAAACTGTCAGTTGTTCGAATTGTTGCATTTAGAATCATAAAGTGTCCTATGAAAGTTGGAACTTTATATCTACTTAAATTTAAATAATATGTTCAGTGCCGATTAATATCCCTGGCGGGTTCGTTGTTGTTAACTTTGTTTTTATTTCATAACCTGACATTACTTATTTAGGAGTAGACCTTAACGATAATGGCCAACAGATGTTATAAGACCTATCACTACTGCTATATTTATCAAGTAATTGTAAAGCTGAAGAATAGATACAACAAAGAAAATATCGACATGCCAACAGAATCTTCAGTAGAATTCAAGATCGAGAAAAAGAAATAAACGCAACATCTATTTGTCGACATTGATGACACTATGGCAAAACATGAACAAAGGACATATTTAGATTTACACGGAGACTTCTTAAAGATATAGGGATAAGAAGAGTAAGTGTCTTCTGCCATGTAAATCTTGGTTACTCCAACTGATTAATGTCGCGTTCTCAAATGTAAACAAGGTAGATAACAACGGAACCACATGACAAACTAGCAAACATCGAACACGTCCAACTTTAAATAGCAGAATGTGTTCTCTTCCTCTGCTGCCTATTGATCTTTTCCTTAGATTGAAACAAGCGTTCTTTATTGTATGTTTATGTGTTCTCCATAGTCTACACTTCCATTTATCATCATAAATTGCATATTCTCGACACTTTTTACATGTTTTAATTATCATTTGAAATGTGGCTTGGATATGCTTGTTCTCTTTAGTGGCATATATACTTTTAAATACTTTTTATACTTTTCTGTTTCTAAATACGTTCCAACACCTGTGGGGTTGAATGAAAGTGAATAAGACTATGATTAATGTTGTGAAAGTAATACCTTGTAATGTTTTTACCTATTGTTATAACAAAGTTTCCGTGACTATGAATAGATATCATTTCCGCAACATCATGGCAGATATCACATATGTTGGTGGACTATCGTTATGGAGAATTGGAGTTCGTGGCGGGATTCCTGTAACATGTTCGGTTAAGTTAGTTATGTGTATGGTATTATTATGTTGTGTCATTACATTATGAATTACCTCCGATCTGCCTTAATGACGTTTCATTTCCTTCGCATTCCTTTAATTTCTGTTAGTTGTCTTAAGTACTATTTCCTTGAAATTGGCAAAAGAATAATTTCCCAAAATGAATTAGGTGGTGAGAGATTGAGAAAGTAATTTTTGTGTAGGCCGATATATACTAATTATACCACACAATACTTCTGCATCGAATTCTTTTTGATATTTTATAAGTTTCATTTCAACTAAATTATTTATCACTATTATATAAGTATGATGCCTGTCAATGATAAACATGTTCATCGTTATCGGGTCACCAGTTGATCATACTGCTGTGTACTTACCGTATCTTCCGTAGATGATCTGTAACGTTTATGGTGGAAACTTAGCTGAGATTGGCGACGAACACGAGCAACATTTCATTGCGAGCTTCATCTCCAGGAAAACACCTAGTAAGTGCATACTAGTGTTTAGAGACTCAGTAATTATACGAGAAGACCTAGTATTTTGAACATTTTTATTTTTTTTTATACTTAAACGGGAAAATCGATCACCGAGAGTCACGAAGTGATTTATTTTTTCATTTTCGAATCAAGTAGCAATTCATAAAATTACTTAGAGGTTACATATTGCTGTCGTTCACCTGCCATCGGACCACACCTCCCTGTCACTGGAACCCTTTGTAACAACCGGAAGTTATCCGTGTAGTTGCAAGATGATCTAAATAACGAAATGTTCACGGGTCGCATTTGTGTGATCATCTGTAATGTTATCTTCTCTGTTCTACATTCCTGTATTATATATCAACTAGAAGGTTAAAAGGTCATCTTCTGTTTTACTGCTCCATATTGAACAAAAACAATATATCACTGTCATGCACATATATCATACGAACTGTTCCATCATTTAATAAAAAATAATGTGTGGAGGCATATTTCAGCTTTTAAAGACCAGGTGTGAAAAATTATATTTCCACCTAAGCATCATATGAATAAACACTTTATATTAAATGGGGAGATAAATATCAGTTGATATGTAAGCTGAGGCAGGTTCTAGAAAGATTGACATGCAAAAAAGGCATAATTTATAGATTATGTTTGTCTGCTTCTATTGCTTGTGTTAGTGTAGCGTACATAATGCGGTATCTCGGTATCATTCTCGTCAATGCTAAAGAGATAACATTAATGTACCTGTTACAGTAGCCGTGGTTCATTTTGAAAATGTGCCAAAATCGTTTAACATTTGACACTTGCATAACAAGTCAAATTTATAATATGAACGTAGGTGTTCCTCATTGACAAATTCTTCCCATTCTTGAACTGTCTTTTACGGATTTTCTAAATGGCTAATTATAACACGATATTGCTTAATCTAATCTTTAATTTAGTCTATTTTAGATTTAGCAAAAAAAAAAAAAAAAAAAACTGATTCTCTCAAAAATGTTGATTCAATTAGATTTCAAGTACGTTGGGTCTATAGATATTCTGGTTAGGGTTTGTTGCACTCTGTGCTAAAACCAGGGATAACGGTGCAAGAATCTTCATTCGAGATTGTCAACTTTCGAGAAAAAGATAAGATTTTCAAATGCTTAAGTAAACTAAGAAAATAAGGAGTGTTTTGGGCATCTTGATATCGCTAGACAAATAAAGTATCGGTATTGGAACAAGTGTTTTGGTAATTCCTTATAGCTTGTTAAATATACCATTTGAAGTCTCTGCTGATATCTGCATCGCGTTGTATATCAGAATATCGTAGAGCTATGAAACACCACACTGATTGTTACTATCAGAATCACTCCACCGTGTGTCTCTATAAAAAAAACACCACACTGAGTGTCTCCATTATAATCAATACACTGATTGTCTCTATCAGAAATAACACACCGAGTGTGTCTGTTAGAAACACGGCACTGAGCGCCTTCATCAGAGAAACACAAAACTACCAGGTTCGCAACAAAAAATGTCTATTGGTAATACAAAATCGAATATCTCTATCAGAAACACCACACTTAGTGTCTCCATGAGAAACACAACACAGAGTGTCTCTATCAAAATCACTATACTGTGTATCACTATTAGAAATACAACATTCACCATTTGAGGCACAACGCGAAGTGTTTGTATCAGAAACACCACACTGAGTGTCTATTACAAACACCTCAATTACTGTATATCAGAACACTACGCTGAGTGTTTGTTTCAGAAACAGTACACGGAGTGTCTCTTTTAGAAACACCACAATGATTATCTCTATAAGAAACTCCACAATGAGTGTCTCAATCAGAAACACTACACATAGTGTCTCTATCAGAAACAGCACACTGAATGTCACTATTAGAAACAGCACACTGAGTGTCTCCTTTAGAAACACCCAAATGAATGTCTATCAGAAATACCACAATGAGTGTCTCTATCAGAAATACTACACGTAGTGTCTCTATCAGAAACATCATACCGATTGCGCAATAAGAAACACCCAAATTAATATCTTTATCAGAAACACCACACTGAGTGTATGATTGAAGCGTTAACACTTCTTCGATGTGACAAAGTAATCGTCCATGTATTATTTTCTATTTCCCAGCTTCTTACAAGCCTGGCATTTTCTGGCTTGGAGCCTCTGATCTCTTGACAGAAGGAGAATGGATGTGGTCGAGCGATAACTCATTTATGTCTTATAAAAACTTCGCACCTAGGGAGCCTAACAATGCTGATGGAAATGAAAACTGCTTGGAGTTTGATTTTTCCGGTAATTTCCAATGGAACGACAACAACTGTGAAAACCTGTACAACTTCGTCTGTGAGGTGCCGTAAGTAAATACTAGGACAACCACATTAACTACTCCATTCTAAAAATGAGAACGTTTATATATATAATTATATTGTATATATACAATGTGCCAAAAAGTAAACACAGAAGAATTAGCCATTGGCTTTTTTGATATTTAATCTAACGATGCGGAAAGATATCCTCATTATATAATGAATTCTGAATTTCTATCCTTTTAGAATTGGGTCATTGTAAAGTTTTAAAAACATTTTTTTCCTTTCTGATTTTTTGTCTAGTCGACCTACCAGTCATGAAGCCAATATCTCCGTTCTCTTTGAATTTTCCTACATATTAACGTCATTTAACATATAGAAAGGCATTGATTTAACTTAATGTTAGATACGATAACCGGTACATTCTCTGAACGAATGTACTACATCAGAAATCCTTATAGAAGCATATATCTTTCATGCAATTTACATGAGACAAAGCTCAAACGACTTGATGTGTTTTGTTAGTGTTCAGATGAATTAGAATGTCACTTAGGGGTGATTATCGCTGGAAAAAGGTCGATTTGACTAGAACTTTTTTCTGAACTTAGGGCGTAGATCTGGCAGAGAGTATGGGAACGATGTGTACCGTATGACAGGTTAGGGATAGAACGGCTGAAAGTCTACCGGAAGTCCATACACACTTTATCCTTTACTTGCAAGCAACTGTTTTGTAATTAAAAAATTTAGATAATCGTATCTGGTAATGGAGATAAGCGCTACATTATAAGTCACACCACGGAAAAATAGGTCGACGGCTGTGTAAAATGTTCACATTGATTCGTCTCTCTAGTTTTTATCAGTAACAGTAAAAGTTTGAAGATCCATATCAGCGATAAAATGTTTTACACAAGGAAAAATGTTAAACACACTTATCATTTTGTTTATGGCTAGACTAATTCACCACGATGGTTTTATTTGGCCTATAGTCATGACATAGCAATACAACGATATGGATGTTCAACCTAGCTATATGTACATGTACAACAATGATTTGATCTTTTATTCATGAGCCCTATATGACAGTATGATTTTTATTTTCAGAATGAAGATATCTTCCGGTGTTGTCATAGGCTAAGAAACAACTTTTCATATTGCATATCACACTGTAATGATTTTAAACAAAATAAACCAAATTTTCAGAATTTTTTTTTTTTTTTTTTTTTGACATCAGCACTTCTGGGCCTCTTGTTTGGCGTTGATGATGTTTTCTTTTCTTTATATTTCAGTCTGTTAAGCTTGTGCTTCTTCTGGTTTAATCTCCCTTGGAGATGAGGTAGTCAAAATTTATTCTCTCTCCATCAGAGTTTTTCGGAAATATATAATTTCATGTGTTTGTGCTGTATTCTTTTCCTTTTCTATTTGTTATATATTTTTGGTGTGTATATGTGATGATGTTTTACATGTAGTTTACATTTTGCTTTTTTCATGATCTATATCGTAACAAACCTTTTTTTAGAAACGACTGCGCGTACATTCCCAGTCAATACTAACTATCTCTGATTCCATTGGACAGCATGATAAACATAGAGGTGCATCACAAAATAAGTTGAAATTTCCTTCACTAAATACGCTGGGGATTAACAGTAACCAACAAGGTTATGGGTACATTGACCTAACATAGCGTGCTAATTTGACTTAATTGGACGGAGGATAACACATAGGTGTGTGGTGATAATAGTCGACAGTGGCGCGGTATCGTCCAAATAATCAGAGTGAAAAACATTGAAAGATACCTATCATTGACTATTTGTGTGATTTGTTAAATCAAGAACGAAAAAAACTCGTGTGTGGTTCCTTTATGAGCGTGCACTATCGCCAAAATCTAGTAATCAGTACCGCCGATAGGGCGAACGTCGAGAGAAAACTCCACCAAACATTGTCTTATCGTGGTCACAGAGATAAGGATGGAATTGGTCTTCATACAACCATGAACATACTATCTTCATCAGCAAGGTCATGGTGGGAGGAAGGACATAGAAGGTGGATATAACTCATTTTAGATTAACCTTTCAATCGGATCACAGTTCAACATTTAAATATACATGTGAATAGCGATGGTGAGGAAATCTCTCTCAGCAAGGGTATTCACCATAAATACTGATGTGTGATTCTTGATCGTTAGATTTATTTTAAGTGTCTGTTTCGTTAGATTTAATTGATACTATAGGGGACAGTGATTTGATAAAATTATATTTATATATATATATAATTTGTAAGCAAATAGCTTCCTGGCTACCTACAGCAGTGACGTAAACACAGTTAATGGTGTATAGTAATGGCATATAGCTTCCCTGAATGACGTACTTTCAAATTAGCGGGAAAATCTCATGTTTTCGGGATTTAAACCGGCAATTTACTTGTACACTATACATAACGTTGTATATTACAGAATGTGTATGTAGAAAGTGACGTCAACAAAATCTACGATTTACCTGAAACAACATTAATTATGCTGAAATAGAAATCTGGCTCGAGTGCCAGCTGCCCTCAGGATTAGTACATCCTTATTACCAGAGAAGTGTACAATCGAACAATATGTTACAAAAACGAAATGATGTGACATTCCAAACCGTCATAAATATATATATATATATATGTGTGTGTGTGTGTGTGTGTGTGTGTGTGTGTGTGTGTTTCATCACTAGGAAACAGGTACATAACACATGAAGACTAATTAGGTTGGGTTTTTTTTTCGAACACAGGGAGGCTTGAAATCATTTTTTTCATAGCAAAACAAAATGTGATTTTTCTGTTCTTTTTTTCAACTGATCACAGGAGGAAAGTGAAGTGGGGTGTCTCCCACTGTAATTTCACTTCACTTCACTCTGTCAGATGGTATAACGATAAGCTTGACAACCGATGGGGGTGGAGAACAAGGGGAAGGGTGCTATGGTTATTCTGAGGCTTTTCCAGTTAAACAGATGAAGATTTTACTGCTTCTTTCCTTTCCCACCTTAATACTTGGGTCTTTCATATACCTTTGTAATGACTTCAGCAGCAATTTTCTTATACGTTGCGTTCATAGCAAACACAGCCACGTTTTTTCAAATGATATACTTTTGTGTTTCACATGATTTAGTCGTCACTGCGTCATTGATAACACGACGACTTCAAACGAACAAACACCAGTTTTCAAGAAGGAAAAAACACCTTCCCTTCAGGAACCTTTTGTCTTGTACTTGTCCGATGATATTTGAGCAGAATCGTACATTATGTAAAACATTATCTATTCCATGTTAATGGCATTGCAACACTTGTAACACAGGAAGACGTTTCACAATTTAAGATTGTTCGTCATTTTCTTCATGTGTATATTTTGTTGTTTTCTTGTCAGGTATTTTTATGATTAGAAATATTACAAAGATACTGTTTGAAGTGCTGCACTGAGGAAATTCCAGTGATAATATTGTCATGAATGATGCCATTCGGAATCTCTTTTTAACCAGCTCTTGATATTTCATCTATAAGTAGATGTGAACGTGCAGCCTTGTATGTTAATTGACAGTTAAAGCGGAACACCGGTTCCAGGAGGCAGATTACAGGAAATACTACAACATATCCGTGTAACCACAGCCCTTTGATATCTACGTGGTGCGGTTTATCGGCTGCTTGCGTTTGCTGCTTTCACGATCCTGACCAGACAGAACTATTGATTGGATTTCACGTTCAATTGAAATGTTTTAACTGTTGAATGCAATGTTCTGGTATATTTTAACTAACAACTGATTAGCCTAATAGCATTTATAGGTGTTCTCTGCTATAGAAAGCGAGGAGAGAGTATCTTTGTCTCTTAGTGGAATGCAGAACGTTTTCCAGTATCACCTTAGATAACCTATAGCACCTACCTGGATAAAATAGTTACGCAAAGCCAATCGCATGGTAGATAATACGGAGTATCATTCTGGACTATCGCATCGTCGATTACCAGCAATTCATCTTATCATCTAACAGACCAGGAGAACTGTTGATGCGTGAAATGTTCTTTTATCACCTCGGAATATTTGTGAATATATTCTAGAATGCTGTGTGGAACTTGTTCAATGGTACTACAATGAACTTTGTGAGAAACAAGTGAAAAGGTGTCTTACAATATAATATTGAAACTAAATGTACGGTATGGCCAAAATTGAATAAAACTTTCATCATATTGTGTTTTTGTGTTTCTCGTCCGTGATAATTCCACCAATTTTTTGGTTATTAGTCCTATAATGGTATGAATCGAGTTGTAAATGCATTTTAAAACATTTAATATCCTCCTCAAAGAAAACTTATAACAGATAGGAAAGTTTTATTGTAAATTAATTAAAGTTCAGTTTAAGATTAAATTGGCTGCTCTCCCATCAGGGCGGACACCATTGTCGATTTGGCATCCAAAACTTCAGCATAAGTTCCAAACCCAAGTGTTTGTCTTGATGCTCGACCTCATACATGTCCCGCATCACTTAATGATTATTTCACACCACGGTAACAGCACTAACCTCAACCAATTTCATCGATAACAGATAGCGTGTAGTTCATATGTACTTGTAATCTCTCTCTGCTATATTTGTTAAATATTCAATTCAATTTCGCTACATTCACGGTCACTTTGGATAACACGAAATGGATTATCAGGCAAATATCAGTACTTTGAAGACTTGATACAAATTTGGAATTAGCCAAAACATAAATTAAGCTGTATCGTCCTTCTGGACTTGTGAGCAATACAAGCTCTAAATGATAAAGCTTAGGAGGAACTTTAATTTCCGTTACGTATTTCAAGTCTGTATTTAAATTTTAAATTTTAAGATAAATCAAATTCAATTGAATTAAGCAATTATACGTAATACTATGGTAAATAAAAGTAAAAAAGAACTGGAACATACATCGATATTCACATCTTATTTCGTCTTATCCTTTTCATGAAAATAAAATATGTATAACCAAGAAAACACTCAAATTCGCCATAAAACAATCAGTAAAAGGAAAAACACATGTCAAGAACATTTTCATTCAAACTCAAATTAATATTAAAACACAATTGTAACATGGAGACCCTACAAAGAAGAGGAAAAACGATTGTAGGGTAGGCCATGTAACTCAAACCTATTAAGTAATGTCACATTCTCTATAGAGATTAAAATGAAACTACCTGGTAACTAAGTAGTACCGAACACGTCCGATATTGTTTTAAAATCCTACAAATAAGTATCAAGATAGCCAGTAGTAAGGTGCTGAAGGACAAACATTACATTACCACAATCTTGGTGTTAAATGGGAACAATCATGTTTAAAGATTCAGGTATGTCTCACCGAGGAAACAGAACCTTAACCTTTCATTACAAGGGGAAAATTAACTAAAGGTCAGAAATGAGGCAATGGGTAGTAAGATAGTTGTTTAGAAAGAAATTCAAGTCCTAAAAAGTTGCCTCTTACGAATCGTGCAATGGGGTTAGCAGTTATGTAGCAGGTTCCAACACCCTGCAGGGTAATATCGCACAAGGAGATCATACTCTTCACCAGCCTGGGAGTCTCAAATCTTGTGCTGTGCGTTTATCTGTCATTTCTCGACAAACACTGCAATTAAATATTTTGATTTTGACGAGATGATTCTTTCGAGAACATTACTAAGACAAGATTGAAATGCATTAAGTCCTAGTCAATATTTTCTTCATCCAAATTTGTACCACTATGTTTGAAGCTGAAGTTATTCGTTATCTAAATGCTGAAATTCTGAAACCTTTTAATAATTAGCTCTTTTAATAAAGTTTATTACACTGCATCTGTTAGCAATTCATGCTGAACAAAGAACTATTTTATATTAAAAAAGCTTCCACGCTAAATGCAATCGTTTACCTAATTGCAGAGTACCATGATTAAGAACACCGACAGCGGTACGTCATCCTAAATAATTAGTATCTTTCAATAATGTTCGTCCTTTAAGGGAAAAACATAGCATGCTAAAGACCTATATACTATTTAAAAACGGTTTTAACTCGTCATATAGCAAGCGGACATCTATTAGCCTCCGTATAAGCCTACTAACAATTCGTATACATAAAAGGTCACGTACCATCAGAAACAGTATACCCTTGGCACATTAGCAGTAATTCAAACATACAGAGAA